TCGCAAACTGAGTCAACTAGTATTAACAGAATTGAGGGATTTAACAGGAGTAGAAGTAGAATTATTTTCCAAAAAATCTTGAGAACTAATGATAAAAAATAATGATGCAGCGCACCAAATATTTAATGTAGATGACGTGAGTGTCTACGGTGCAGAAACCAGGAACAATTTTAGCAAAAACAGGTCAAAAACGAGTTGGTACTGTCACTTCTTGGGAGAGAGGAAAGACAGTCACTGTTGTTTGTGCAATGAGTGCTTCTGGCGTTTATGTGCCTCCTATGTTTATATATCCGAGACAACGTCATTCTCCTCTTTTAGAGAAAGATGGTCCTCCGGGTGTAATTTACGATTGTTCAAAAATGGATGGACAAATGAAAATCTATTTTTTAAATGGTTGCAACATTTCAAAATGTTTGTAAAACCGAATAAGAAAACAAAATATTGCTTATTCTAGATAATAACAGCCACTCCACTTTAGAAGCATATGAATTTTGCAAAGCTAACTACATCAACATGTTGTCTACACCACCACACTCCTCGCATCGTTTGCAGCCTCTAGATATAACATTTTTTGGTCCTCTAAAAAAAGCATACAATCGCGAATGTGACCTATATCTCAAATCAAAAAATATGATTAAAATCACAATGTATGATATGCACATGCCCAATATTCAGGTAGTGATTCTGCCAAAAATTATGTTTGTGATTTTTGTATGAGGCGATAATTGTTTTTAATTACATATAATTATCTATAATTTTGCATGTTCCTAAAGATAATATAATTGTATTTTGAATGAGAATATGTTTAGTTTATAAACACATGAGGAAAATGTATAATTATACAATATTTTGTTACATATTGTTATTGTGGTTACCATTACCCCGATGGATCTTATTGCCCCTATTTCTGGTTCTAATTACCCCGTACTCTTGGCAATGGGAGCCAATGTTACTTTTTTTTTAAGTAAGAATTATTTTTATTTTAAGTAGGTTTTTTTATAATTTCTATATTAACAGGATAAGCCTGATTAGTTACATTATAATTAAAAGAAAAAATTAAAATAATAAGTGATTTATACAAAAAGTTATTTAAGTTTTAGCTTAAGTGGCGCCAATTCCCCCGTGCTCCCCTACACAGATTTAATTCCAATTTTAAAAATTATACTGTTTGACGTGGACTAACTGCGAGATACAGCTAGTGTAATTATATACCTAATTATAATAATGTAATGACATTGTTACATTTATGAATTGAATTCGTTTTTACGTAATATACACATTTAGTACAGGGGGAATGAAATTGTTAAGAATGAGGATCATTACTTTGTCAGTATACCTACTTTATCAAGTTGAACACCAAGCGGTCCTAGGAATTATCGTCTGCCTAGTTATATAAGTATATTGGTTTACTAGATTTTAATATTTTCACGCCAACTCCCTTTTGGAATGGTTAGAGAGAACTGAGAGCCTCTAAGATTTCAATAAGGATTGTATGTAGTGAAACATGTGTAAGTAAGTACTCCATAGAGGATCCCATTTTATTTATTCCTACTGATTCCTAAAATTGAAATCAATATCGTGATAACATCGGCGTTTATCAATGTCATTACAGCTAAAGCTATAGGTAGTAATAAAATAAATTGTTTGTTATAATGGAGTCCTAATTGCTCTCATTTTGTATACCTATGGAACATTGATTTATATGTGTATAGAAAAGTCTAATGATAAATATTGTAATGGCTTGCATTAAGTGTAATACATAACACGTATTTTTTGTGCTAATAGCTAAAAAAACTTTATATACTTACCTAGATATGACTTTACCTATTTCCACAGATTAAAGATAGTTTCTGTCTATTTGTAACTAAATGAATTAATATAATGGCATTTGTTTATAGTTGCTGTTTTTGGTTCTCTTTACGTCTCGGAGGTTTATTGATAGGAATATACTCGATAGTTAGTTCTTTTACCTATTTATACTCGTATTTTAATACATACAGAATTAGTAACATATCTCTTAGTACATAGGTACCTAAAGATAGATAATTACGTATAAGCATATTTATTAGGCCGCTAATGTATGTGTATTTTTTTTGTATCCATTCAATTTCTAAGGAAAAATAATTGCTAATAAATACTCGACAGTTTATTGAGTACTTATATAATATTTTGTGATTAGACCTACTTATTTGATATCTATATATTTAATTTAATAATAATTGTTTTCTTAAAAAGTTCCAGGCCATACTTGCGCTAATAGTGTTTAGTATTGGTTATAAGCATTCAGAACGAGTTGCAGATGAAATAACGGAATTACTAAATAATAATAACATAAAGCTGATCTATACTAAGGATTACTTGGAAATGTTGAAATCCGGTAAGTATAATATGTTTAAGTATAATTTTATTTCCATATCAATTTTGTACGACTTTTAAATATCTCAGTCTTCGGTAGTGTGGTGGTACCACAACAGCAGTAAGTAAACAAATGTTTCTGAGACTACTCTATTAAAGATTATAGTCGTAAGTAAGTATATTTATTTATATTTTAACGACTTCAGAAAGAAGGAGGCTCTCAATTGGACTGCATTCTTATATATTTTGGTATTATGTAAATTGTGTGTACTAAAAATAAAAAATAATAATGATGAATACTCATAATAATTTAGATAAACTCACACTAATTATCTGATATTCAAACTGGGATACTCTGTGCGACAAAAAACCAAGCTCATTGGAGGCACTACTCACTCAGATCCAAGCAAATTTAGTAGTCCATTTTCTAAATGTGCCCAAATGGACCCTACGACTATATGAACCCATATTAAAGTAATAAAAAGACATTTCAATTTATGACTGGATATTTAATTTTTTTATTGGAAATTGTTACATGAATAAATATTAATTAAATAATTAAAATATTATTTCATTTTTACAGATCCAGAAAAATATTTTACTCTTACTATCGTTATAACGTGTGTCTACATATTATCTTGCTTACTGTTCATGTATGGAGCCTATACTGTAAGTACCTATGTAAAATCATACTTGAGAAGGAGGGGAAAGCATTGTTAGTAATGGGGTCTAACTGCCCCATTGCTGGCAATAGAATTTCGAAAAACATTTCATAGTAATATTTCTGTTTTATCCTCACCTATCATCCTTCACTGTTGCCCTGCCAGTACCTACATATACGAGGTTTGTCCGGAAAGTACGTATAAAAGTTTTTTAAAAATTTTATTTTACAATTATTCAGGTAAATCAATTTTATCCCCTTCAAAGTACTCCCCCTGTGACATAATGCACTTGTGCCAACGCCGTTTCCACTGTGAGAAGGCTCCTTGAAAGTCCTCTGGTTGTAGGTTTCTCAGCTGCCCCGTCGTAGCTTTTTTTATCTCATTTATGTCCCCCAAATGCCGCCCCCGAAGTACCAATTTGGTTTTTGGGAACAAGAAGAAGTCACACGGGGCCAAATCCGGCGAATAGGGGGGGTGTTCGGTCACCGTAATGGAATTTTTACTCAAAAACTCACGGACAACAAGAGAGGTGTGGGCAGGGGCATTGTCGTGGTGAAGAATCCAACGCCCCTCTCGCGCCAATTCTGGACGAACTCGTGCCACACGAGCTTTGAGGCGTCTGAGCACATCGACGTAGAATTTTCCATCAACTGTCTGGCCTGGAGGGACGAATTCTTGATGGACAATCCCCCGAACATCGAAAAAAACAATCAACATTGTCTTGACATTTGAGCGGGATTTTCCTTCACAGCATCATCCCCATAAACTGTTCTGAGATCGGCAAAAATTTCACGGCCATTCTTGCCGAGTTTCGAGAGAAACTTGATTACGACGCGCTGCTCTTCAACGGAAGCGGGCTCCATGCCGACGGGGTTTCGTTAAGAGGTAACTTCACAGATGGCGTGACAAGCCAGTTCGCACCGCACGGCGGTCAGACCAGAACTGAAGCATTGTTAGGGACATAAGGAAGGGGTCCTGCGCTTACCTGGCCTCCCCACTCCTCTTTCTCGCATTCCAGAACACTTTTATACGAACTTTCCGGACAGACCTCGTATACCGATAGCATTGACGGGGTCACTATTTTATTTTCAACCATTAATTAATTTCATGCGTTAATCATACTTGGGATATCATAATAATAAGTAGTTCATTCGAACAAGAGCATCTCAGTTGGAATAAAAAATCACAAATAAACAAAATATAATAATTAGGTAATAGTAGAAATAAGACCAAGTTGCTGACTAAAAATTACTTTCCCTCACAGTTCACAATTTAGATATCGGCATCATTAGCTGTCTTAGTGATTATGAAAGCAAAATAAACTTATATTATCAATATAAATTTTGATATCCGTCCAAGTTTCCGATAATGATTCGAATAAATAAATATCGTTGAATCATAAATATTGTTAGTCATATTGAATTATAATTTATTGTTCATGCGGTTTTTCTTGCGTATTTAATATATGTAACGTAAAACCGAAATTGAGGGGGTTTCGTGCCCATCCTAGAATTGTTTGGGATCCATCTTTGGATTCGAGTACATACGAGTATGCGCCATTTTAAACGGTAAGGCCTCCTAGAAAAAAATCTTAAATACGCCAATGACTATGGTTCTAGTCAGTGGCGTAACTATACCATTTGGGGCCTGTGGCAAATTCTCACACTGATGGGGTCCTATCAGTAAAAATAAAATACTCAGGTACAATGTAAAAAAAATCTGAGCTCGCGGCCTCTTGAGCAGGGGCCCTTTTGGGTCGGGAGCCAGCGCATTTTGCCACTGGTTCTAGTGTAATCAAGGTAGCGCTTGGTTTGTTCATTGTGGCGGTGTGCTTGATTTTTTAGATTTTGGGTTCCAATATTACAAAATAAGTAATATAAACTAATAGGTGCTAATTGGGATCAAATATAGTCGGCGAATTGTAGCTAAGACAAGTTGAGCATGCAAGCACAAGAAAATTAAACCTTTTTGCAGTCGACTGAAGAACACTCATTGACTTTCTCACGAAGTCCTCTACTTCTGGACTAACTATGTACAAGAGACAAGACAGTAAGTCTTCTGTACTGCTACAGAATTACCTACGTAATTCTAATATATATACTATTGGCTGTTTGTATATCTGGTTTTTATATATTATTTCCCGCGGCTTTGCCTGCGGAATCTCTATATAAAGTAGGTATGTTTGTTTCTCAATCATGATCAAACGGCTGAACGGATTTGTTACTGGATATTATCGTGGCTAATTCGTGAATTCTTTACGATGGGCTAACTGATTTGCTTTCATCCTCGCATGTTATCTCTCGCTGGTGGGGCACCAGCGTATACCGATAGCTTAAGCGGGTAACTATCCCATAATCATCCATAAAGGGGGGTAAGGGATTGTTAGTAATAAAATTTAATTTCCTCATACTAGCAATATACTTCACTAGGTCGACCTCTACGCGGTCCCCCCTGGAAACTATCGTTAATTCTAGTGGAATTCGTCACGATGAGCTAACGGACCTGCTTTCATCATCACCTATCACCCCTCACTGGTGCCTTGTCAGCGTATACCGTTAGCGCAGGTGGGGTTAGCATTCCATTATCATCCATTATAAAAAATCATCCATAAAAAAATATCGATTCAAGTGGTCCTTGGAATATACAGGGTGAAACGGCCGGTTGCTCAAAACGAAAACAGCTGATTCATATGAATGGTCTGAATTAAATGGCAGATTATTTTTCTATTGGAAGTGCACCACAGCCATATAATTAAGGATTTTTCCGTTTTGACGCTGCGTAATGTATTTGAAATTTTACGATCCACACGACGCAGTGGATTTTAATACTAATATTATTATTTCTTTGTATTATGATATAAGATCATAAATTAAATGATTTTAAATAAAAAAAAAACAGGAAAAACATTTGAAATTTTCCGGAAAGAATTTTCACTAGTTTTCAGTTCAGAATAATGATTTTAATTCACTGTTTAAAATTTTCCCAACCTATTTCTTACACCCTGTATATTAGAAATTTACGCAGAGTTATGCAAGTGAATTAATTAGTAATATTTTTATTAATACAGTGCAATAACATACTAATGATTGGATACATACTGTTAGAGTTGACCCGGTTGCTTATGTTGTCGGTCACTGTGGCCACTTGTCTTTTAGTACTCAAACAAAATACCATGGATATAGGACTATTAATTGGGGCCAGCGTTGCAGGTGGATTCTTTCTTCGTAAGTATTATAATCATATATATATATATATATATATATATATATATATATATATATATATATATATATATATATATATATATATATATATATATATATATATATATATATATATATATATATATATATATATATATATATATATATATATATATATATATATATAAAAGCGTCTTATTGTACTCAAAAAGTTGTAAGATAAATAAATAAACTACATTGTTTTAAATTCAAATAATTGCTTAGTATCGAAACTTTGAAGGAATTCTGATGCACAGTAAAATTTCTGCAGCCAAATAATACATACCTACTTTTTAATCGACTTCAAAAAAGAGGAGATTCTTAATTCGTCGTGAATATTTAATTTTTTTTATGTATTTTAAATGTGATAACTACCGGTTTAACTTACGTGTATTTTAGTCGAGAAATGGAATGCTAACCCCAGCTGCGTTACTGGTATCTGGTTATACGCTGGTAATAGTGATTATAGATGAGAATGAAATCAGGTCTGTTGACCTATTGATATTATTAGGAATTGATAAGAATTATTTTCAGGGAAGACCGCGTGGAGGTCGACCTGACTGTGTATATTGCTAGCAATATGAACTGACTCCCCTATTATAAATAATCAATTAATAGGGAATAAAGATTGTCAAGATTCCATATATGGAAAGACTGTTGGGATAAAAGTTTAAATCCTATTAATTTTTTCTGTAACATATGAAACAACGATTTTTCACTCAGTCTCCGGGTTCTACTATGAAATCCGATTTGTAAAGGCATATAGGAGATCGAAGTTGTATTAAAATCATTTGTGTATCAAACCGGATTCGGTTTCTGTTAACCTTATAAATACTTTCAGTGGGCGAATTTTATTTATGGGTGTGTGCAGCCAATTTACCCATACTCATAAACGAAATGGAGCGAGAGGAACAAGCTGAAACGATAGAAAGGCTACAACAACTTTTGGAAATGAGCAAACAACGATCTATGCCGTACGGTTCAGACAATGATCCTTTCGTTGTCGATTATGGAAATGCTACTAGCAGCGATTTTATGGCATCAAAGAGACAAATTAATAATAAAATAAAGAATTATGCTAGAGGTTCTATGCCACTAACCATTTCATATAGTACACATAAATAAATACATCTAGTCTAATTAAATTATGCATTTTTCGTGTTTTGCATTTATAATACTAATATTTTAGACTAAGTATGATTAACTGTGTGGTCATAAAATGGACCACCCCTACCTCTCCCGTGTCGTAAGAGGCGACTAAGGGAATTTAGTCATCGAGGGACGCATCTCCAAAAATCAGCAGCGTCTCTTATAAATAAATAAATGCAATCAAAGTTTTAATGCGGTAATTATTAGTAACCCCCCCCCCCCCCAAGTCACTACTTACCCATATATTTATTTTTAGAGAAATTGTTACTCTTAACAATGTAAACATAATTATTTTAAATAAATGATTTGTTGGGAGGTCAAGTTGCATTACATAGGTACCTACGATAAGAAATAACCTTCGCGATAAGTCTTATTACTTTATGATATTCGTAAACTAAGTTAGGTAGTATAACGGATAGTGTTCTGAAGAATTGTTCGAAATGATGCTCATATCCACCTATTACCATCACACCGTTCACTATTGACAGGGAATTCATCCTCAGATGCTACAACCTAAGAGGTTGCGTACCTACAGTACGATTTCAGAGAGATTTCTTTCCGTGGACGCTTAGACTGTGGAATGAGCTCCCTGCTCTGCCGAGGTTTTTCTTTGATCGAGACTAGAGGGGACATGTGACATCCCTAGAGTTTCAAGCGTCCAGAGGCTACAGTGGCTGTCCACTATAACATGGGAAGCATGCTTGTTTGCCACTTTTTGCATAAAAATGATTGTTCGGTGTAATTTTTTTTTTTGTTTATTGTAAGTATTAACTACTACTAGGTAAGTTAATATAATAATAAATGGAGAAAGAGTATATAAATAAATTAAATATATTTTAAAATTACCACTAATATATAATTTAAAAAAAGTTCAATTTAAAGTGATTTGAATCAAGCATTAAGGACATGGTAAATACTAGAAAGCCATGTGGATTGTAGAAACTTGGTTTGCTAAATGGCCTGTATTCTAAAGATTATTCCATTTCATAACCTATGATGATACAGTAAAGGGTTACTGTATCATCATAGGTTACTGTAAGGGTAGCTTTGATAATGAAATACAGAGGAAATAGCTGGTATTTATTTATCGTACAAATTTTGCCGCGGCTGGTGCCTTATCTAATTAATGTAAGGGCCTATATATTTGCGTCATGAAACCATTAAATATTTTTTTTTATGTTGTATAATAATTTATATACATATATGTACACACATATATATATACATAATAATTTAATGCACTAAATTAATATCTTTTGCAATATAAAACTGATATAAATTTTGATAAAATTAGTATGGATCCACTATGGAAGTTGTATTAACCTAAGTTCTTTCGATTAAATAGACAAAACATAAGCATACATAGGTACAAACAAAATAAATGCTCCTACTTACTGAAGTTACAAATATATTATCATAATAGAAAATTTAAAACCAGTAGGTACTTTTTATGCTGTCGGCTTAAATCAAAAAGTGGAAGTGGCAACCTTACATTATACATAAATTTCTATTTGATAGTGAAGCCCATTGCCACGTGCACTTTTAAGACGAATGTTTGCATACGTGAATCCAACACCACCAGCCGTTAAGGTCGCACTGGCATCCGTATGATCGATGTCTCTTGCAATTATACCCTGCAGAAATGAAATTAGCTTTGTCAAAAGTGAATGTATGATGTCAAAATTAAAAACTCGGTATACTATAAACGAGTGAAACACTGTGATTTTATTTTAAAATTATCATAGTAAGTAAATAACTACGTATGTATCTACTTGTCAGGAATGTAGTCGTATATTTACCTATTTTTATGTATATTGTATGCAGAATTCTTTTGTACGTGTGTAAATCACTAAACTCCTAAGCATTTAAGCGAGTGTCTTATTTCATCTGAAGGGAAAGATGGTGCATGCTCTGAATATAAAAATGATAAATACTCAAACTCTGACACGACAAGATATACCCATTTGCCTACATATCAATGTCCTCTGAAATGGCAACGAGTATTTGTTTGAGTAGCACGATATTTACATAAATATGAAATAATTGGCACAGTTGTAATATAATATTAAGTTTTATGTCTAATTATGTTTTACTCACCCTGATAATTTGTTGACCGGGGTCAGAATAAAAAACTTCCTTTACACGCTTCTTAAAAGGAATACCCATGTAGTCAGCTCTCGTTTGCCAAGTTAAACGTGTATTATAGCTCGTACCCACTATTAGATCTCTTGCCCAACAACACGAGATGCATGTAAGTGCAAGAATACTCATAAGCAAATATATACTCCTCATTGTGCTAGTGCTGTTTACTCAGTGCGACGGTGACGATCTGAGAGTGGCGAGAATCGTTATCAAAAACTGTTTATATCTGGTTAAAATAAATATGAGTCACATTTTATAAGTTATATGTACAAACGAAATGTAAATATTACATAACTAGCCCACGTGAATCAGCATATACAATATCCTGAGTTAATATATAATATATAACCTACCTTCATAAAGTTTCAGTCAATTTAATTGATCGGTTATTTTATGTGCTTTTTATATTGATATAACTTTTTTATTTATAAACCGATTGAAATAAAACAAACATAAAATGTTAAGCCAAACCGCAACGCATTAGTGAAAACCGCTTTCGAATCGGTTAAGCTTTAGTTGAGATTAGTGTGCACAAACGTACAGACATACAGATAAAAATGATAAAAATAATCGTTTTAGGTTCTATTGCGTTCATTAAGCCCCCTTATAATAGTTTTTTTATATATCTTTCATGTACAGACTGCGACCAGTTATGATTTTATTATATGTATTGATTGATAACTATTCCAATTCAATTCAAAAAATTATTCTGCTGAAATTACGGATTAAAATACCAATGTAATATATCTGTACCTACTGCAAGTACTATAATATACTATAGTATATTCGTGTCTTTACCCCAAATTTCTTTCGTATAAAAATGTCATAATTATAAAAGATTGATATAGAAATACATTATAAAAGGAAATTTTCCATATAAATTAAAAAACAATTAAACTGGCTATAACATTATTTTAATATTGTTATTTGGTCATAAATAGCAGGTATTTATATTAACTAGAACAATAATAAATTTTAGTTATATTTTAATACATTTCCTTACCCGACTTATGTGTAGGTCTAATAACAAAATGTCTTTGCGATATTGTAATTATAAATATATAATGTATAAATTTATACAGGAAATATTTACATAGTTTAATTAAAAAATTATATGGATTTGCACAATGTATTTTCCATTTTCGTATTGTTTAAATTTCAAAACTCCAATGTCATGCTTAGATTCTAGTCTAGGTAATTTATAACAAGTAAAAATTTCAAATGCACAAAAAAAAAGTTATTTTTTAAACATAACTTATTCTGAAGCCAGATATTAAATCCAACTTCGGAACTACGTTTGTGCAAATAAATTTCTTTAGATCTTGTATGTATGTATATACAATGTACTGTCTGCACTCAAAGGAATTCATAAAAAAAGGATAGAAAGTAACATTTTTATATTTTTCTTATAATATTATTTATTTCAAATAGGTACCATTAATATACAGAAACCTTAGACCTGTGTAGAATATTCAAATTCACCCTAAACCATTACTCTATCACCAACTATTCAAAGTACGCCTTTTCTGACTAGCAAGAACACTAGATGAATATACAAATGTTATATTGTAAGCTATACTAAGCACCCCACACAAAATATGAGGACTTAATAACCCAAAATTATAAAAAAAATCATAATACCATATAAGAATTTGATATAACACTAATTTTAGAAAAGTAAGTCTGCACCCCCTTTGCCTTTTATCTGCTATAATTATATAAATATATTGTGTTTAAAAATATACCACAAACCTTAAGGAATAGAATAAATTTTAAAATGACATTCTCAAAAACTTATTGTTGTAATTTGAAAATATTTACTAAAAATTATGGGCCCTTAGTAGTTCTTATTATTTTATAATTTGTTCCAACTTCAAATATAGGACAGTTTTTATTCTGTTAAGAAAACTAGACATGGTTAAAGACAAAACAATGTCTGCCTAAGTAATTCCTTAAAATAACGATTTCCACGGCTCAGAAGTGTAAGCATGCCTATATGGATGGGTTTAGTTTGGATAATATTGAACAACATCAATGTATTTATTTACACGTAATCACAATATTGAGTCAAACTATAATTATTATTAATTATACAGAGCTGACTTGCATAGCAGCGAAGCGTGGAGTTGTTTCTAATTCCAATGAATCTGTGGTAACTTGGGAACGGGAGTCAGAATTTTCTGTACTATTGGGTAAAGAGCTCATAGACATTTTTTCATCTTTCATACTACCATTGATTTCACCTGTTCCATCTACAGTGCCCGATTTTTGTTGTCCATCTGTCATATCTCCACCACCGCCACTTAGTGAATTCCAAATTCCCTTCGATGAATCCTTAACAGTAACTTTTTTCTCGTTTGCACCTTTATCTTTATTTGCATCTTTGGTCTTTTTTCCAAGTACAGGAAAAGAACTAAGTTTTGGTTTGGAAGTACGCACTCCAGTTCCACGTTGGATCGGTGTCGAGTCTGTCTCGCCATCTTCGGTGATAGATGACAGCATGTCAGCTGACTCAGTGGGCACCACTTGTCCAGCTTGTATCGGAATGTCATCTAGAAATGATAAATTACCGGCTAAAGTATGATATGTATAGAATAATATGTTTTTTACACCGATTATGGATATTTTACGTAGATTGAGGGGATCTCATTTAACATGAGAATTTAAGTAAGTACAAAATAAAAATATTAAGTAATACAATGAAAAAGACAATAAGTATATGAGTATACAGGATTATTTTTCAAATTATAGACAAAATACAAGCGCGTTTATTGTGTTGTTACAACAATGCCTAATAATATATTTAATGAAAGTGATATTAAGTGATAAGGTGTATAAAATAATATACAATGATTTTATTCAGTAAAAGTTATATTTTGTCATTTGGATTATATTATTATTTCAATCTCAAATGGACCGTACCTGAGATCAAAAATATAAACAAAAATGGAATAAGTGGGAAAGTTGGCAATTGTATTAATATAAATTATATTTTCATTATTTCATCTCAAAAATGGGTTATTCTTTCGATCTGTAAGTTAAATAAATTAGTATTCTATTAAACATTAGTTATCAGAAAATACTTTATCCTTTCATATCTTAGATAACTATAGATTATGGGGTAGATTGTGTAACAGATAATATGAGTAACATGAGCCACAAAAAATAAAAATATAAGGAATATAAAACTTTTAGTTATAAATAACTTTTTGGATTTTCAGGTTGTCTTTGCATTTAATATACAAAACAAACGGGTTCTTACCATGACTTTCGTTTTCTTTTGTTTGTATCAGCATATTCAAATTCAAAAGAAATAATTGTATTAAGAGCTCATTAATTATCTATATTTATTATATAAAAAAAAAAAGACTAAGTGTAAAAATTGTTACGTGATTTTGGGTGGTACAGTGTAAGTACTGTGTAGTGAATCCACTATTCTATTTTCCTTGTTTTACTTTTTCAAGGTAGGGACTAACTCTCTTAACATAAATATAGAATTAGTTGACAAATAATTGAGTCCAGTAACATTCATATGGTTACATTAAGTTATAGCTAATCTATACATAATTGTTTTTTAATTACAACTATAAATTTATTTGCATCTACTTTATGAAGTGCATGTGTAATGTGTACTAGTAACATTCACAGATTATGTCTTGAACATTATCCGCACCTCACTATATGACATATAGGCCCAAATAAAAATAAGGTTGATTGTTGTTTATAATTGTCATAGAATCTTTACATATTTTCAGCCTCACAATCAGAACTATCAGAATTGTTTAGAATTGAATTATCACTTTGTACTCTTTTCATTGATATTTTCCAATATTCCCCATTCAAAATCTTTACTGTTTCATGAGAAAATTTGTATGATTCCGAAGTTAAACATGTATTTTTATTGTTGTATGAAAATAAATTCTTAATCCAAAACATTTGTTTGGTATTACGTATCGATGAGCATTCATTTGGTAGCATGCAAAAAGTTTGATCATCTGTTTGAAAATCATAAAAATATTAATGTATATACATTTAATAGCGACACATTTTATTCTACAGTATTAATTTATAATATACAGCATTAATGAATTTAATAATAATCTTTATTTCTCATTTATGTAATTACAGATAGTTCATACATCAGTAAGTATAATAACAAAGATCTAAATGTTTGATAAAGAATGCAATAAATATAAAATCTCACCTGGTAATTTCTTTGTACGGAATGATGCATTGGTGATCATAGACTTAGACATTGTAACAGTGGTTGTTGCTGGAGACAGTGCAACACTAATGCCCATAGGACCATCACATGGTTGGCCTGAAACATACAGAATTTTTTTTAGATGAATTTAAATATATTTTTTTAAATGCAAATTAATATTGTGAAGTCACAAATGTTATGGAATGTGGTATATTTACCTGATGAATTGTTTTTCAAAGAATTTATTACAGCACTGGTAACTAGCATTACATCTGGATATAGTTCATACTGGGCCCTTTGATCTACGTCTTTTACAGCTTGCAGGGCCAATGTATAGAATTCATTGAACATAGCAAAGTATGCACCTTCTATCATTTCTAACATAAAATTAGGAGACACTGGTATTCTTGGTACGGGTTTTTGAGTATTAGATGCACCAGCAGTTTTTTTTTGGAAACCTTGAGTAACAATTCTGAAAATAAAAAAGATAATGAGGAGAAACCTAAAAGTATAACTGAAATAAAGAATAAAAAAAATATAAACCTCATGTTCTATTTTTACACAATGTTATAATAATACAGTTTAAATAGTAAATCTGATCCAAAAATACCTTGATGTTGCTATACAAAAATGCCTAAGAGCAAGTTTAGGCAATAAACTCAATTGACGATTATAAATGAAAAACAGTGCAGTCATAACTTTTAATCGATTCTGAGCATTAATAACTTCCACTTGCGATAGTGGGCCCCAACTGACAAGCTTGGTGTTGCATTCCTCCCATCTTCTCAAAGCATTTTCTGTCAAAAATTGTGGTCCCAATGACAGTGGCTGTAATAAAATATAGAATTTGAAATGAAATGATGATGATGTGTAACAAAAGGTTTTAAAGTTGTAAGCTGAGTGCATGTTTAGAAATAACAGTTGTACAATATGGCATTTGTACATTACAACAGTATAGAATTCTCTATCTCAATTCTCCAACAATAAACATTGTCTTATTAAAGAAATGAAGGTGTTTAAAACATGAAACTGTAAATACTACCTCATGGTAAATAGATGGCTGTGCTAGTGACGGTAGTCTAAACGAGACTACTCTTGGTTTTCCATTCTCATCCACAACTTCAAAATTGTACAAACCTAGAAAGTAATAAATAATGTAATGTCTATATTATTGATCAGATGAAAATACATTTAGTCAACAATCTAAAGTCCTATATACAAAATTTGCTATAAACTTCATACATACCAATAAGTAGTGTTTCAATACATCGATAATTTTTCTTACTTCCTTTAGCAACTGAACTTAAATAGTTGTAAACTAAAGTAGGGACAAACTGTAATGTAAATCGCTGTAGCTCTACCTCTTTTGATCTGTAGAAACTAAACAACTGGGTGCAGACATTTTCTAACACCTAGAAACAAATACTTGATTATTTATTTTATTTTAGTATTTATTAACTTATGTCTATGTCAATAATAAGGACCTGGTCAATTTTAGCATCATCTGTTTTATTTGTTGACTGAGAATCACTGTCATCTTCCAAATAAAACAAGTTAAACAAAGCAGTTGCTATTTCATGATTGTGTTCATGTTCTGCTGCAAAACTCTTTATTTCATTCTCCTGGAGTGCTGCATATTCCGATAGCCATTCATTAATTAGATGCTTCCACTCAGTCATACTTGTTTGAATTGCTTTAATACGGTACGATTGCAAAATGTTTCCAAAGGTAGGCTTCTATTTTTACTCTAGCTTCAATATTATCAAGCGAGTGTTATCAAAAAAAAAAAAAATCCAAAGCAATAGTTTTAAAGAATTAATTTTCACAGTAATATGTGACGGCAAAGATAAAAATCGATAAAAATCTTGAAATTGTATACAGTATTAATTAATTAAAACACTCAACACTAATATGAAAACTTGTAGGAAAATGTTACTATTTATTAATATATGCATTATTTTATTACTGTTGTATTTTTGATGTAAAATAAAAAATATGACAAACAACTGTGATGGACGACGATGACAATAAGATTACTTTTTTTTTTATTTGACAATGAGCTAGTGTTGCCCACTACGTTACTTTGATAGGTTTTTTTTTTTAGTGACTTTAAGGTCACTTAAATACATTATATATTATTATTTATTATAACTTTATACTACTATTACTTTATTATTATTATATATATTATTATTACTACTATAAACAAGGCTAGAGTTTTGTAAATAAAATGGTCAGAATGAGTTAATAAACGTAAGATAGAAGTAGAAAATATAAATTTCAAGGAGATAAGAGAATTAAGAGGAATGAGTAAACAATTAAAATGCTTGATATCGTAGTCCTCTTTTATTTCATCAGTAGAAAACCGCTTCAGCTTGGATAATTTAATTAATAATTGCAAATTATCAGCGTATAGTATAAGAGTAGCTAAGAATACTGATGGATGTGGAGTTTTACGGAAGACCAATAATGTTATTTACAATTTAAATATTTTATTACGTGCAATGTTACAAAGATTATTTTAGTAACAAGACACAAGTATTTTTTATTTTTCTAATTAATTAAGCTGTAGGTCTATAGCCGTTTACAACTTCTTTCTTACAAATACTAGTGAAGAAATTTATAAAAATTGAGAAAAGTAAATTAATTAAATTGTGGCACGTCAGCTGTTAGATCACACCAATCAGATAATAATTGATAGACACGAACCGTTTAACGGTGAGCACGAAAATAAGTAGAAAATCAGTTGATTGTAAAAAAATTATTGTATATGGTTAGTGGCACATTCAGTGGGTCTTTCATTACTAATTTTTCATTACGGAATGTCGGCGACAAAACGTAGTAGTCCCATTTAAATTCCGTAGCGAATTAGTGAGTGACTTTTATCCTCACTTTTATTTAAAGAATATTCGATCTTCAGTTCGCGTAACGTGATCGTTAATATTAAATATGTTTATTCACTACTACCGATACTTACCGTATAGTATACGGTCAATATCAATATTATAAATGGGAATGATTTAATTGTTTGTTTGTAATAATTGAATTCAAAATATATTCAATAGATTTTAAAAAATCCTTTACCAATGGATAGCCACATTATCAGAGAAGTAAGATAGGTATATATTAATTTCAAAAATTCTATCTACCCATGAGAAGCCGGATCACTAGTAGATATATAAACGAAACGTTGATACTAGCACTAGATAAAATGTTTTGTTTAATCCGTAAATTACATTTTATTTTTTCTATGGTTTAATGAGTTGTCATTTGTACCATACTACAATGCGAGGAGTATAGGATACTGCTTAATGCCAGTGCCACGTAATGTAAGACACGACTAACTGTCAAAGTCAAAATTGTTGCAGTTTTGAGATAATATTGCTGTCATTATTTACGAAATATTAAAAACTAATATAATTTTTTACAAATTTCATTATTTTTCGTCCTCATGGGTTCCTCCCATAGTACAGAAGTGCCAGGGGGTGGATCAGAAGGTTATCATATTTTGCGGGTTCGTTTTGTTATCATTTATGTACTTGTTGCAACTTTTTACATTAGTCTGATTAAACACACTGGATTTGTTGTAACAGGTACAAGACGGTTCTCCAGGACAAAAGGCAAGACTTGAAGCATTTTTTGATTTTATCGTCGCAATAGAAAATACTAGATTGGATCAAGACAATGACACATTGAAGGAGTTGTTAAAAAAGAATGTTGGTAATTCTATAAAAATGCTTATATATAGCAGTAAAACTCAGTCAGTTCGAGAACTAACGATTACTCCTAGTGATAACTGGGGTGGTCAAGGCTTGCTTGGTGTTAGTATACGATTTTGTTCATTCGAGGGGGCCAATGAAAATGTGTGGCATGTATTGGTAAGTTTAATTACAATTATATTTAAACACATTGACTAAATTAACAGTATTTATTTTTATTTAAATTTGAATGTTTAAAATTTTATTATTATTTTAGGAAGTACATCCCACTTCTCCAGCTGAGTTGGCTGGTCTTCGACCATTTTCTGACTACATAATTGGGGCAGACTCTATTATGCATGAGAGTGAAGATTTTTTCACTTTAATAGAGGCACATGAAGGTCGAGCTCTTAAGTTATATGTTTATAATGTCAATGATGATACATGTAGAGAGGTCCAGATTACACCCAATCACAACTGGGGCGGAGAGGGTAGTTTAGGTTGTGGTATTGGTTATGGTTATCTCCATAGAATACCCATCAGAAATGTACCACATTCTGCTCCACAAAATATGCCTGTTATGGTTTGTATAATTTCTGTTTAATATTTGAATATTCTTTGACACTGTTTATTTGCTGATTTCAAGTATATAATCCATAATAATTTTATAATTTTTCAATTGACTTAAAAAATAAGGAAAGTTCATAATACAGTTGTATTTTGTTTTAATATTTGTTACCTCATAACTGACAGTTTTAGACTAATTTGGAAAATTCTTTTTTTATCTAAAAGTTATACTCTGAAATAGATCCCATAGAAATTGTATTAAATTGGTTCAATAGTTTATTAACAATAAGGTTTATAAATAACTGATTAATAATATGTTTTGTATCTATTTACCAAAAAATATTTATAAAATTGAAAATAATATTTATTTATTATAATCAAATCAAATATAATAACTTTTATTGTCTTTTTGTAGTTACATATTAACTACTACTAGTACTGTAGTTAAATTTACCTATTTTAATAGTGTGATCTAAATACATTGATGAGAGATGGGAGTAGTATAAGTGTAATATTTTTATTTTGTATTATAACATGAAGGTGGCAAACAAGCAATAATGTCACTGAGTTTGTATTTAAGTGTATTAAAATATTTGTAACCGTTTCAGACTTCATCACCAAATCAAAACATACAACAAAATATCGTGTCTGGTGTTCAAAATTTAAACATAACCGAGGAAAAAACTCCTTTGGTTAACACTTCACAGGTGTCACATGTACAAATGGAACATAACACTAATGTCCCTCCACCATTTTTGTCTGGTGTTCCAATGGTGAATCCAGTTACTTACAATACTGGAGTACCACAGTCATTTTCACAAGAGCAAGTTGTCACTCAACCAGTGACCCCACAGCAACCAGTTTCTCAGGCACAGTCAGTTGTATCCAATATGGCTGCTTATTCCAGTAGTAAGTGTGTTATTATTATTATTTTTTTTTATGGAAAAGTTTTTATTATTATTATTTTTTTATCTTTCATGTTTTTGTTTTTCAGATTTTGCAGATGCTACATTGACCAACTTAGGAAGTATACCATCTGTATCTAATATGCAACCACCAGCTCCATTACCAAGTTTGCCTGGCATTCCAATGAACCAACCTCAGCCTTATATACCAATGATGCCTAATTATAATCAGCCACCTGTTGCAGTTTCACAATCAACTCCTTATGCTCAAAATATACCAAATTTAGTTCCAACTTTTAATATGAGCAATTTTCCTCCTCCAATGCAACCACCACCTATATCTAGTGGTATTCCTGTAGTGACGCCTGTCTCATTACCAGGAATGCCGCCATTAACAGTTAGTGCTACATTGCCTGTATCTACTATGAAAGAAATACATCATCAACAATCATTACAACAACAGGATTTATTATCGTGAAATTAAATTAAAATTGTTGGCCTTTAAATATTATTGTTAAGCAGAACATTCATTTAATTGCTATTTAATTTTGTATCGTTATGTTCTGACCATGTACAATAAATACGAATTTCTCATGTTTATTGTTAATGCTATATATTTTGTGCAATATGTATACATGTTTAATTCTACCAACTGATTTTTAATTGAATTCAGTTAATTTAGAGAAGTTCATTAATAATAAATGTATACCAATAATGTGGATATATATGTTACAATTGAAATAGTTTTGATTTCTTTATCACACATTTCCACAATTATTTTTTTTAAGTGTACTTTTAACTAAAAGTAAATAAAAGTAAAGTATCAAATAATTTGTTTTATTTAGTATATTAATGTAATAATAATTTAATAATAATTTGCACGTAAAATATTTGTTAATAGTCTCAAGCTATGGTATTATCTGATATGTGTTCTAATTTGAAAGTGGACAATTGACTTTCTTCAATAGGCTTTTCGGAATCTAAAGCGAGGTTGTTGTGGCCACATGTTAGATTAAATGCATCGCTGTAGAATACTCCGCCAGCCATTTCAGATAGCCTTCGTCGGCGGCGTGTGTCCTTGTTGTCTGTCAAATTGGGCGGGCGAACACTTGAACTGCGTCTGCTTCCAGAACCCAGAAGCGATGACACGCGTAACATTTTCTATAAAACATTATTAAGATATTATTGTTTATATAAAAAATTATAAATATATACAAAAATGAAAATAAAAGAAAAATGTACTACAATTGTCATTCGGATCGACTTGATTATTTTTAAAGATAAAATATTTAATGACAAGGTTATTTTTATCAACCCTCGAGCATAAGATTACCCACAATTACTCCTCAACTTCTACATAATAGAAAGAGGAAAGATTTGATTTTTTATTTGTAATTGATAAACTTATAAAATATTAAATTGAGTTTTAAATTTCTTTCATCTATAGAAAGCTATACTGGGATCGTTTTAGTCGCTCCATTTATCTTAACCTATCTCTAAAATTTAAATTTGATATCTCAGCGACATCTTAAGTCTAAGGACCAATATGAATTAAATTTATAAAAAGTTCGACATAAACCTATTTATTATTTAGTTTGTGATGATCCATAAAATAATTATTTTGTGAAATCATCAATTTAAAATTAGATTAAGAAAAAAGTTTATAAAAATAGGGTCTTAGTATCAACCCTATTATCACCGTGTAACATGGGCCATATCTTATTTAAATATACCATGCGAAACCGGAGCAAGTTGTTATTTTACTAATATAAAAGGAAAAAAAATATTTCTCACCTTTATTTTAACTGGCAATGAAGTTAGCAATTTAATTACAGGCGGTGATATCATATCTATAGGAACATAAGCTGGATTCGTCACGCCTGTGATTACTGACACGATCAGTCCGACCAGTAACGTGGTTGCACAGCCTAGACCCGAGTACCACAGATAGGATATGCGGAATAACCAAAATACCGCCTCGTCTCTGGGTTCCCTGTAAATAGTAGATAACAATTTAATTGTTATAGGTGTTTTGTGAGAGAGAACATCTATTGGTAGATATTATTAGGTATTTACCTATAAAAAATATAAATTGGCATGTCGCATTTACTTTAGATTCTCCTATACTAATCTTTTATTATAGTACATACTACCACATTATAAATAGTACATTACTGCAGCGACCGGCAAGAGAGGCATTGATGGACGAACGTGTGAATGTGGGCCGAGGGGAACCCGAGGCACACATACGTGAGTCCATCAATGCCTAGTTGCGGCCAAGGCTTGTATAGTACTTTTCTCAAATAATGCGTGGAAATTATTCAAATTCACGTTATGTTTCATTAAAATTGTGCATTTTAGCATTGAATAGATGACCCAAAGCGTTGTAGGCTTCACTTTCTTGGCGAGTTCGCCGAAATAAACCAGAAAAACATTTTCGGATAAGGATTTCGATTTTCTTTCATTCTTCCATTGAACAAAATTTTCATAGATTTTCGAATATTTTTTTTTAGATTTTGACGGCAACAAGTTTTCTACTACGGCTCTTGCTGCCTCTTGAATTTCAGGTGGCGTTAAAATAATTTCATTACACTCATTGTCTTCATTTGAACTCATTTTGTCAAATACAAAAGTATTTAAAACCAATGACGAAGTTGATGAACAACTAATAACAATAGTTTTTTACGCGCCAAAGTATTATTTTTTTTTCACTAAACAGCTTTCTATGTGCAAGCCAGTTCGTAATTTAAATTAAACCTTTGATAAGTTACCTCTTTGATCGCCATGTTGCGGAGTCGAAGATCGTTCCATTTTTAAATTACACGACAAATATGATTTTACATAGTAATTTATTCGCGCGGGAAACGTTTAAAAAAGCGGGAGTGTTTTTTGATCTTCTTTAAATTAATTTTATTTTTATTTATATAAGGATTAGTCTTTTTTATATATTGTGTATTAGATTGTATATTTAATTGTATATTTTGTAGTAATAGTGTTTGTTGCTGTAAATATTGGTAAGTAAATTACCTATATTAACATTATGGATCCACCTATAGACCCTGGGGGGACAACCCCCCAGGTGTCTGCAAATATAACTATTCCATTCAATAATAGTTTTGATATATTGGGTGAATCTAGTATGGACACAGATGGTTCTAGCGTTGCAAGTTCTAAACGTAAGCGAGTACGTGGTGAACGTCGCATTTGCAAACATTGCAATAAAAAACGAAGGAGGCACACCAAGGGCCTTGAATCTAAAATTAAAGATAGTGATTGTCAATGTATTGAAGATGAGAATCAAACTCAAGTATCAATACCAGTTGTAAACAATACCGAGTCTGTTAAACCTGCTTCTCCACCCAGTACTTTAAGCAGAACTTTGTACAATGCCGAGGATATAGCACCTTATGTCGTTCATGTACAAAAAAATGAAACACATCCTAATGATAACACTACATTACATCCTATTGCATTTGGTCGCTTTTTACACACTAATAAGATAAATAATATAGTGAATGGTAGCCTCAAAGGAATAGGAAGAAACCGTTTATCGCTTTCTTTCTCAAATTTTGAAAATGCAAATGCATTTTTAAATAATAGTAACTTAGAGACACATAATTTTAAGGCATTTATACCTTCTTTCCATGTAACCCGTATGGGAATTGTGAGGGGTATTCCTAAAGATTGGACAGAAGAGGAAGTAATCCAAAATATATCAGTACCGATAGGTTGTGGGAAAATTCTAAAAACCAGAAGAATAAAGAAAAAGACAATTAATGAAGGACAACCAAGTTTTATTAATACTGAAACCATTGTTATCACTTTTGATGGACAAATATTGCCAAAAAGAGTATTTATGTTTTACACATCATTAACTGTAGATTTGTACATTTACCCTACTATCCAATGCTATAACTGCTGTAGGTTCGGACATGTCAAGATGCAGTGTCGTTCAAATCCTCGGTGTTATAAATGCAGGCAAAATCATACAGGTGATAAATGTGAAGTAGATGAGGAAAATGTTTCTTGTATCTTGTGTAATGGTTCTCATTCAGCAATTAGTAAAAAATGTCCTGAATATGCACGTCAGAAAGCCATTAAAGAAACAATGGCCCATAGTTGTGTTTCTTATGCTGAAGCATCAAAATTTCATCCTCCAACTTCTAAACTATATTCAGATGTATTAACATCATCATCTCCTTCCAATAAATCTCATTTTCAATCTTCTTTCCTTAAAGAGAAATCATCATTACCACATATACAATCATCATATAAAAAAACAGTTACACTTAAACCACGCTCTCCTCAAAAAATACAACAAGGATATGATCGTTCTGCCCATGAAGCCATAGTTAAGGAATATAATATTCCTGCTCCCTCTAATGGTTGTGCATTATCATCAAATAATATTGACAATAATCAATCCATCATTGATATTATTCTCATGCTTATTAAAGTGTTATCGCAATCAAAAATGATACAAACAACTTTACCACCGTCCAACGATGCCATGTACAATGTATTTTCTCAATTATTAACTTCTCACAATGGATTACAAAGTCCAAATAATTCAGTGGAACTGTCGTAGCATAACAAATAAGAAATCAGACTTATTTTATTTGATTAATAAATATAATCCTTTTATAATAGCTCTACAAGAGACTTGGTTAAAGCCAGGATATCCTTTTAGGATTTCAGGCTTTACAAGTCTCCGTGATGATAGAGCTGACGGATATGGCGGTGTTGCCATATTGGTCAAAAACTCCCTTCTTTTTTCTTCTTTTTCGCTTCCTGTATATAGCGGCATTAATGCAGCTGCTATAATTATAAATGGTATCTGTTTTGTTACTTTATATATTCCTGATCCTACATGCCAAATATATTCACAACTAGAACAATTATTTTCAATTTTACCTAAACCTTTTCTCGTAATGGGCGATTTTAATGCTCAGCACCAATCGTGGGGCAGTTCTACTTCTAATTTTTATGGTGGAAAACTCCTGACGATAATTGACACTTACAACTTATGTATTATTAACTCAGATGTACCGACACGTAGAACTGCACCGAATGAAGGGTTTAGTGCTCCTGATATTTCAATATGTTCTTCTGATTTAGCTTCTTCACTGTCGTGGTATCCTCATTCCTCTACCTTCGGAAGCGATCACTTTCCCCTCATTCTTTCTTTTCCAATTTCCATTCCCTCAAGTCGAAAGAGTGGTCCTCGACTTAAATATAATTTATCAAATGTAGACTGGAATATTTACAAACAATATTTAGATAATAAAATATCGGAGTTACCTATTGTTTATCATGGAAATGAACATCAATGTTGTAATGACTTGATAATTAATATGAAGGAGGTTGCTGATTTATTATTTCCTGTTAAAAATAGTGCTTCAGGGAAAATTCCCTCCCCACCTTGGTGGGACAAAGATTGTACGGAAGCAATTAAAAATCGTAAAGAGGCTGAAAAAAATTATAATAATTACATGACATCAGAAAATTTTGAAATTTACACCGCAGTTTCACGTTCTACTCGAAAACTACTGAAAAAAAAGAAATTGGAAGGTTGGAGAAGATTTTGTTCTTCTATCTGTCCAGAAGTTAATTCATCAGTCGTTTGGAATAATATTAAAAGATTCAGATCTGCCTTCAGTGATCATACATCACGTTCTGCACTCGATTTAACTTTAGCGAATAAATTTTTAGATCGCCTTGCTCCTAGTTATGTGCCGGAATGCCTTTACAATATTTCTCTATCCGTCTCTGACGAATTATCCGAACTTGAGTCTCCTTTTACTCTTGTAGAACTTAAAGGTGTTCTAGCTTGTATTAAAGACTCTGCACCGGGAGAAGACGGTATACCGTATTCCTTTTTTAAAAATGCTAGCGATGCGACATTAATTTACTTTTTAAATATAATTAATTCCATAATTATTTCGGGAAATATACCTACTTCATGGAAGTCTCAGATTATTATACCATTTCTAAAGCCTCATAAACCACCTTCTGAACCATCTTCATACCGTCCTGTTGCACTTTCCTCTGTCTTACTAAAGCTAGCTGAACATTTAGTGAAGAACCGTCTAGAATGGTTTTTAGAAAGTAATAACTTACTATCCCCGAACCAGTTTGGTTTTAGGAAAGGTAAGAGCACCTTAGATAATGTGAGCGTTCTTATTTCAGATATTCATATAGCTTTCTCACAAAATTTGTCAATCCTCTCAGCCTTTTTAGATATAAATTCTGCCTATGATAATGTAATAATTTCTATTTTAAAAACTAAATTACAAGCTTTAAATGTACCGGTAATGCTTTCTAATTTCATTATTAATATTTTATCAGAAAGAACAATACATATGGATCTAGATGAAGATACCAAATTATCTAGAACAGTATGGAAAGGCCTTCCACAAGGATCTGTTCTCAGTCCAATTTTATTCAACATATACACATACGATCTAGAATCATTCCTTGATAAATCCGTAAAAATTCTACAATATGCTGATGATCTCTTATTATATTTTATTGCGAAGTCCATAGAACCTGCTTCTGCCAAATTATCTGATTCATTACATATGTTAAAAACGTGGTTAGATGCAAATGGTCTTAATCTTTCTGTAACCAAGAGTAGTGTAGTTTTGTTTTCAAGAATGAGATCACCGCAACAAATTAAGGTGCTTTATGATAACTCATACATTCCTATAAAGACTGAAATTAAATTTTTAGGTATCGTGCTAGATAATAAATTAACAGGTCTGTCCCACTGTAATTATATTTCCACGAAATGTGAGCGTAACCTCAACATTCTTAGGTGCCTTGCTGGAGTTTGGTGGGGAGCACATCCCGTTTCACTAAAACTTGCTTATAATGGTCTTATAAGGAGTGTCATTGATTATGGAACTTTTTTGTTAGCTCCAGGAAGTTCATTTGCTTTTAAGAAATTGGATTTAATTCAATCAAAGGCCTTGAGGATTATCTCTGGAGCAATGAAATCAAGTCCAATCAATGCTTTACAGCTCGAAGTCGGTGATCCACCTTTGGTTTTAAGAAGGCAATATTTATCTGATCGCTTCTTTTTTCGTTGTTTACAATTATCTGATCATCCGCTTATTCAAAAGTTATCTCAACTATATATCTTTATTTCGTCTTCATCTTATTGGAAACATAAAAAACCTCCATGTTTAATACAAAGTTATGAAAAATATAAATCCATAGAATCTCCCACTTTTACATCGTCCTGTTTTCCCATTTATAAATGCTCATATCAATCTTTAGTTTTATCTCCTAATATTAAATATGATTTTGGGTTATCAAAAAATGATTCAGAATTGAATGCCAAATTTATGTTTATAACTGACATTGAATGGAATGAATGGCACTACATCTTTACTGATGCATCAAAACCAGACAATAGCGGTTGTGTAGGTGTGGGTGTGTTTCATTCACAATTTAATATCGTTCAAAAAATTAAACTTCCACCGGAATCTTCAGTTTTTACCGGGGAATGCTATGGTATTTTAAAAGCTGTAGAATATATACTTTTAATGAAATTACATAAGGCAATAGTTTTCACTGACTCTATGAGCTCTTTGCAAGCTCTAGCCAAATATCCGTTTAAATCAAAACCAGTTTATCCCATTATTTGTGACATAAGACAAAGTCTTTATCTTTGCATGTTGAGAAGGTATTCCGTTTCTTTTGCCTGGTTACCAGGACACAGTGGTATTAGCGGCAATGACAAAGCTGACCTTATTGCAAGAGAGGCTGTAACTTGTGGTGATATGTATCCGTATCATAATTACTGTAGTGACCTAGCTTGTCTCCCAAAAATATATTTAAGGTATGCCTGGAAGGAATATTGGGAAAAAACAAGTACAATAAAAGGAAGATTTTATCGCCTTATACAACCCGATATTCCTTTCAAACCATGGTTTTGTAAATTAAAGCTTGGAAAGACCGCAACAACTATTATAACTCGTATGCGTCTAGGTCACGTATGCACACCTTCTCATTTATACAAGCTTGGTATTGTACAAAGTTCGTCGTGTAATTGCGGTGCTGAAGTGGCGGACTTGAATCATATATTCTTCTCATGTTCTAAATTTGACCACACCTCCCTTTTTAATCATCTCCGATCCATCCGTGTTCCATTCCCAACTTCTATTCTTACTCTACTTTCTTCCAATGATCCTATTATCTATAAAATACTATCTTCATATATATATGATAACAATATTAAGATTTAGTTATATTACATGAATACATTTATAGTTGCATCAATTGCTTTTCCTATATATTTATAAGTATATTCTCATATGTACAAGTATATCCTTCATATCCTATAAATATCCTAGACCTAATCCTTATCCTTTCTAAATTCGTTTGTGTTAGGTATTTTTATTACTATTATCGTTTCCCCGTTTTGTTCTTGGCAAAATACCCTAATATCGGGGTGAACGCCACATAAGAAAGAAAAAAAAAAAAAAAAAAAAACACGACAGATATGGATTTTCATATAACTATTGCCGGCCGCTGCTCGACGAGTACCGCAAGTTCGATTTATCTCGAAGAAGGTTGTCAAAATAATGCTCAAATTTCCAAGCATGTTTGAGAAAAAACTATTTTTGAAACATCTTTTATGAATAATAAAATTAAAGGTCCATCAGATCTATTGAGACTTAAGATGATCATGAAAGCAGATCGGTTAGCCTATCGTGATGAATTCATGGCCCACCTGTAATTCAACACGATGGTTACCAAGGAGAACCGCGTGGAGATTAGTCCCCATTACTAATAATCCCTTTCCCTCAAGGTAAATAGATTAAGCAAATATCTACCTAGATATGAAATATGTACACGTTTCTGTGGATATGAGTACCTCGTAGATTCGTATTAGTTAGATCTCCGAATCTTTTAAAACCCTTATTGATTATAATTAGGTGTTAAGAAAGAATTACAATTCGAAAACCAGTTCTACTTAGTAGGTAGGTAATCTATTTATAAAAAAAGCTTAATAGTTATTGGACTGGTTGCCATAACTTTGTATAGAAAAGTATTATTACATATCTATTAAGCAAAGGAGGTAGGTAGCGTTTATGCTCTACAACAAGTTTACGATTTTATAAGCAAAATTACCTCGATGAAACTAAGTGAAAAGAATAAAGATGATATTATTAGGGTGAATATGCCGTCTATGTATATTGCCGCTATAATCTAAGATTGTCGCGTACAAAACTACTACAACAATTAGGCGCATTATAAGGCATTGCCTTCGATTGAATCATAGAAGTTCTGACCTTGAAAGAAGGACTATAACCCGCACGACTTACGACACGGCACCCTAGACATTGCGATAGGTACGAGTATGGTATTGTCGCTGAGTAATTTATAAATTAGAATGTCATGTCATATACGTTTGAATGCTTTCTCTACATCTTGAAATACTCGTATTGTCTATGTACCTATCAGCTGTGGTTTATCGGGGTTGTTGTTTTTAAATGAATAACCTCAAATTTTACACTTTTGGACTAAGTCTAAATAATTAAACCTGGGGGCGTGATGGTTTAAAGTTGTTACCATAAATAGTTCAGGTTTAACGTAAAACTACGTTTTACGTGTAATATGAATTTTAAATAAACCAGGTCGAATGTAGGTTTAGACCAGGTTTAATAGTTAGACCACGTTTTCTAATAAGACGGGAATTGTTTGTATAGTTTCTGAAATAGTAGACGTTAAATTTTTTTGTAGACAACGTGCGAAAATACCTAGGGCCTTACATAATGATAAAACAGTAGTCTACTGTTAGGCGTTTGTCCTGGGCCTAATTTCGAGAGGATAATGATTTCCCAATTTCCACGAGTCAGGAAAGTTGCCAGTACCTATGGTACTATTATAACATGGCTTATCACTTTCGAAGTCTGTTAAAAATAAAAAAATAAAAATCTAGCCTACAAAATTATTAAAGAAAAAGTTTTAACAGTTATTGTCTATTTATTTGAAAAACAAATTCCTTAACTAAAAATAAATATTTAATAAAAAAAATATTGGGGTTACATGCAAGAACAATACCGATATACTCGTAGATCATAAAGATAAGCACAGAATTAGCGCTGAATGATTTAAATAGCGACAGGTCTCGGAAACAGTATGCGACTCCTGAATGCCCTTCAAACTGAAGGGTAAAGTTTACAAAAGTATAAGACCTATCCTTTATGAATCTGAATGTTGGCTCATAAAGATGATGGTTTGAAAGACGACACGTGACAGAGATGCGAAAATTAAGATGTTATGTATAGGGAGACAAGGAATAACAGAATTGGAAATAAGTGTACGGGAAGTCGAAAACAGAGAAGTTGCAAATTAATAGAATGAATGTCTTGGTATGGTTAAGTCATGCGCAGAAATGAAAGCCATGTTTTAAAGAACGTGAAAAATTTTCATAAAATGGATAAATGTGAAGGAAGAAGACGGAAGAAGAAGGGTGGATGGACCATGTAAAAAATCATATGCATTAAAGAGAAGTGAGTCCGGGAATGACAGTTGACAGAAATTTATGGAAGAAGAAGACATACTGCGCCGATCCCAAATAAATGGGAAAAGGCAAAGTAGTGATAACATGCATTTTTTCTGATCTTATAAAAATAGTTATTGATATTATACTTTACGTGTGATAAATATGTGTTTGATTTTGAATACAACCCTCGGTGGAAAATGGAAGACGCGAAGGTGATACTTGTGCCACTTGAGCTCCACCCCCGGCTGTCAATACTAATAGAAGGCCGAGAATCCCGCCAGTAATAGCACCCTGTGTAACATAGAATATAATTAAAATTATAAGCAAAAAACTATGCAGTGGGATCAACGTGGGAGATATACTTACAGAGTGAAATCGAAGTCGTTAGCCTTACGTAAAGGTAAGAATCTGCCTATGCTATAGAATATACTAGGATTGAAAAATCGTAAATCAAAAATTAAAAAAACGAAAAAAATGTTCACCCTTTCTTACTATATACTACTTTATGTAGGTGACCATATTTGATCATAATTTTTTGTTCTTTATTGACCCGTCTTCTTTTAGAAAATACATTTAGTGTCACCAGAGCACAATTTGGAAGATTTGGATTTCACTCTGTAATAAAACATATATATTGCAAAATTTGTCAAAATCAGGAATTGGCGAAGACATAGAGTAACATAGATACCTAGTAGAATTATAGGACGTGTTTTGAAAGGTGAAAATAAAATGATAAACCAGCCTGCGTTATACGTTGGCGAGGTATCAGCGACAGATGATGGATGAGGATGAAAGTGGGTCCGTTAACCTTACGTAATAAATTCCAAAAGAATTAACCACGTTGGTTTTCAGTGGGAACGTTTCAATGAAATTGTTAGACTTCATTACTAAGAATCCTCCTCCCCCCAAATTATGCTTAGGACGTTACTTACACATGAGGAATTATAGGTACATTTTATTTTTGTAAAGTTGAAACTGGGGAAAATATCCGATAGCTCTAGCTCATGAACCATAAAAAAAGAACAACTTTCTGCAGTAGGTAAGTAGATACTATTTAATGTACGGTTGTCATGAAATAAAATCAACATATTAGAATAGTACTATAAAATCCTCTTTTAAAATATCTCATATCTCAAGGCAAGTATCCTTTGTATGCATGTATAATATTTGATACCTAGGCCTATACTTCATAAGACGATACCAATTCTTTGTCATAAGTCTATTAGCAGCTTATAACATAATATTCGGTTACCTTAGCATTAGCCCATGGGAACAGCATTCCAAGAGTAAAAAGACCGAGTGAGACACCTCCCGTCATGCCATTAAACGAGACCGCCAACTGCAACAGCGGCCCGAGTCGTTCCACTGCAAACACGAGCGCGAAGGATAATAGCCCACAGACTACACATATCCAACGGGCTACCTGTAATCACAATCAACGTTATGACTGTTGGTTAACGATATTATAATAATAATATTATAACGATATTATAATAAACAGATTTTTTATGATACTCAGAATGGGAATCAAGCTGACGGCCCATCTGCGTGACGGCCCAAAGTGGTAATCGTCACCTATAGGTATGAACAGTTACTATTTCAGCCATTAACTGTCCATTGCAAATATATGCCTTCCCCACAAGGGGAGTTTTGCCAGTAGTTGCCACGCTTGGCAGGTGGGTTGGCAACTGCAGTTAGATTTTTAGAGATGTTTTAAAAGGGATGCTGCCTTATTTTATGGGAAATGAGTGATTTAGTGAGAAATGAATGGTTTCTCCGCCTGCGCTAACGGGATACGTTGGCAGAGCACCAGTGAAGGATGATCGATGAGAATGAAAACAGGCCAGTTAGCCTATCATAATGAATTCATCAGGAATTAACCATAATAGTTTCCAGGGGGAAACGCGAGGAGGTCGACCTGGTTGGGTATATTGCTAGCAATGGGATTCTCAGTCTCTATTACTAACAGTCCCTTTCCCTCCGCACAGATTCAGAGGGACGCTGCTGCCTGCTGCATCGCTTCCTTAGTCGCCCTTTACGATACTCACGAAAGGAAGAGGTGGTCCATTCTATGCCAGGGCACACACGGTGATAGGTATGAATAGTATCATTGACATAATATATAGCATAATAGATAGCGTGGTGCCCATGGTATTTCTACTGCGTTGCCATTCCTGAGGACTACGTTACAAGTGTTTCTAAAATGAAACCTGAAGATGGCGTTACATTAGCTCCATTATAATATTTTAAAAACGTATTTTTCAGTTTATTTCAGAGCGTATAACTTTGTCTTACTTAAATAAATAATTGATGTGATTATTTACTTTAGGTGTTCATTCGAATAAATTTATACTACAATATGTGTTTCACACTCACATAATATAAAAAGTTACACAAAAAAGTTTCATGTACGATCAATTCTATGTACTATAATCATTGATCATGGTTGCGACGACACATTCACGTTCACCGGTAATTTTGAATGTAAGTATAGTTGTAATTGTAGAATTAGGTAGTTAGGTAATAAGTATTAAGTAATTATTATATCAATGATAATTGTAAAAGTACTAGTTATTACCCGCGGCGTCGTCTGCGCAAAATTGGGACATATTAATTAAATTAATATTAGTAGTAGTAATTAATTAAATTGAAAAGTAGCTTTGAACTTCTCATTCACTTTTGACTAGTAGTAGTTGGGTCGTTAAGATGTCAAGAGATAACAAACAAATAAACTCATATTCATCTTTATAAATTTTTTTTATTTAATATGGAACGCTAAACAAGCTAACTACTCATCCGATGGAAAGTAGTAACCATCGCCTATAATAGACATGAATAGCACCATGGAGATTATAGAACATACTGGGACGCCTTTCGACAAAACGTATTATCTAAGCCATTCAATTAGTATGTAGAGTGCAAAGAATTTGGCCTTCCCATGATTGCTTTAAAGTTTTATATGCAGTGTTATTTCAATATAAAAACACGTCAAGATTATATTACTAAATATAGGTATCAAATATAAAATACACTACCCCAATAGACATTATAGTCGTGGGCGCATTTTTATAATAAGTACAAATCAGATAAAATAGATTAGGTAAATATGTGAAATGCAGTGCGTAGGTTAATATCACGTTTTGAAATCAGCATGTAGCAATTATATACTATAAAAATATAAATACGGGTTCGTTATTTAATTAACAAAAAGAAACCTAATAGTAATAATCAAGTCTGATTACCTATAGCCAGAAGGCTGATGGCAGATAGATACTTACATAAGAAATAAGTTTCTTATTTAATGGATATTATTTTATAATTTATGAGGTAACTAATTTATAATAAATAAGTATTTAATATATTTTGGTCGTATCGGTATTTATTATCGTGTTGTCCCAACATAGAATGGCCCACTCTTTCCTTTCCTGTGGGTGTCGTAAGAGGCGATAGAGAGAACTTAATGATCGAGGGATGGGCAGCAACGTTCCTCTTAAAATATCACCAAAGGCTAACTACGGTTGCCGATTTACCCGCTTGCCAAGCGTGGCAACTAATGGCAAAGCCCTCCATTTATGGTGGAGGCCTATTTTCAGCAATGGACAGTTAACGGCTGATATGATGATAATGATATCTTGGTCGTAATTTCCTGACAAATGTTTCTAAATATGAAAATTCTATACAATTTAGCAACTTACTAATGCTCCTTTATTTTCTTGTAGTGTGATACCGAAAAGTCCTATAATAAAATCTTGACACGCTACAGCCGCCAGAGAATTCAATGCTGACGCTACTGTTCTGCAGTAAAGAAACATTATTATATAGGTAGCTATCGCTAGTAATAAATTGATAATTAGTTTTTTTAATGGATGAAAATGGTGTGGTGCATCTGCCTATGCTAACGGTAATGGCGGCTCACCAGTACAGGGTGAAATGGTGACATATGAGATAAACATAGCTAATAATTTATTTATTTTATTTTATTTCAATAGGTACACATTACAGAGAATTAACATAGTTACATTAATTTATACACTACAATTATGTTTTGTTCAAGCTAATCCTTCAAAAATTTGCGTACACGGCATGATCAAAACATAAACACACAGCTAAAGTCTGTAAACACAATATAATTTAAACAACAAAAAATGGATAATCATATATATATATATACACATACAAACACAGACACACACACACAAACGCGCGCGCGCGCGCGCACACATACCACAGTGTACATATTACTTCATATATATGTTACAATAAAAGAAACTATCTACTAATTACAGAGGAAAATAATACGTAAACGTCGTGACGAAAATTACTGAACTTCTGACCAAATATATCAAGCTTAATTTGCTAGTAATAGAGCTGTATCTCCATTACTGACAATCCCATCTCCTTTAAAGATATAATTTATATAGGATTTTTGTCTTCGAACTATTATTGAATTAATAAGAGGAGCTAAGTCAACGTGACATAACAAAAACATATTAAAAATTACCCAAGACTAGCTGCGAAAATACCCGCGACGAAGAAACCCGGCACACCTCTGGCTTCACCAAGTTGTCGTACCACAAACAGTGGGAGCAGTCGATCAGATGCATTTATTACGCTTGCCTGTAATCAAATAAAAGCTTTTTTAGTCGGAACATCTAACGTACCTGCAGAAATATAGGTAATCTATTAAAATTTGATTTGAAATGGATACCGACATAAGTAAAAGTTTTTACTAGTAGTATACCTGAATTGGATCACAATCAGCATAATATTCTGCTAGAACAGCGCCAGTCGCAAAATTAATGGAGTACAGACTTATCAAGCCAAAAGCGGATGCCCATAATGCTGTTCGCACTTGACTGATACATTCCACTGATAGATATTTCTGTATGGTGGCCTGATTAGCACAGAACATGCTTGTCCAATATATGGTGCCGCCAACCACCACTGACCAAAATGAATGCCGCACCGTGGGATCTGGGTTCATGCTAAAAATTTTAATTAGGACTGTAATGTACAATTATAGTCTAATTAAATCAGCGTCTTGTTTCATACATCCGTATTAGTTATGCAGTTTAGTAACGGTCACGAATGTATAGTTACATATATTTCACAACGTTACATATTCACTATTTAAACGCTATAACAGATTGCTTGTATTTGGCATGTATTAAAAAATTTCACTTAATAGAAAGCTAATAGACCCATGACCTCAGTAATTAAGTACATGTGTATTACTAAAAGTGAAATAATTTATTTGTTAATATACACTTCTCCGATTATTAATATAAGATATAATTAAAAAAGCAGATACTTGAAGAAATGCAGTCTGTCGGTGCGTCGTGCATGGTCCCAAACAAGGTCCATTCCGCCCACGTGCGCCGCACCCAATACTAGTATCACCACCAACGAGCCCACTATGACAACTGATTGAAATGCATCTGTCATTATCACAGCTTTCATGCCGCCCTAAAAAATATGAAAAAATAAATAAAGCAATTATTATATATTATTAAGTTACATTTTTACCTTCTCGACTTTCGTCGACTTTAATATGTACCCCGTCCTGTAACCCACAGGAAAAAAGGTACACAAATGTCCTCTATTGATGGTTTTTTATGTCCTCCTACCTTGCCCTCTCCATTATTGAGTCTTTACTAAATTTGCGAATGGTTGCGTGTTCGGTGAATTGTGATGAATTGTGTTGGATGATTCCGGTGTATTTGTTAAATGTTTTGTTTTCTTTGTCTGTTATGTGGTTGATGACTGCTGCTTCTAGAATGTGATGATTTTGTGTATTGTGTACGAATACGGTATCTCCTAATACTTTGCTGAGTATGGTTGTTGTATGATGGTGATGTCAATTTTTGTATTCAGCTTATTTATGTATTTTTTATTTACTTTTAAGCTACTTTTCCTGTTGTGTCTATCGGAATGATAATCGTTTGTATGCTCCACAAACAACTGACTCTTTTTTAAGAAGTTTTTTTCAGAGAATTTTCTTAGCTCCTATATTATAGCCAATTGGTACAATTATATTTATTAAATATATTTTGTTATTGTTTTTATCTATGTATATTATCTATGTTTATATGATCTATAACAATATTTGTTTGAATAGGCTTTTCCCATAGAATCTTAACAGACTCATTTTCTTTAACTTGTAGTTGATTGACAGTTTCTTTCCATCAGAGATCAGAAACCTTTGAAAGATGTATATTGTGTTTTTGGCTTGCCTTTATTATTAAATACTTGTCCATACATGTGTCGTGTTGAAATATTGCTTTAATTACCAGAGGGAGACTTTGTACAAAAGTCGATTGCTTGGGTACCTCTGTCCCATTCGTGTTTCAACCGTAAAGCAGCTGTGTTTGCATGGCTGTGTTTCGGTTTGAAGGGTGGGATATGGCGTGAATTTACTGGGTACAGAGGAATAACATCTGAGTCCTCAGGAATGGCAACGCATGGGGTGTATCATGGGCGAAACAGTATACTCTGTTTTGTTCATAGTACTGCTCATGTCTATAGGCGACGGTTACCACTTTCCATCAGGTGGACCGCCAGCTTGTTTGCCATTCTAAGTAGTATAAAAAAAAAATTAGAAAAACATTTTCAATTTTTTAATTATCGGTAAATATAATCTTTCTGTTTCTGCCTTCTTTTACATTACTTCTTTTACGTGCTTTTTTTTATAGCTAACAGTTATCTTGTTTTAACATCTGTTTTCTTAAAATAACTATTTTTGTATATTATATTTTATAGTTAATGAAGGTGAAAGTAACTGTTGTTTATAAACATGAGCTATCACCATAAACATCATACATATAACGCCCCTGTTTAGTTCTCATGCACTGACACTCCTGTGGATACTAAGCTTTCATGCATTTTGTGTTAAAGATTGTAATAGATTATTGGTCTTGATCTTTCAGAACAACACATTCCAACAATTGCATTACTGTTTTATAATAGAAACAGTTGCAATTCATGCTTGTTAAAATAAAAATATTATTAATAAAGTACAATAATGCTCAATTTATTTATAGATAAGAAACAAATTTTTACATAGAAAAAAGTAATAAGAGTTATACCTACGTGTGAGTAAATTAAAATTAGAATTTAAAAAAAGAAGACGATACCTAATATTACTGGGAAAAACTGAGAAATAAATATTGAACATCACAGAGTACTTCTTGAAAGACTAGAACGAAAATATTTCTGAAAGTAGGGCTAAAAGGTGTATATAAAAAAGGGGCTATACTGTATGACGAAACTCAGTTATTGACAATTGTCAATTTAGATTCAATTTCATAGATTTGCGATTAGTGATCATTTGCTATTGGATTTTATTATGTAAAATCTACACAAAATCAGGTAAAATTTGAACAAGATGTTATTTGTTATTTTTAAAATTGCTTATACTCGTAATTTATGGAGATATTAGATAGTGCTATCTAGTCCCGAACTTCAACTAGAGACATTACAGACCAGACCAGTTACAAACGTTATTTTTACTAGGAGCGTATTATAAATTAAGTACTATAAAATATGACGGTTTTTTAATAAAACTTATTTAAGATTTAAAACCAACCTGAGATGAATAAAAAATGCATACTAGATACACAAGCGATACGGCCAAATAGGTGTTGAGACCAGTCACTGCAAAATAAAAGAAAATAAATAAATTAATTAAATCTTTAGCATTATCTCTAAGTCAACTTTTAGTAAAACAGAAATGTAATTAAGCAGTGAAAAAAAAATCACTTGAAAATCAATATTCATAATATTATTTAGAGGATGGTTATAAACTTCTCATTAACTGAGCCAGTAGCTGGTTTGATATTCACAGTAATATAAAAACGCTTATTTAAAGAATAGTAAATCGGTACGAATCTATAAATATAATGTATCGATTTATTACGTTATAACTACCTATACAAACATCAGTAAAAATTTTGAAATACAGATTTTAAGACTGTGAATCTTATACACAAATAAATGTTTATGTCAGCTATTACCAAATGTTTAGAGGGCATTCATTGGACTGTTTGTCTTTATTAGCTCGTATTAGCAGCAATTAACTACACATCACAGTAATGGTTTACCTTTAGTATCATGTATGAACCATTATAATATACGCAGATTGCATACTAGTAGTAGTATATAAGAAAGTCGTAAATTTGATGTCAGATTTAGCAATCTGTACAGTTGTGTTGAATACTTAAATATTTACGAAATATCCATTAAAACATCTAAATTCGAATTCTGTACCGGTTAAAGATATATGTACAAGTACCTACGTCACAGTATGGAATCTTCATTACTGCAATATATCTGATTAGTACCAAGAGCCGCTCAAAAAGTATGCAGGGAATTGCATTTTCAATAAAGTATCTGGGTTTATAGAAACTTTTGTTTCAATTTGTTATCAACGGCTATTTATAGTGAATTTTAAGAGTGTCGTGACTCAGGAATTTTTTAACCTAAACTTTTTTTTTATAATTTTTTTTTTATAAATTGGTCCTTAGTTTCTTTTTATGTTAGTTTTGATTGCTTTTGATTTAGATTTTTTTTTATCTGAAAGGATATACTTTTAGATTGGTTCCACAGAAATTTTATTAAAATCGGTATAGTAGTTTACTCTTTAAATCAAAATAACTGGTTACATTACTATGTTACTGGTTAGTCGATTTTTTTTGTGGAACAAAATCCATTTGTCACTGGAAGATGATGGAATGCTATAAGTATACGCTAGTAAGCCACCAGTGAATAATAATAGGTGAGATAGTTCAGTTGGCCCATCATGACGAATATACCAGGAATTCATCACGATGACTTCCAAGGAGACCGCGAAGAGGTCAACCTCGAGTATAGAGTATTCTACTAGTAATAATGAGGTGGTTAATCTCATTACTAACAATCCTTTTCTCTTACAGTGAAAGTTCGTCAGGGTGTAAAGTAATTGTGTTTCATGTAGACTATTTTTAGATCGTGAGTTCGAATCTGGCCAACAAACTTTATATCAATTTAAGTTCCTGATTAATGATGATGATCAGTAATGGAAAATATCAATGACAAATCAAATTAATGTAAGTGATGAGTGATGTTGCCCTGGCTCCTTGCCATGTTAAATGCTATTCGTTAGATGTGTCCTTTGAATGTGGGCAAGCTACGTGTTTCATTCAATACAATGGCAATAGTAGATAAATGCTACGAGCATTTCTCGACTGCAGTTACCGTTGTTTGAATGGGATAGCCATTAAGAATTATAGTGATATATATATATATATATATATATATATATATATATATATATATATATATATATATATATATATATATATATATATATATATATATATATATATATATATATATATATATATATATATATACATAGTGATAGTATAATTTATAATCACATCCTTATTGTTGCTGGGTATTATATTATTGTTTTGATGGATAAACAGTAAAAATTGTTTGTATTATTAAAATAAAATAGAGAATTGAATGAAGTCGCACTCAGTAGACACACTGTTTTCAGAATTATGAGTAGTATAATGTTATTCATTATAATATATGACACCACCACTTCAGTAAATGACAATGAGCTATCTTAAAAATAATAAATATTTTTTTTTTGCTAATAATGCTTTTAAATAATTTATTGGATGATGCAATATATATAATTTTATATGTTAACATTTTTTATATTTTACGGTAGTTTAAATCAGTAGTACATACATACAGTATTATAAATATTAAAAGGCATCATATTTTCATGAAGTTATGTCACATATATAAATAATAATAATCTATTTATATGACATTACATACCACTACTATATAGTTCATTATGTAAGAGCTATTGAAATGTTTGGTCCGAGAGATACATTAATTTTATTGTGCCTTTGTCATACAATTGCATAAAGTCAGTGGTCACTTGTGTTACATCGTACATGCATATATTAATAATAAACTTTTTATAAGTAATTATAAATACACGTTAGTGCTAATCACTTGGAGATTCTTTAGAAATTTTTCGAAAATTTTATCGCTTCCTTTTACTTGTTTTTGGAAAACAATCTATGATTGATAGGTGAATAATTTTAATAACTTCCATTATGAAGCTACTGTATTTTACGTGTAGAAGTGATATGTTGTAAAGTATTTAGTAGTTGTATTCGCCGTATGTTCCCCGGTATAGAATGGGCCATATCTTCTTTTCCCGTGGGAGTCGTAACAGGCGACTGAGGGAGGCTTAGGAATGGGCAGCAACGTCCCTCTTAAAACATCTCTAAAAGCCTAACTGCAGTTGCCAACTCGCTTGCCAAGCGTGGCAACTACTAGCAAAACTCCCTTTATGAAAAAGTCCAGTAGTGGACAATTAACGGCTGAAATAATAATAATAAAAAGTATTTGGTTAAGAGTGATTATTATGCAGTTTTTAATGGGTGGTACGGTGGAATAGTAAACCTATCCATGATTACTTTTTTGCAAAAGTTCAAAATAAATATCTTTATTTTCTTAAATTTTATGAAATGTTAGATGTATCCCTATTACAATAGAATTATTTTCTCTAAATAATAAACTTAAACTTACTTTTACTTACTAAAACCCTTGACATTGAATATGTTAATTAATAAAATACAAATTTAAATTATATTTATTCAAATAGACTTGTTTACAAGCACTATTAAATCGTCATTTTTTAAAAATCTACTGCAGAGTTCGGATAGTTGTTATCTGTTGAGAAGAGTCCGCAAGAAACTCAATAGTTATGTACTCTTTTAAATTTCTGTAAACATTATGTGTATTTATTTAAATGTATATCTAAAATTACATGGTCGTTAAAAATCCGTGCATGATGAACTAACACCATGTACATTTGTCATCAACTTACATAAGTAGGTATTTTACGACCTAAAACGCAGAGACATCTAATAGATTACAGACATATCAATTATAGGTATATTCTTTATTCATTTTTGTAATGGTTGACCATAATATGACCGAATATTTATCATATTTTATTAATTGGAATGCTTAGGGGGAAGGGATTGCTAGTAATGAGGAGGTTAGTTCTCATTGTTAATAATAAACCTTCGACTTTGTCAGATCGACCTTCACCCGGTCTGTTCTGGAAACCATCGTGGTTAATTCTTGTGAATTTTGTCACGATGGGCTAACTGACTCATTCATCCTCACTTATCATCGCTCACTGGTGCCTTGCCAGCGTATACTAATAGTGCAAGCAGGGCTACCATTCCATTACCATCCATTAGAAAAACAATTAGAATGCTTATATTACAGAGTCGGTCTATGGGGTTTACAGTAATAAGGCAATAGTGCAATTAATTTTATTGCGCCATTCATGCTTGAATTTATTTTTTATTGCGTATGTACCTACTTGATAATAATGGTGTTACTGTTACACAAACCAACGATGACACACTAACTGAAGAGCAAGTAAATAAAACACGGTTAACGCGCATTTATAGGACGCATTACATTCACTGAGATTATAGGTTACATGCTTAGGTGGATTATGTGTAATAGTAAACGGTCTTATTGATGGACTTCGATTTCTACAACTAACAACTATTTTGGTAAAAGTTGCTAAATAGTATTAAAGTTATAGGCGTACTTTTTTTCATGCCTACTCCATAATTATCTAGTACTCATTCTAGGGTCCAAGTGGAGTTTTCAGTTATGCACAAAGGCGTGTTTGAGAGTAGGTAGATGTGCTTTTTTTTAAAAAGGTCAGAACCTTCTCAGAAAATAATTTTAATTATCGTTAATGAATAGACCCCGCAAATTAAATCAGCATATGTAAATTTAGATAGAGATTCTGGTGTGAGGACACATCAGAAAAATGTTAACAGTTGTGTATTTCAAATTGAGCAAAACTAAGTAGTATGAATGTTTGATATTACAATACTGCCATAATTAAAATGTCAACCTATGTAATAAAAGCGTGCAGTTAGAAGATTGGTCCAATGTTGTAACTACTAATTACCCCTTTTTTATAAAGTTAGGCTGTAATTAATTGCCAAAGCGTTTGTAGTGAGACACTCAAATGTCTACTCTACTTACATAGATGTTATTAATGTATGTTAGTAATAATAGTTGCTACCGTATTTTGTTTAATCATAAACTACGGGAATAGACCGTGGGAATAAAGACATTCTTTGTTATGTTACGCATTTAATAGCCGCAGGTGAATCTTTACGTAATAATGTTTACGATAAACTTTTCTATATTATGGGAAGATCTTTATAGATACAAATACCAGTTATTTCTTGCAGTATTGCCTTGCGTGAATAAAGTATTCTATGTACTTAGGATATAGCCTATATGTCAATCAAATTTCATTTAAATTTCTTCAGCTATTTAATTTAACAAACATTCAAACATGTTTACATTCTTTCAAATCTTACTAATAATATATTTATAATATTAGCAGGATTAAAAGAAATTTGATAGATAGGTACTTAATAATTAGATTGTGTTCTTAAAAAAAAAACCCCGATTTTAATTGTGGCAATACTAGTTGTTTTGATATAAAAATTAAACTATTGCGATTTTGACAAAATTTCTATGGGACCAATTTGTATTTATAAATTTACAAAGGATATATTTATATCCTTTCAGATAAAAAAAGAATTTTCTAAATCAGTTTACAACTGACGGAGTTATGAGGTAACAGACATAATTTTTTTATGCAACTTAGAATGGCAAACAAGCTGACGGCCCACCTGATGGAAAGTGGTAACCGTCGCCTATAGACATGAGTAGTACCATGGACATAACAGAGTATACTGTTTCACCCATGATACCCCCATGCGTTGCCATTCCTGAGGGCTCAGGTGTTATTCCTTTGTACCCAGTAAATTCACGCCATATCCCACCCTTCAAATCGAAACACAACCATGCAAATAAATGCAGCTTCACAGTAGACACATGAATGGGACAGAGATACCCAAGCAATCGACTTTTGTACAAAGTCTCCCTCTGGTAAATATAATTGAAATGAAAACCTTTTTCTTTTTGAAGTCGATTGAAAATAAATGAAGCACCTGCCCGAAGGTTTTATAGTATTTCATATTTATTATAAATAGTATAGATATCACATTTATTCATTAGCTGGATTATTAATAAAATTTTTATTAGATATGAAAATTAGATTGGGATTTTTTTATATCACTGGGGTGGCCAACAAACATACGGCCCTCCGTAAGCGGTTACTGTAGCCTATGAACATTTGCAGTACCAGGGGCATTACGTGCCCGATGTATATGAATATGTATGTAAATAAGTTTGTTGGTTTGTTATTTCTTAGCGCCACAACGGATTAACCAATCGTCATATGGTGTACATGTACAACGTTGAGGTGGAGAAGGACATAGACTACTATTTATCGCGGTCAATTAATATATTCCGATCACGCGAACGAAGTCATGGTTGAAAACTAGTAGATTTAATAAATTTCTGTCTAATTGTAAAGTGGTTTCTTAGTTGTGGCAATAACAAAAATTTCGTATCATAGGTACCTACATCAACCGTAAAGAATATTAAGAGTTTTGTGACTGTGGTTAATGCAAATCACGAAAAAGACCACTTTAGAACAGAATATTTCGTAAACGCCGTAAAGTAACACTGACAAAGGAACCTCAAAATAAAAAAAAAAAAGTCGAATATTACAACTTTAAAGACTATTTCTCTGTTCGCAGGTCTTTTATGACATACTAGCACCTACCTACAAGTTTCGTGTCTTTTTTTTAAATTGTTGTTAAGTTGGATATAACAAAAAATTTGAACTGTTTGATAGAAATCATACCACGAAAATCATTAATTATACCTACTTAGATATCTGGTTATATTACATTTAAAATAGTTCAAGAATTTAGGTACCAGCGAATTAAAAGTTTAGTTGCCGTTATATGTCAGTCTAACTATAATAAGATAAAAAATTGAGTAAAAATTCGACTTTAAACTTGTGAAAAATTAGTTATTTTGATTTTTTAAATCAAACTAAACTGCTGTACCAATTTTATAAAATTTCTATAGGGCTTTCTGTAATGTGTGTATCTAAAAGGATTATACCTTTTAGATAAAAAAAAAAAATTCCAAGTCGGTTTACATTCGATAGAGTTATTTTTTTTTGATAGGTGATAATGGAATGGTAACTCCGCCTGCGCTAACGGTATACGCTGGCGGAGCACCAGTGAAGGGTAATAGATGAGAATGAAAACAGTTCAGTTAACTCATCATGATGAATTCATCAGGAATTCACCATAATAGTTTCCAGGGGGAACCGCGTGGAGGTCGACCTGATTAGGTATATAGCTAGCAATGGGATTCTCAGTCTCCATTACTCACAATTCCTTTCCCCCAAACGACGGAGTTATTAGGAAACATACATAGAAAAAATACAATAGAATTAAGAATCTCCTCCTTCGGTTAAAAATAAATTTAAAATATTATCGACCAAAACAGTGTTTAATAAAACACCGTTTTGGTTTAGTTGATGTAATGATATACATATTTTTTTTTTATGCCAAAACCTATAGATTATTATAATAACATTTATTACTTTAACAATCTTTTATTTTTAATTATACAGACTTTTGTTTAGACGTCAATAAATTTAGTTTTAAAATAGACCGTTATTTGTCTTTTCGTTAAAGTTTTTCTGTTCGATCGTTTAATTTTTTTTTCAAAAAACCAGTGCAGGCAGTTTTCATTTCAACCGAGTTCAAAAAGGAGGTTCTCAAATTGGTTGTATTTTTTTATGTTTGTTATCTCAGAACTCCATTATTTTTAAACTGATTTGGAAATTTCTTTTTTTTTTCAAAGAAATTTAGAAATTTTGTCAAAGTCAGTATTTTCATTTTTGAATAAAAATATTGGTTTTGGCACGATTGGTTGGAAAGTTGCTGTTTTATCTGTGTAACAAAAACCTGCTTGTTGTGATGAGATTTCGAATTGAATGTAACTGAAATATTATATTATGTACACTTTTTGCTTGATGGTGATTTCATGGCAGTGTTTTTTGTCTCTATATTATATTTTTTTAAATTTCGCATTAATTTAGCTATGTCTGTGACACTGAGAGATAATTAGTCTATGCTGTGTGTGCCCAGTAGATAACATATACTCAAATAATAAAAAATATTGAAGTTAATGTATTATTTATTTTATTACGTTTAGGTATTAATTTTATTTTTTTTGAAACATTTATTAATTTATTTAAAGAACTTTATTGACTAAATAAGAATATGGTAAAGTATAATTCTCTTCCAGTCAACTTTTGGGATAAGCATTATCAGTATAATAAAAGTTTACTTACATATACTTGGAAAATGGGAATAAATTTACGGGAATTATAATTTAATATTCTGACTGACCATTCAGTCTATTGTATATGCATACAACAGTATTAAAATGTATCTACTCTAATTTTAAGAACACAATATTACATACAAAAAATACTAAAGTACTGTCCCGACAATGAGTGCTCTGTATTCAACATGCAGCCAGTACATTGTGGTGGACGTGATAATGCTCTAATATCTTTACATAATACCTACTCATCAAGACTTACGTGCTCAAGAAAGTATTTACGAGTACATCTATTGACTTACTTTGAGCGAAGGTTGTGGTGCTATAACCTAATTTAACTTCACTATTGTAAAATGTCACAAAACGGTCCATTACTGTATTGTTAAATTACAGATATATATTTTTACTTTATTTATTTATTTTAGACAACTTGGATCCATTTCTGTTAGTAAGTGTACTTAAAAACTATGTTAAAACTTAATCACTAATAATGATCTAATATATGGTTTGATCCATGGATTATATTTGGCCCTAGACATTGTCACAAATATATGATTTTTTAGAGATTAGATATAATCTACTAAAGATTTTAATAGTTTGTAATTTAAAGAATTTCAAGTATAAAGTTGACCTACACTCGTTAATTAAAATAATGCTGAATGCGGTTATGCTATAAAGTGGCTTACAGTTTAAGGAGTTCTGAACACTGAATTGACTTAAGCAATATGTATAGATTGTTAGGCACCTATTCTCTTGAACTTGTATATAATTATTATTATAGTAGACTTCTGCACCTAAGTCAGTTTAAGAAGATTTCTTGTCAGCTAATAATTGCAAATAGAATATCATTTTATTGATAAAATCTAAAAATGTTGATTGTCCAATTAGTTACGATATTAAATGTGTAGCTAGTTTCATACCCAATAAATCAACAACTTCAACAAGGTCGCAATATGCACGTTGTACCTACATCATAGATGAAATTTGTTATGTATGTATGGAGCATACCACCATGTCCTAAATTCATTTCGTTTGCCATGTTACAAAATTTCTATTGATATGTAAATGATATTATGTATCAATCTGGAATAAAAAATACACGGTCAAGCGCGAGTGGCAAGTATTCGAGTTTCCTCATCTATATCAAGTTTCAAAAATTTGATAATAATTTTAGATAACGTTACGTAAAAAATCAGTATATTCAATCGTCGCAATATGAACATTTCTTTTTATATTACGAAGGTGGTAAACAAGCATACAGCCCGTCTGATGATAAACGGTTAAAGCTATGGACGATTGCAATACTAGAGATGTAACGTGCGCGTTGCCGACCTTAAAGAAACCTTAATATACTCTTATTGAAAAACCCTATATTACTCGTAATATGGGAGTAAACTCTGTTGATTTTAATTAAAATTATCAAAATCGGTTCAGGGCCCGTTTCCTCGATTCGGAAGTCGCTTAAAAATTACGGACCTCACCCCTATACAAATTTCACCTCTAGGGGTCAACTTTACAAAAATGCTGTTTATATTTCATATATATGCAAAATATTTCCAACTTCACATCAAAATATTTTATTGCAGAACTGTTATGTGATCGCCGATTTTTGAGACAAAAAATTATTATTTTTTTTGTGTATGTATACATAGTTTTAGGGTAGTACTTGCGATTATTGCAGATAGTCTTCCTGTAAGTATGAATTCAATGTGGCGAGGAATGAGCCCATTCCATAATTTCGTGTTAATTAGTTAATAAAGACAATGTTTACTATAACCGGAGGAAATAATGCGAAGATTTATATTAACACTAGAGAAACTCAGATTCATAATCACCAGGGTCTTCCGAGATGGGGTGTAGTGTAGAGTAGAGGTTGTTGACGACTAAACTCGGAATCATTATATGCCACTATGCTATACTCTCGTTGAATGCATATATCGTCATAGTCGTAGAATACTGACGGATATGTATATTTAATGTTTGTCAGATCCGTCAGTATTCTACGACTATGACGATATTAGAAGATATAGTACTGCGATATTAATATGATTGAATTATGAATCGTTTTACCATCAGATAGAGCGAGAGCTGGCGCGTAGACTGCCACCGACGTGTACAATATCATCTGCATCATATACAGTGCACTTGCGTACACTCGAACACTCTTAGAGAATCGCACTTCCTGCAATCAAATATTTCATTATCTAAAACTAACAGTTTCTAAGCCATTATCAATATTTAATAATTTGCGTACTAGGTTTTCTTGCGATAGTGCTTTTAATTTGAAATCGTTTATATCCGTATGATGATGGATTATGAATACATTGTGTCACTATTAGTTTTCATTTCTAGAATGTACCGTACACCACTATAAGAAAAAGGTAACTCGAAATAGATCTCTGTATCAAGTAACCTCGCTAGCGACATATTAAGTAATAGTAATACTCAGCCACAGTATAATGTCGATCTAATTTAAAAAATAAGTGACTTCATTTAAAGGAAAGATTTCCCCTTTTATTCAAGTCTAGTAGAAAAATGAGTAGGTTGCTACATGTTGTTATGTATAAATGACTACAACATTATTGACGACACCTTATTATTTATCATCAGGTGAACCGTCAGTTTGTTGGCCATTCTAAATTTTATAAAAGAGAAAAGAAAACTAATTACCAAATACTCGTAGCAAGACGTAAGCCGAAGTCTCATAAATACGGGTACATACAAATGACTAGCAATAGGCACGACGAGTATAAATGCTATACAAATCATCCAAAACTGCCCTCCAGCCATATACATCTCTGCCGGATTTCCTAATAACTCGATGGCTGTTATAAAACTGAAATTAACAATGAATTTATTTTAATATATAAGTATTATTTTTAATATATAGATCTAAATTATGTTCAATTTATGCATGAGAAATGGGTCTCAACTTTGAGCCTTACCTTGTAGCTAAACTTAAGGTCATAGGTAAAGTTCCCATCGTAGATCCACCGAGAAGAAAATCATCTCCGCTCGTTTGTTTCTCTCCAAAAAATCCGTAAAAGACGCCAATCGCACATGAAACTATTAACATTACTGCCAATACACTGTAATCTTCCCAATTGAATAAGCCATTTGTAATATTATCTATATTCTCTGAAGTAGATATATTATTTGTTGCAGTAATGTTTTGTTTCAGCAAAGTTGGTGTTGCAGCCACAGACAGCAAACTTATATTCAAACTCCAAACTAGACTAAGTATTGTAGTCTGAAATACATTTTTATTTATACATAGTTTATAATAAAGCTCCATAGCAAAGTCTTTTGTTTCTATACGAGCATGATAATGATTAGAAGAATAATGTACTGTTTTTCTTATTATTACTTTTATATAGAAAATAAAAAATGAGAAATATTTAATAAAAAATTTTATTACTTAAAATTTCCTTTTCTAGCTTTTTAAACTTAACATATGTATGATGTGTCTAGATGCGTATGCATGAGGCGTGTCCTGAAAGCGAATGAAACAAGACATGTGGATATGTAAAGATAGCTTTGGTTCTCGATTCTTTCTGCCTACTATTTATTCTTAGCACCTGTCATGAAGGTAAATTTTTCATTCGACTGTTTTTAACGTTTTTTTAATGCAACTTAAACGCAAACAAGCTGACGGCGCACCTGATGGAAGGTAGTAACCGTCGCCTATAGACATTTTTATTTAGTAAATAATGCGTATAATATAATATAGCATAATAATATAAATTAATATGCTAATGTAATATAATATCACTGTGTTATTGTGTACTTCATTACTGTACCGAATTATTTTTTTAATGGAATGATCTGCCTGCTTCCATTTTAGATTCACACTATTTTATAAGCAATAAAAATCAGGCTTTAATAGTCTTGTTTTTTAAAACAAAATTTTGAATTACAGAGGAAAGATTTTAAAGACAACATTATGGAATTACAATTCAGTTAGGGTTTCACCGTGTGTGTTAGTTATGTATCTAGTTATGCTTATTGCATTTGCATGCCAAGTTAGCAAAGATAATTTAATATTTAGAAAGTACGCTTACCTACACGATCAAAATAAATTAGGAACGTTGAAGAGATGTTAAAGCGACTCTACCAATATTGACATAAACCATTTGGAATTACCTAACTGATAAATGCTATAACTTGATTATTGCATATATATTCTTTTATAAATCTGAATTTGATAATTAACAGTGAGACCTTTAAATTCCTTAATTAGAAGGCTGATTCAATTAAACAAATATGTTACGTGACATGCACACTCATGTATGTCTACATTGCAAATGAATAATGGTGTAATATAAATTATTTATTTTTACACTAATTCTATTTATAGAATGTAGTAAGTTTGATATATGATAACTATTACTTAATTAAGATTTAATGTGGCGTAAAGTTACAATATATTTTGTGGCTACGGAGCATCAGTCAGGTTGTTATTTATTTTTAGGATTCTTTTTATTTATTTATTATTATTATGATTATTATTTAAGTATCATAAACTAATATAATTGATAAATTTTTAATATATTTTGATTTACTATATGTATATATGACACATAGCATTTAACATATTCAGTATATTACAAGTTGCCCTTGCGCTTTCTAAAGTAGAAACTGACAAAAATATGCATGCAAAATTAAACATAACGGTTTGAATTTGAGGATGTGTTTATTAATCGATATTTATTACTATTTTTTTTTTATACCACTGAGGTGGCAAACAAGCATACGGCCCACCTGATGATAAGCGGTTAACGTAGCCTATGAACGCCTGCAATACCAGAGGTATTACGCGCGCGTTGCCGACCCTGAAGAAACCTCTTTACCCCCCTTTTGAAGAACCCCATGCTGTAGTCTCTCGGGAAAACCTCGGCAGGGAGCTCATTCCATAACCTGAGTGTTCGTGGGAGAAAGCATCTCTGAAACCGCGTTGTACGCGACCATTTAGGCTGTAAGGTATGAGGGTGAACTCCCTGTCGATGGCGAGGGCGATATTACTATTACACGCAGAAGTTACTAAATAGATTTGAATTATAATAATAAAATTTATTTATTGGATAGAATTTAGGGATGTAGTCGGTATTATAAATACGAAAGACAGTTTTTTTTTTTTGTGACTAATTTAAGATTTATCCATGTAAACCAATCTATATACATGTTATATACTATTTAGAATGGAGGCCATAGGTTATTTTACATCCCCAACGATGAAGTCGCGAGTAAAATCTTGTAAAATTATTTTTAAAAATCTTGATAAATTACAGAAAGTTTATGACTCGAATACTAGGTGAACGTTTGTTTTTTCCTGAGGCTATTTAGTTTTGTTACTCTGATATGAATGTAAGCAATAACGAATAGTACCTTTCTCCAAGTAACATATAATGAAACTTTATCATAATATTTAGATTTGACGAAAAGTGCATAAAAGCAGCTGTCTCTCCGAGAGTATTTAATTGTATGGCATAATAATTTTTTTAAAACCAATAGTTTATCAATCAAATAAAGAATGCGTAGATTCATTCATTGCACAATTCGTGATGGTAATGTATTTGAAAAGTGTAAAACGTCGAAAAAACCTTTAATATATAAGAACGCATATCTACCCGTTATAAACATTGACAGAGTTAGTACCTACAGCTGGTTTTGTTAATTGGCAGACCTTTTGTATATCTACAGGTTTAGTCATCAATTGGTCTTCATAAAATTTAACCGTATTGGAACTTTGTTGTAACCTTATGTATACTGCGCAGTCGAAATGTAAAGATATTTTTTTGATTCCATTACATCCTGCGCTAGATTCATCAATGGGTCATTACCAACTTGTACTCACATATATAGATAAATAGGCAAAAGTACTTCTACTCTGTTTTCTTAGAAAAGCGGCAAAATGTGAAGAGATCTACATTTTAAAAAAATATAAATCCGGCACTGATCAAATAAGTTACGTGATCGATTTAGTATTTATTGCATCTGATATAAATATATTTTTTTATTTCTTTAGCAAGTTGTTAATTGCATGAATACTGTCTGCTGTTTACTATCAGTAAACAGGTATTTACAACTATTACAAATTTAACGGTTATGTTAGCATATATTTAAAATTCGTAACACGGAAGTTTATTTGAAGATTTCCTAAACAGTAAAAAAATAAATATACGAATTACTGGAACACAGTCACAGATAATATTTTGTCGATTACAAAACATTATTAAGTAATTTAGATTATTGGCTAGTATACGGAAAGCCGCCTACGTTGGTGTCGTTCTCTAATGACCACAGTTTATAACGACACGATCAATTAATTTCATTGTCACTGCGGAACGAGTGAACGAATATATCCTGATAATGGTCGGTTGATTTAATGATCGTTTCCTTAATTCCGCTTTGTATTGTTAAAACAGCATTGTCTAAGCCCGCTTGCTGCGCTACGCAGGATAAAAAGTACCTAATATATGTGCTTTTTTTTATACAACTTGAAATGGCAAACAAGCTGATGCTGATGAAGCCCACCCGATGCCAAGTGGTAATCGTCGCCTATAGACATGAGCAGTACCATGGACATAACAGAGTATACTGTTTCGTTCATGATAACCCCATACGTTGTCATTCCTGAGGACTCAGGTGTTATTCCTTTGTACCCTTCAAACCAAAAAACAGCCATGCAAACATAACTGCTTCACAGTAGAAACACAAATGGGATATAGGTGCCCAAGCAAATGACTTTTGTACAAAGTCTCCCTCTCGTAAGTTTTTTGACTTAATTTTAAACTAATCACATTATAAATTAGTACAGACAAACAAACATTCCTTTGTCACATGTAGGTAGGTTTATATCACATCGAAACTTAGTAGAGAATTATTTGCTGGGTGGTACATTACATTGAAATAAGTATAACATGTAAGGGGTGAAATGGAAATAGGAGTAGAGTCGTTTCAACACTTAAAAATTTCCTCTTTTTTATACTTATTATTGAGAATGGCAATCGGATAACACTAAAACATAGTTAAGTGTTTTTAATGGGTAAACGGAAAACGAAACACTGCCAACGCTATCGGTAAAAGATGGCGGGGTACTAGTAAAATAAGTAAAGAAGAAGTTAGGTCGTGCGAATTTAGTAGAAAAAAACCATGACAAGATTTAGACGTGTGGTCCAGGCATAGAATGGACCATTCCTTCATCCGTGGGTGTCGTAAGAGGCGACTATGGTAATTTACTGACTGAGGGATGACACCGACTTCAATTGTGGCAAAATCAGTTATTTTGATTTAAAAACGGAACTAATTTTGACAAAATTTTTATGGAACTAATCTGAAAGCATATCCTTTCAGATAAAAATATTTTTCTAAATCCGTTTACAAATAACGGAGTTATGAGGTAACAAACATAAAAAAATAGGACGGGATCAGAACCTCATCCTTTTAAATTTTTTTTTACCACTTCTGTTATTAGCAATAATTATTAATAATAATGTATTTATTATCCAAATTTTTTGTGAAGTGTCCAATTTATATGATCATAATCATATTTTCTACCAAGATTAAAATAGTAATTGTTGTTATCTGTATGGAACTTAGAATGGTAAATAAGCTGATGTACTATGTAACCGTCGCCTATAGACATCGTGTCGTATCGCAGAAACAGACTTACTTCGAGTACTTCTGTATCGTTTCGGTTTGAAAGATGAAGTCATAGTTAACTTACGGCCTTTTAGTCACAAGAAGCGATAATGCGTGAGTTATGCCTCAGAAGTGTTGCAAGTTTATATAAGCTACGTAGATATCTCACCACCCATGCTGCATATTAAAAAATATAAGGCAGTCGATTTTATATTATTTTTTGTCGGTAAAAATAGCATTTATGGCTACTAACAGACTTGTTTATTGCTTAAAAATATAAACAAAAAGAATTTATTTAGATTATAAGAATTTATTACAAAAATGATATTCAAAATTTTAATAAATTTGATATCAGGTTAGTTTAGATTAGTTGATAATAAATTTTATATTTAAAACTACCTATTCATGTTAGGTACTAACATACCTAATTATACAATAGTATTTGCAATGACTGAATGGTATTATTTGCAATGTGAATTCGCCACGACTATGGGTAGTAGGCGCATGTGCATGTTTTGTTATTGTGCCACTTAACGTGATTACTTATACTGGTTTATACCAACGCATATCAGTCATGGTGGCCCATGATCAGTGTGTAGTGGCATAAACCAGTTTAGTTTAGTTGGCACTCTTATAATTAGAGTTTGCCTTAGTTAATTAAGGAAATAATAAGTCCATATCATGTTACACTTTAAAGAGCAAAAATTTGGACAATGTGGCGACCAATACATAAGGGAAACTTACTAATGTACTAAAACTGTATCTAGACTATGTATGTATGTGTATAATATCTCCTATGTACAACATAGTTATGTTCCTGAAGACCTAACTTCAAATTTGGTGTATGTTCTATTTTGATACGCCATATAAAAGTAGTCTACTTTATTGATTTTCTTACAACTGAAACTATGTATACGAAGTAGTTGGCAAAATCCTTACCAAAAACATAATAAGGAATAAGATTAAACAATGAGAGAGTGACGTTAGTGTACTAAATTCTTTGGCATATTTAAGATTCTTGTATTGGGTCTGCCCCTTTAAAAATATGTATATGTATTCTCAGATATGTCTTTTTCTATAGTTTAAAGATCCGCTACTTATTCTGGGGTGGGCACCAAACAATAATGAGGTGGGCACGGCCCACACGGTTCCTCTCTAAACACGCTAGTGATAAAATTACTAACAGCCATAACTTGAACAGTCCAATGATGATAAATTGATCACAATAATTGATAAATATTTCATAAAGTCAACACATATTGTAATAACTATTTTCCCTGTCGTACCGTAGATTATTGTTTTGAATACTACCATGCAATATGATATCATTATATTCATATGAGTTATGTATCCCTTCAGAGCCAAGGCTGCGTAAAAGCGGATTATTGTAGACATACAACATCTTCCAGAGCTGCGTAGCCCTTTTGATTAAACCACAACAAAGCTGGCGCAAACCAGTTTTGTCCAGGGCGGAGCGTATTTGTACAAGTCCGTTTAAAAGGTCACGTACACATGACGTGTCAATTGTAAGCAATGTGGAAACAGAGCTGAAATTCTGCTGTACAGCAAGTTGCTATGTAGCTTGGGATATTTCATTTATTTAATGTTGCACGGTTTTATAAAAAATATCTCCAGTTAGACAGAGAACCTGTGTGCTTTATAATCTGTTTTAATAGGACTTAATAAAAATATAAAAACACGAATATTTGATCCAATAATAAAACAGTGGGCGGAAGGAATTGTTATTAATGGAGCTTAAGGGCCCATTGCTAGCAATATACCCAAACAGGTCCACCTCTATGTGGCCTATCCTGGAAACCATCGTGTTGAATTCCCGGTGTATTCATCACAATGGGCTAACCGACCTGTTTTCATCCTCACCTATCATTCCTCACTGGTGCCCCATCAGCGTATACCGTTAGCGTGGGCGAGGATGCCATTACGTTATCATCCATTAAAAATAACCATAAAACAGTCTTTTGTACATATAATCGTGTCAGAAAAAATCGATTAATTGATCGAATGTTTCGATTTGTTATTGATTTCATTTAGAGAAATACGAATGATAAGTTTACTCGTACCTGCCTTAGATTTTTTAATGGGATGAAAATGAAATGGTTATTCCGCTTGTGCAATCGGTATATACTAGTAGGGTACCGATGAGCGATGATAAATGACGAAGTAGTCAAATTAGTTTTCCTATTGTGTACAAATCTACTAGAATTTACAATTTACCAGAGGGAGACTTTGTACAAAAGTCAATTGCTTGGGTACCTCTGTCCCATTCGTGTTTCTGCCGTAAAGCAGTTGTTTGCATGGATGTGTTTCGGTTTGAAGGGATATGGTGTGTATTTACAGGGTACAGAGGAATAACACCTGAGTCCTCAGGAATGGCAACACATGGGGGGTATCATGAGCGAAACAGTATACTCTGTTATGCCACGGTACTGCTCATGTCTATAGGCGACGGTTACCACTTTCCATCAGGTGGGCTGTCAGCTTGTTTGCCATTCTAAGTTGTAAAAAAATAAATTTTATTGTCAGAAATATCAGTTGTAGATTAAGTATAAAAGACGCCGAGTAAACAGACTGACTTATGATGACTGAAGACAACATACATGTATCTAAGTCAATGTCTTAATCTTATTGTTAAAATTGAGTAATGACCGTAAATAAAGTAGCCTATAATATCAATTAACGCCTTTGAAGTTTTCCTATAGCTATACTTTTTTTAAACAACATTCTTTATAAAGGAACGCTACGGAATCTCCTAACGTGTGTATGACCACAAGTACTATTCTTAATTTCTGTATGTATGCGACCAAGATCTTACTCAAATACTCGATCATAATAATTCCTCTTAAGTTAATGATGTTTGGTTGGTAATGCTTAAACCAAAACGTTGCATGCTATAATGAAAGAGAATTTCGCCATTGCAGCATTGAACATAATATTTTTAAATTCTTAACCTTCACTCCAAAGATGTAGCAGTTTTTAACTACCTATAATGTACAAACTAGGTACATACCTATGTAAACTGGTATTTATACACGCGTGATTTGGGAAAAAATATATGATGGTTCAATGAAAAATAAAAAATACGAGTATATTTAAATAGTAATTCGTAATTAGATAAGCATTCTTTTATGGGAGCCTGGCAAATGTTAACATGGGATGTTTATTATTTTTTGTAGATTTTTGATTGTTTCTTTAGGGAAAATATTAAATTTTATATGTTAAATGTTTTTATTAAACCACTTAAATTTTTTTTTCTACCTCTTTAGACCGTTCGGTCAAAAAAAAATTTAAGTGGTTTTTGGGGAATTAAATCTTGAGGTTTTGGTTCATTTATTTTTATAATTCGTATCTTAATTTACTTTATCGTAAAATTGTTATTGTAGTACATTTGTTATTTATCCCGTGACAAGGTTTTATTTTCGTCCTTCATGAGTATAGCATCTATACTGACTTTATAATATTTATATTTTTCGATTATTCAACAACTATAATAATAATTTATAATAATAATTTATTTATTTGCTAGAAATGTGGTAATAATAATGGTCTTAAATATAATAGATCTACACATTTCGCCTTATCTAAAGGCATGCAAATTTAGTATTATAATTTAGTGGCTTACGTATATTAATAGCCTTAGGATCAATCCATAAATATTGGCAGACTATGATTATAATAACAAGTCAATAATATAACAAATGTCATACAATACAAATTAATTACACATTTATATAAATATTTAAAAAGTCATTTATTAAATAAAAATTGCATTCCAGTAACCATTTTTTTCATGATTGTTCTCTTATTGATTTTGGTATTTTATTATATTTTTTTAAACTTAACCTATGTGTAAGTTTTGGTGGAGAAAAGTCCTTATTTAAGGTCCTTGTTAAGAAAGACATGATTAAATTTTAGAAAAATATTTAACAAAATGTCTCATATTGAAATTAAAAATACCAGCAGCGAATCCTCATATATTAAAAGAGATGCTAATGATTTCGATTTCTTTCTATTAGATACATAACAGTTTAAGGGGTAAAAGTTAATACCTACATACCCAAATGTTTTACTCGAGTATAAGCTATAAGCGATTATTAAAAGAAAGAGAGAAAAAAAGTTAGATGTAAGCATTTTTTAATAGTAATTTTTTGTGATTTTGCTGTCTATTCGGAATACAATTTCAGATAAGAAGAACGGATAAGAAACACAGCAAAATGTCTCATATCACGCAGTATTTTTTTTTAATAGTGACATTCCCTGCATTACTGCGTGACTTTATATAAATTATGAATTTATATGAATACGTACTACTAAGCAATTTCAAATAATAAAATTTAAAATATGTAGTAATTAATTAAAACAAGTTAATAAAATGCAAAATGGAGCTGCCTATAGGGGCTGGTGCAGCTTTGCAGCGACCAGAGCAGACCAGTCCCTATAGGCAGCTCCCGTTCACGTATGAGGGATGAACCAGCCATCATTGCGTTCAACTATATTTCAGGGAATTCAATAACCCGGCTCAACAAACCACCATTTGTCTGGACATCATACTGTACGCCACAGAAATTATGAGTATCTTTAATTTATACAAAAATTAATTCATTAGACCATTCATTTTTATATATATGTATATCCTAGGACATACATTATATATAATTGGAAATAGTTTCGGGTTGTGAAAATTTAGATGCTTATTATATTGGTTTCTGATCCGACACTATTCTCGTCCATCATCCTTCACTGGCATCCTGCTAGCAAACCTTAGAAGCGCAGGGGAAGTGATAATTTGACTTTCCTTCAAAAATTATAAAAAAGCTATATGATTACAGTTTTATTTAATAGAATTAAAATGAAATGGTTACTTTGCCTGCACTATCGGTATACGTAAATCAGGTGAGGGATGACAGACGAGGATGATGATGACTTCCCACGTTGTGGAAATTCACTTATACATTGTTAGGCATGCGCATACACTGACCGCGCCGTATCATCATATAGAAGACTTTATATTAATCTGATTTTCTTTTCGTCAACTTGGGGTTTTAAATACTCATATTTGACGCTGTCTGCGCTACATTTTAATATTACATAATGTAATTATATTGATGCTTATCGCACCATCACTAAAGCATTGATGCAATGCACTGTGAAATGTTATGTTCTTCTAAAGAAATTAGTTTTTCTTGGCCTTTTTTTTGTAAAATTACGCAACATTCCTCGACTATCCGAAGCAAAGCAACATGTCAAAAGGTTATTCGTGATGAAGCTAATTATCCTACACTCTCGTTCATTTTTTTTATTTCAACCAACACATGTCGAAATGTAAAACTTGCGAAACATTACATTTACATAGACATGAATTCGAATTTACGTTTTAATAATAGTTTCGATTTCTTGTTTAATGTATGTTTTGCTATAATATACTCAAAAAGATATATAAAGTTTGACTTACCTTTATTAGTTTACTGCTGATCATCGAAATCATTTTTTTGCTGTAATAATGCGATTGTTATTTGTATCGATAATGCTTTTATATTTATTTTAGAAACAATATAGTCGTAACTTTTTGAATATTTATTTATTACACAAACTATTAACCATCGGACTTTAAATTGTATGGTTATACTATATTGCTCTCGGAAGCGTACTGAAAGACCAAGATGTCGCTTCGATATGGGACAATACACAACAATTAAAGACTACAATTAAACGAGATACATAAATTGATGCGTGTGATTAGTTTTTACGCATTGTTTTATTCAAGTATTTATTGTTATTTATGTATTCTTAATTTTTTACAAATTGCGTAATAATCACTAAATATAATGAATTGTGCGATATAGCTGAACAATGCCATGATGATTGTTTCAGTTATGTATAAACGACGATAAGAAACCTAGGCTACTTTTTCATTTGTGGTTGTAGGCATTTATTGCTACCTTAGATTATATTGCAACGTTTATCGCAATTAATGAAAGAAAGTCATAAATACATAATTTTTCTGTATTATTATACAGAAAATGAAAATATTATTAACTTATTTATTATAGAAAATAAAGTTGTATTTCCGTCGTTAAAAAAATATATTTTGGAAGAAAGAGAGTAATAAAACTAATCTAATTATTCTTCAGAATGGTAAAAGTATTTAATGTTTTAAAATAACAAATATTTTTTCTAAGCAGATTCTTGTCTTATTTTTTTTTTATCACATAATCAGGTAAACGTTTGCCGTACTTTATGGACCACAGCCTTCGACATTATTATTATCATATCGGGAATTAACAGTCCATTGATGAACTGTCTTGTCTTTCCCATACGAAAAGATTTGGCAGTAATTGTCACGCTTGGCAGGCGGTTTGGTGATCGCAGTTAGGCTTTTGGTGATGTTTTAAGACGAATGCTGCTGCCCATTGCTGCTGCACTCCCACGGGAAACGAAGGAGTAGCCCATTCTATGTCGGGACCACACGACACTATATGTACTGGTAATATATGTGTGTTGCTGAAATTCAGCAAATTGTAAATCATATTAAAACCAAGGATATTACATAAAATTATAACCTGCACAGACCAGGCGAACATAAAAGACAATTTTATTTGGGAATATAATGTTTGTCGATGGTACAGATCCTCATGTAGATGGTATTTAAAGATAAGATTGGAAACTTGGAAGTAAACAATCTTCCTAATATAATAAAATTGTAACTAGACGATGTCTGTACTTTAAGAAAAAAAAATATGAGGTCTTAATAGAAGAAGCAATAGAAGTTACGTTTTGTGTATCACGTAAAATTATTGCATAAAATTGGATGCGGTATTCACTGTTGTTGTTGTATGTCCTACTTTAGTACATCATTTAGAAATAGTCACTTACTTCACAAAATAAGAGCTTAACTGCGGTTGCCAACCCGCCTGCCAAGCGTAGCTACTACTGGCAAAGCTTCCCTTATGGGCAAATCTTATGTCCAGTAGTGGACAGTTAACGGCTGAAATAATAATAAACCAAAACGTGGTTAATTATTTGAAAGAAAAATATGAAAATATTAGTTATTTCTATTCACTTTGGACATGAGGTTAAAAGAATCGTCATACGGGATGATAAACCAGGGCTGTCACCTTTCAAATGTCAATAGATTTTATTGTTATTATTTTAAAATTAAAAGGTACCTATATTTATAATTAAAACCAAATTCATAATCCATGTCTAATTGAATATAGGTACACAAAATTAACATATGACATATTGAGTAATTTCGTAACATGTACCTTCACAGTTATATAAATATTGAACATTTTTACAAAATTGTTACTGAGAAAGTTGAATAGTGAAGTAGATCACAAATATCCATAATTTTTTGTTAAATATTTTGTCTATTTAAATTTGACCAACTCCAAGAAACTTAAGTAAATTTAATTCATTGTTAATAATTTAATTAATCCAAAAGTCTAAAAGATTCTTTCGCTGGCATGTCGAGTTTTAATTTTATCGATCAAATATGTATTATCTTTAACAAAGCGATAATAAACGCTAATATGGTAATTGTAATTAATTTATGAGTTTTTTACTTATTAATAAATTAGACAGTTATTTTTTCTTACCCGTATCTATTAGTGCCCAATATATAGTAATAACGTATCTATTTGCTTTATATTACGTTGCTATTTACCTCTAATTAAACTAAAAATCGATACATTTTATAAATTTCATTATTATATCTAAATATTTCAGTTCTTACATCTAAATATTTCACACATGCACTTGTTTTTGCATTACGGGAGTTCCGACATAAATTCGTAATTAAAAAAAAATTCCCTTACTTAAATAATGTATTGGCTATTAGATATAGTTGAAGTTTTGAGCGGCTTAAATCTGCTTGAAGTGATTGGAGACTTTCAAATATATTTTTAAAACCTTTGACGGGGCTCTATAAAAATCAGTCTTAACGGGACAATAGAAAATATATTTGTCTCTAAAATCAATTTAAATTTTTTTTTTTCTATTTAGAAAAACTTTCTTGAAACCGCCTTCACCTAATGAATTCTATATTCTCCGTTATACGATACGAAACCCTTTGTCTTTCAAAGTCTTTCTGGTTTCAATCAGATTTGATCTATTTTTTTTGTACGGCTCATTGTACCAACTACAACCAATGTATGCGAACATTTGCATCGTACCATGTGGTATTTTACTTAAATTATACAAAACAGTATTACACTTTTTTAAATCCATGAAAGTTCTAAGAAGAGATTAACATTCGCCGTCACAATAAAATATTAAAGTATCGCGCCAGTCATTAGAGTTGAAGATGTATACCTACTGTGTAATGCGTGTAATCAGAGGTGTTGTTGCTAAACGTTTGAGTGCCATTCACATAACTCCAAATGAGCAACAACTCCAGGTTGTCCGGGTATATTACCTGTCAGGATTGTTCCGTTACCCCCAGATCTATCAGAAAAATGAGCATTAGCGCATCCTGACATTTTGATTTAATACAAAACTAACAATTATAACTAACTTATCTCTTAATTGTCAGCTGTTTAGGTGTGATTGAGTAACAAATATTCAAATTTTTATATCTATAATATTATGCATGGCTTTATCTGCAGTAAATAAATTTATAATCACTTGAAGTATTTTTTGTTAATCTAGAATATGGTTTATCTCGGGATTGAGTAAAAATATTTTAATTATAACCATTATAAATTATTTATTATAGAATTATTATTATTGGTAATATAGCCACAAAGCACACTTATATATAATCGTCCCTTTAAAAATATCACCAAAAGCGGACCCGCTTGCCAAGCGCGGCAACTACTGGCAAAACTCCGGTTATGGGAGAAGCTTATGAATAGCAGTGAACAATTAATAGCTGATATGATGATGCTAATTATTATATAGATATATAAAGTTTTTGTATTAACTTTATACACAAAACCATATTTAGATTATGAAGTCACGGTGACATGAGAATCGGATAACACTGACGGCGCTTAACCATTGCTGGCCGCCTGATACGATTTGCTATTTGATAAAGTTTATATAAAATCACCAGACACATTTTATATTTTCCTGATGAGCATTTAGGTATATGGTACGGGCCCGCTCGTGTGAAACACGCTCTCTCACATAGATACCCAACCAGAATTTAACATTTAACCTCGCAGTTCCGTGCTATCTTACTGCATAGGTACATAACGTTCACCGCTACACTTACCTAGTGAATTCAACTTTTCACCTTTGGGATGCGACTTGATCAAGTCGATTGGTAGGCGATCTTTCATCACACCTGGCTAGATTTTCTGTTGTATGTAGGTATCTATTACGTCAACCACATAGTTGTAAGCATTACGCGGCTGTAATATCTATCCGATTTATAATTATATGCATTTTTTATAATTATGTATCTTCCTCTTATAAAATTAATAAAATTAATTTAGTATGCTAGATATACTTTATATACCTTACATGTTTATATTACATAATAATATATCAAATACCTTTTGGCTGTGTAATCTCGGCATAGAATAGGCTATCCCTTTCTTTCCCGTGCGTGTCGTAAGAAACGACTAAGGGAGGGCGAGGGATGGGCAGCAGCGTCCCTCTTAAAATATCTCTAAAGCCTGACTGCGGTTGCCAATCCGCCTGCCAAGCGTGGCAACTACTGGCAAAACCTCCCAAGGGGAAGGTTTATGTTCAGTAGTGGACAGTTAAAGGCTGATATGATGATGATAATGACAATGATGATGATATCAAATACTATAGTAGCAGCTAGTGGTTTTATGCAGCTTCGCTTGAGAACCTACATAATCCAAAAGACAATGGCAGGTTATTATTATTGTATGACATGGAAGTCATATAGCTCATAACCATAATAGTAAGTTTCTGATACTGAATAATGTGTATGATTTAGCTTATATAAATAGGTATAACAAATCATATATATGCTGAATGACAAAGCTATTTTAATTCGTACAGAAAAGCAATTTTATTTATTTAATTTTTTATTGAAGGAAAACCAACAGCTACAGAGTTTCATTAAAAAAACAATGGTAAAGACAGAGAGTTAATTACAAGTTTTCACAAGTAAAAAATTTAAAGGAATTTAAAAGATATTTGAACGAATTTCCGATTGTTATGTTGTTTTTGTCCCACCAACTGTGTCTCTTGGTTAATTTTGAATGATGTTTTCCATCACTTTTAAAATGTAAGATAATTTTCATGTCTTAGTAGTTTTTATTACTTGACTTTCTGGTTAAATGATAATGATAATATATAGAGATAGAACAATATATAATAGTTATTTAGGTATTGAATCCTAAAATAATTAATTGTACGCTTTAATAGTTGATTTATTAGGCACTAGGTTTTACCGGCGATTTCGCCCGCGTGACCGGAATATGTTTACTGATCGGGATAAAAAGGAGCCTATATCCTTCTCCATCCCATATAATAAGCGAATATAATAATATTTATAGTGATTGGTTAAACTGTTAAGGTGCTATAAGGTATCAAACAAAGAAATAATTTTACTTTCACATTTATTAAAAATAATAATTAGAGTCTTAAGCTATAAATAAAATTAATTATAAAAACGAAGATAAAATTATTATAAAACAAATTCCTCTTTGTAATGTGCTGCCCTCGAGCACCAGCGCAGCGTGGTCGCTTCGCGGCCGTCAGTAGGAGGAGGACAGCGCTGCGCGTGAGCCCCATCGCATTGCGCAAGCCATGTGAACCATCGAAAGTGCCCCCTCCCCCGGATATAGAGCGTGCATCTCTTATAAACACAGGTGGCACCAGATCGCTGGACACTACACTATCTAAAGTCGCTTCTAATACGTACCCCAGGATGTGTGATAAAACGGTAGGTGTCTGTGGTGTTAAGAACTTTAACAGTGATAAGAACTTCAATTGATCTAGTGATTTGGTGGCATCGAGTCACAGTGCATTTGTATAATTTTGATGAATCGTCGAGATAGTGGGTTGAAGTGCATATATGATAGTCCTCGCGTATTTGTCATCCTTGTTAAGATTCTATATACAAAAGTAAATTACTACATTTATTTCTGTGTGCTCATTTAAGAGGAACTTTGTGTGTGCAGGTGCTGAGATCTTTGGTGTTGGTAGCGGCTGCAGCGTGCGTGGCCGCACGGCCGGAGCCACCAACGTCCTACGGCGCGCCATCACAGTCTTACAGCGCTCCTTCTTCTTCATACGGTGCTCCGGCCCCACAATATGGTCCTCCCCAGCAGCCAATAGTCCACAAGCATGTATACGTCCACGTGCCACCACCAGACAATGAATATCCAGCGCCCCGCAAACAGATACATGTGCCTCCTCCGCAGAAACACTACAAGATTGTGTTCATTAAGGCGCCTACGCCACCCACACCCACTGCCCCTGTTATCCCATTGCAGCCTCAGAACGAGGAGAAGACCCTTGTCTACGTTTTGGTGAAGAAACCAGAGGAACAACCAGATATTGTGATCCCAACACCAGCTCCGACTCAACCGGCTAAACCTGAGGTTTACTTCATCAGATACAAGACACAGGTAAGCAAATATCTATTAAACAATTCCATAATTATTACTTAGTAAGATTTTGGAAAATGAAAATTTTGCTGAAATTTAAACTGAAATTGAATATCACAATTGATTAAAGTATCTAAGGGTACATATAGTATTTTACACAGGTCGTTAAGTAAATATTTTATTGCATACTTTACCTACAAATACAACAAATAAGAGAGATATATTTTAATAATAATAATAAATACTCGTTATGGTCAACTTCAAATAATACTTCAATATAAATAATTACAAAAAATAATAACACAGAAAAAAAAATATAATGGGCGGACTTATTGCTTAAAGCGATCTCTACCAGGCTACCTTTTTTAAGTTATTTATTAGGATTCCGTAATTTTATGTAATTTAAATTAATAAACAAAAGTGTCACCAAAAATAATAAAAATATATTTACGGTAATAATAAAACCTGCATGATTGAACATTTTATAAAACAAACGAGAGATATCTGATATATAAATAATAACATTAAATTATTAACTTTTAGTCTTTTATAAAACCTTATAGTACTTCTTGACATAATTGACGATACGTATTATCAGGAACTTTTAGGTTACCTGATCGTGTCCTAAATGCTTATTATAGCCTGGCCCTGACTCATTGCTGGTAGTAAAAATTAGATTTTATTAAAATAAGGCCACCATATGGCTGTTGTGGTCTGTGTTGTTAAACAGTAAACTTAATTTCGTATAGGCGTACATATCATTCAGTTTATCATTACTTATTTAGAAGAGCGTAAACATCGTAAAATTATATTACTTAAGTTAAATTAAAAATTTCTTATTAATACATCGTAGAGTCGAATTCGAAGTAACATTATATTATATAAAATGAAATTTGATATTGATATTACATCAAATTTTTATTTTAAGAGCCGTTACGAATTAAATAAATAGATAGATAAATAAATAGATTTCAGCAAGAAATACGTTAAACTTAGTTTTTAATGATCCGTAACGCAATTATTTCGCTAAACTAACAATTTAAAATTAGAGAACGGCACCTCAGAATCGACACCAACTTAACAAAATCCGACTATTATTTTTACATTTAATTATTGTATTGTATTGTAAAATCTTTACTGTACATAACTCAGATTAAACACTGGTAAATGATTTAATTATAGTACTTCTAGTCGAATTTTTACCTTGTATGGGTTAATAAGTTTATTTCACTTAATGGGTAGATAAGTGAAGCAATTATTTTTTTGTTATACGTGAAGAAAATTAGTTCTCAGGAATGGGATACATGAGGAGTCGGCATCACAGTGTTTTATTGTGTATTCAGTTTCGTCTATGGTGCTGTTCATATCTATAGGTGACAGTTAGCCAATTTATCTTGTTTGCTATGGTGTACAGGTAATGTAAAAAATTTAAAGTTGTGTTCCATAAAAAAAAACATTTTAATCTAAAAACTAAACTACTGAACCAATTTTGAATAAATTTCTATGGAATCAATCTGTAAGTATATAGACAAAGAAGAATATATATGTATAAGATTTTTGTCATTACCTATTCAAAGCAAATAATGTATTCTATTCTATTCAAAAAAATATTATACTGATCATAATTATTATTAATTATTGTTTATATTTTTTAACAAAACTCTTGATTTGTAGTTCGTTGAAATATTAGGTTGGTTCTGATATGCCACTGTCAACTCTATTTCTAAAATTAAATTATTTAAGAGATAGTGCAAGCATTTAGGGAACGTCGATCTCCAAAGTTTACAGTAATATTCAGTTTTAGAAAATATTATTATATAGTGTCTATCTTATCTCATTGTATATTACATTATTTTGTAACTTTCGGCTATATATTAGGCATAGATCTTTTAAGGGAAATAAGTGATCTGTTTAGATTTACTGTCTACCCCGATTAGAAAGATGAGTGTTAATAATAGTAATACAGTAAAAGTAATCTTGATAAATGGTTTGAATCTATTGATTAGAATCTTAATGCCGTCAATATGAACACTTCGTTAATTACTGAGGAAGATTTTTAATTACTTGATAGATTACAGACAACACGGGGATATGCCCATACTTACCTTGTGAAAGTGTGAGTGAATATTTCCTGACGTGATCAAGGAAACATTATCTACCTGACCTGATGTGCTTGGCGCTCTATTATTATTACATTGACGCAATAGAGGATACTACTGTTGTCAGAAATTACTACACGATGTAACGCAACGTATTTCTAAAAGCAACATTTTCCGTCATTAGGTCCAGACCGTACTGTTAACCGTTTTGTATTGTTCTCTGGGAATGTGACTGTGGACCTAGATTCATTGTGAATGTAGACCAAATGTTTTTAATGTCGCTGCCATTATGTGTTACGTACATTAAATTGTGGTTTGCGTGTAAATTATTTTCGTTTTGGCGTTAGCGGGTGGGGCTCACATCCATCGAGCTATAAGTATGTGGGCTGTGATATAACATCATAATTAGGTATCTTTTGTCACATAGGTACCTATTGTACATTATGGCATTACAGTATAAAGTAATAATGTTACTGTATGAAATATTTTTTTTAGAAACAAGAGGGATATCCTGCGGCTGCTTCCCCGGCAGCTGAGTATGGCGCTCCCGCATCGGCTCCTTCCTCCGAGTACGGCGCTCCATCTGGCGGAAGCTCTTATTGAACCGGATTTGTTGGCATACTTTCGTGACCCTCCCCTCTTAAATATCTACCAAAAGTTATTTCATACATATTAAGTAGATATATAGCATAATTACTGTAGTTGTTAGTTTTGATTACTGCAGTAACAGGGTCGTCGATTTGTAAATCAATGATGTTATACTTACGTAATATATGTAATTATAATCAATTACTTATAAAATAGCTATAATAGTTATAAAATTTACTACGCTTTACGTAATTACTTTCACTGTAGGTATAACGAGTAAGTACAAATTTGACAGCCGTGATTGATTATATTGTTTAGATGGATTTTTAATAGAAAAATAATTATTATATTTGTTATTATACGAATGCTTAGTTTCAAATTTGATTATTTTATTAATATTGATGTTTTATGTAATACTAATTAAATTATCAAATTTAAAGAAAAGCATTCGCATTCACATAAAATACGTTTCTTTCCTTTTTTAATGAAGTGAAATAAAGAGATTTTCTAATTTTGTGACGAAAGGACTCTTATCAGGAGAGTTTAGATATTTTAGAGGATGGACGGGTGCGGTGACCACTAGCATTGTGATGACTGTGCACTGTGCTGCAATGTTAATTTTTATTTTGCATCAAATTGATGTCCTTGTTTGTAAATATATTATTTTATACAATAAAATGTTTTATAAAAAATCTTTTTTTTTTTTAATTTTGTTCTCCAGCCGCAACTAAGTGTTTTTGTTAGAAACAACATCGACCTTAGGGGGCGGGGAATAGAGTGGCGAAATCCAGGGGGAGGGGTCTAAGTTCTATATCGAAATGGGCGATGACCTTTATTTTAGGAATCTGCACATATACATATTGGATCCGTTGGACTTGATTTAGGCGATATAGAATTCGATGTGGGCCACATCAAAATATGTGATGATCTTGTTTTATCCCATTACATGTTAAATTCAGTGTGGGTGATATTTAAATGGATATAGACTTTTTTTAGGGAGAGGGTACCATTAAAAACTTGCCCAGAACCAGCAAGAACACTAAGCCAGCGTTGGTTAAAACTATATTAAGCCTTTTCGTAGATCTGATAATTTTTACTTTTAGGTTAAACAAATTTGTAACTAGTTTAATCAGTAGTTTACATATATACCCTACCCCAATTTGGTATTTTTAAAATAATTTCTTATTTTCTAAAACAGTAATAAATTCTAGACACAGTCATATATGAAAATTCAACGACAGAGAGGAATTGTTAACAATGAAGACAAATAGCCCCATTACTAGCAATATGCCCGAACTGATCGACCTCTTCCCTGTCTCCTGAAGACCATCGTGGCCAATTTCTTATGAATTCGTCACAATGGGTCATCTTATCTACTTTCATTCTCACCTATCATCTTTCACTAGTGCCCCGCCAGAATATATATGTATATAGCGCAGGCCGGGATACCATTCCATTATTATCCGTTAAAAAATGCCCAACATGGCTGCGTACAATTCGTTCCTATTGTGTTTATCATCACTGTAAAGATAGGAAACTTAAAATGGATATTTTGTGCGTCGCTAGGAAGACCCTGGTACTCTCTCTCTCTCTCTCTCTCTTGATAATATATTTGAATTAATATATAAACAACATATTTATGTATCTACCTACAAGAACACAGAAGTTAAAAAATAATTACTGTTTATTAAAATTAGAAAGATAAGGGCGGTTTACCTATCATTTAGTTCGACGACTCATAGACCACTAGACCGTGAATCGTAATGTCTACGTTGCTCTTAAGATTGAAATTCCATAAAAAATATTCAAATAAGCTAATGTATACATCTATGTTATTTATTTTTAGATGTTGGAATTTTTTTTAATCCTCAATATGTGGAAGTGGTAGATAGCAGCTATCTGATCTGAAAATATCCTATCGCGATTGCAGCGAAGGTAATGTTAGTAATGGGTCTAACAGCCTTTTTTTTAGTAATATAACCACTTAGGTAGACTTCCACGCGGTTCCCTCTGGCAACCATCATGGTTAATTCTTGTTGATCATCGTGACGGATGATCTAAGTGACCTGCTTTATTAGTGACAAATAATAAATGAGGATATTTATTATTTCATACTAGTACTCTACCAGCGTACAGGCGAGGTTATCATTTCATTATCATTCATTAAAGACACCTATTATGATATATGAGAGAAATAGTGGTTCTATTTCTAGCAAAATATACCGTGTTTAGTCTACCTTCAGGCATCAGGATAGAATATTGCTTTTTAATTGAGCTATCCCACTTCAGTCGTTTATGAAGGAAAATTTGTTTTTCAGCGTGTTACGAAAGGTGTTAACTAGTGGTTACTAGACCCTGATTAGTGACGCGCTAAAAGCGAAAACATGTGAATCATGCACAAAATGGTAATTTTAGTCATAGAAAGAACATTCTTTGTCGCAGACTTATTACACAATATGGGTTTTGAAGTCTATGTAAACACTTAGTAGGTGATTACATAAAATATTTGCTACAAATGTATTGATCAACTAAAGAGCATTGGTTAAAATAACACAATAAGAGTGTACTCGATCGTTAGAGGGATTGACGAAATGCATTTCGAGATTTTTTAATATCAATTATATTGAGTATATATTCAAGCAATACTTTAATATTGAGTGTTACTTATTGAGAATGTGTTGCGTAAAAAAAGACGTCGTTCGGTAAATTACGAGTACATTGAAGCCCTTATATGAGTAGCAATAATACTAGGCACTGCACAACAATACACGATCTCACATGTACTAGGTATTTTTGTATAATGACATCCCGATGTCGAAAAATGTGTTCCACCAATTGCAGAAATTGCATTCTTGTTTGGCGCAATTTCTTCTGCATTTCTATTAAAACTTTCACTATCTAATTTGATACGATTCTGTATTAATGTCTGGTGCTCTTTGGATCTGCTGACCCAATAAAGCAGGTTGATAATTTTAACATCTTCTGAAATGCAGATAAAGAAACTATTCATCGCCCACGTAGTTCCAATTAGATTTTATGACTATAAATTCTTTTAGCATTTTGTTCAAATATATACACATAATATAAGTTTTAATAATATTTTTAATAAATGCAAAATTACCCTTTAGTACAACTTCTTACAATTCTATTCGTAATCAATAGCCAATATCGCGGAATAACATTTAAATACCTACTTCCGCTACTTTGTGATCTTAACAAAAGAATCCACCTAAGACAAGAGGTGCATAAAGAATATCAGAAAACGCTCTTCTACTTGAATAGCAGCGTGTCTATCAGTTATAAATTAAATCAGTGCTAATCTAATCTAAGTAAACTAGTAAACTAGGTAGACTGTAGGCAGTTAGGATAGCAGTGAATTTACTGGATACAGAGGAATAACACCTGAGTCCTCAGGAATGGCAATGCATGGGGGGTATCATGGGCGAAACAGTATACTCTGTTATGTCCATGGTACTGCTTATGTCTATAGGCGACGGTTACCACTTTCCATCAGGTAAGCCGTCAGCTTGTTTGCCATTCTCAGTTGTATAAAAAAAAAGCAGACAATATGTTTAATCTATAAGATAATCGCTTATATCATTTGCAATTAACGAATAGGTAACAAATATTTATTTATTTTTTAAACAATAAAAAAAGTAATCCTTTTACAAAAATTACTACAAAAACCTATACTAAAGAAAGTGATGCCGTATCATCTTACATATCTACGTCTAACAAAATCTAATACTTAGTATGGGAATATTTATTAGTTGTTACAATTTATTTGTTAGTTATAAGAATACATTTTTGCAGCTTTATTTCAATGACCATTATTATAGTAAATAACCTTTGACTGGTGAAATCGGATATTATTTCATAAAAGAAAGATATAAGCCACTATTTATTATTACCACGTAGAGCAGCTAGTTTGCCAGCGCGAATTAAGATTTTATTCCTATTTTTTCTTACACTTTACAAAGTTTGTTCCGACATCCAAGATTTGAAAGTAACTTACAAGTTAGTAAAAAATATATGACGGTGTAAAAAATAGAATACGATCATCATCTCTTTCCATCCAAAGCATGTTGTAAGAAGTGTTGTTTAATGGTTGATAATGGAATGGTAATCCCACCTGTATCCCATTCTATCGATATACACTGGCGGGACATTGGTAAGGGTCATCCCTTACCAATGTCCCTAGATGAAGATGAAAGCAGCAGCATCGCCTATCCGAATAAATTCATAAAAAATTAACAATGATGGTTCTCAAATTTGGAAATTGCTAGCAATGGGGTCACTAGTTCTGTTACTAATAATCACTCCCCCTCCCTTTAAGAAATGTTGCTCATTATCACTAGTGCAACAGAGAAATAACTCGAAACTAAACCTAACAAGTCGCCTGATTAACATGGTAATAGTAAGGGGAAGGGATTGTTAGTAATGAGGTGGTAAGTCTTTATTGCTAGCAATACACCTCCACGAGGGGAAAGGGATTGTTAGTAATGAAGTTTGATAGCCCCATTGCTAGCAATATGCCCTATTATGTCGACCTCCACGTGGTTCCCCCTGGAGACCAACGTGAACAATTCTTGTTGAATTAGTCACGATGGGCTAACCGACCTACTTTACCTATCATCTTTCACTGGTGCCCTGCCGGTGTATACCGATAGCGCGGGTGGGGTCACCCATTAAAAAAACGTACACCTCCACGCGGTACACCCTGATTGCCGCGACGCATCGCGACGGGCTAACTGATCTGACTTTATTCTCGTCGCTTCATCCTTCACTAAAGCCCAGCCAATGTATATCGTTAGTATAGGCGGATGCACCAGTCAATATTCATCTATTATAAAAACGTATTAATGGTACTTTATTTTGTACAGGTAGAGAACCGTGCCTAGTAGTAGGACTTTCATTTTTTTAACACTTTCAGGAGAGACTATTACACTTATTACTTATTATTATTTTGTTTTTACAGAATATCTACTTACATAATAATATAAGATAGGCAATTTTAGGAATTGGCGTATAGAAGAGGTGAATTCTTTAGTACCTCGATGTTAGCATATTTAAAATTATTTTTTAATTTGTTTTTCTCAATGTCTACTGTAAAGATTTGGAAGTGTGTATTGTGAAATTACATAATTGAAGAAAATTGGATGTACCGGCTAGCCTTCAAATATTCGAATACCGGCTTTGGCCTGATGTAATTATAAATACAACAATAGCACGACGAAGGAGTCTCACGGTATTGTTACAACTGAGCAGTTCAGCATTTTCACTTTTACGTGTCTACTTATCTACCTATGATTATAGTAATTTTTCTATGAACGAATGCCGCGTTGACCGCATATACTTATTACGGGCACCTACCACGTATGTTATGTGAGCGCTTCCGCAAGTCAAGGTTAGGTAACGACATAAATTTGGTAGGTACCTATTATAGGCTACTGAGTGGGAACTCCATATTATATACAAGTTACCATTGTTTTAAATTTATGGTCTATTATATTATGAAATGTTAGTGAGTGCAACTATGGAAATGTTGCGCAGTATATACTCCTGTCGAATGTGAAATTGATATTCCGGTCGACCTGTACAGTATTCTAGTAACGAACCGTGAAACTGTCTAAAGCTTGACATAGATATATTAAAGATCTGTAACATAGTTAAGTAATCAATTAATATGTACTTACATAATGAATAATTACATAAATAATTTTATATCTAATTGAAAGTACCTATTTTATTTTATGCAACTGGTAAACAAACTGACGCGGAAGGCCCATCTGACGAAATGATAAAATGTAGTAACCGTAGTCTATATATGTGAACTGCACCATGGATGTCACAAAACATTATGATAGCCATGGTAACTTCTCATACGTTGCCATTCCTAAAATTAAGCAATTTTTTTTTAAATAGGTGATAATGAAACATCGCCTGCAGTCTCGGTATACGCTGACAGGGCACCAGTAAGGAATGATGGGTGAAGATGAAACTAGATCAGTTGGCCTATCATGGTCATTTCAACAAGGTTTAACCGCGATGATTTCCATAAGTAACCGCGTGGAGACCCACCTTTAGGGTATATTGCCAGCAATGGGGGTTTTAGACTACATTTTAACAAACCCTTTGCCTTAAAACGAAACTACTATACCTCTGCACTTTATAATTTCATTGCTATGAAACAAAGAAAAAACAAAAAAAAATCTTTTAACCCAAGCAGCCATGCAAGCGACAGAAACACAAGTTGGACCGAGGTACCTATCCATGCAGATGACTTTTGAGTAGTCTCTTTCTGAAATTAGTAGAATACTAGCGATCCGCCCCGGCTTCGCACGGGTGCAGTGCTGATATTAAATATACCTACTTACTAAAGAATGTCCTTATAAACAATGTTTACAGCTTTTTTGTCATTAGATAATACAAACATGATAAAGTGCTATTCGGCGCGCTATTTATAGGCACGCGCCGCCGGCCGCGCCGGGACCGCCGCACTGCTATGTTCCCTCATTTTAAATCTGTAATATTTTTGGAAATATTTATTTAAATTACATGTTGTAAAGAGCCATATTGATCTATATTAAATGGACAATATATTTAAGGTACTTAATTGGATAAAAATTAATGCTGTATTGCTTAAAATCACTTCGTAAAAAAGCCATTTTTTTCCGTAAAATGTAAAGGATAAAATTGGTTATTGTGGGTTATCCTTAAGAGATAGACATATACTATCGCGGACTTTTTTTGTTGACCTTTTTAAGATGTATAATACTATAGTACATTATATAGATTTATCTCGGGGGGTTTAGCCAGCGTTTGGAATGTAAGCGTAAAAAAATGTGTTTATTAACGACATCACATTAGAAACCTCTAAATTTATCAGTGTTTCTCTACAATATTATGCATGTATTATATATTAAAACCTTCCTCTTCAATCATTCTATCTACTAAAAAAAACCGTTTTAAAATCTGTTGCACAGTTTTAAAGATTTAAGCATACATAGGGACGGACAGACAGCGACAGCGATTTTGTTTTATACTATGTAGTGATGATAGTGATGATGGTTATGAACTAAGCCACAACATTAGAGATTATGCGTTATTTAATTGTTTTAGAATTTCCTATCTCGAGTACCCAAGTTAGAGACTAGATAGGTACAGTATATGTTAAAATATGTTTTCGTCCAAGCGAAGCTAGGACGCCTTGTTAATACGTAAGTATTTCAAGTTACGTAGACATCGCTATTAACTTATTATTAGAAAATTGCTTTGCTCTCTTAATGATTAAGTACAATAAAATTTTGGCTGGTTGTATTATCATTTCATATATTATAACCTATTTATGTAACATGGAATGGTACTAATAACTCAGATATGAAAAATATTTCGAACCAAAATCCAGACGCGTCTAGAATGTTTTTAACTTTAGTAAACAAAGGTCATCGTACGCCTGCACAAACTATTTTGGTCCCATATGTGAACGGGATGAGACTTGTCAGTAGTTTCTAGTAATATCGTACTAAGAAAAGACGCTATATATTGGACAAATCAATAATTAAGTTTTAATCATGTCATTGAAAGTTGTCGCTGAAACAAAGATCAACAGTGAACCATGCGTAATTGCGTGGGATAATAAATTATTTGTCGGTACAGATGATGGCTCTATAAAAGTAAGTTGTCAATAGCGTATCAACAAATCATTGCGTATAAAGAAAATGTGCATGTTATCACATACTATTTAATGTTTTGTGCATATCTGTGATACAAATATATAAATTTTATTAATTTCAAATAGTACTTAACTAATCAAGAATGTTCAGTTACATAAAGTTACATAAAAATGTAGTTCTGTGCTGTGTGACCTGTTTAGGCGTTTTCCCTTTTTTTATAACATAATTATGGTAAGAAGTAGACTAGTATTTTAAAAAAAGTCCAACATCTCCTGGAACATCATCCCATATCATCTACTGACTGGGTATCTACGAAATACTTGTTTGCATTATTCCAGTGACTTCTTGGTTCATTGATTGATAGATAGATAGATAGGTAACCTTTATTACCAGTATTAAGAAAATAAAAAATTAAAACAATAAAAAGAAAAAAAAACAATTAATTTTGCTGGTAATAGGAGCCGCCTCAGCTGTTGCTATATATGTACAGCTCCAGCGAGAAGTACTTATATAGCGCTGATTTTCAGGCGGCCCCTTAACTCCTTTACCTTTAGCATGCGTGCGGGTCGCCAATACCTATTTCTCGGATGGGGAGACTCAACACGCTTAACAACAAATACATAAAACCTTACAACTAAAACTGAAAAGAACAAAATGAATAAGTTATCACACTTCACAATGATAGATTGGGCTGAACTGCTACAGAAATAATCTAAACAAAATTTGGTTTTAGATGTAATAATATTAATGCTAATGAAAAAATATATATACTGGTGTTCTCTGAAGTTTTCAAATACGTATAGATACTAGCTACGAATAAGAATTAAGATTGTATTAACTGTAAGTTAATTGTATATATACAGGAAGATTCATGTGTACTGTTTCTTACAAACAGCGATCTGAATAATCTTAACACTAGATACAAATACAAACCTGCTGTTCTGAAGTGTCGTTTAGAAAAAGTTAATAGGTCTATTATGGGAACGAGCATTAAATTTTATTATAAGGTAACTAAAGATATTTTGGTTCTACCTTTTAATAAATTTAAAACTGTTATTAAACAAAGCCTATTACACTCTAAACGATTACTTAAATGACAAGCGTGCAAGATGTTAGTCGATCATGCACGGGCTTTTTAATGACCATGTAATTTTAGACATAGTACAGTTAAATAAATACACGTAATGTTAACAGAGATTTAAAAGAGTAACTATTGAGTTTTTTGCGGGCACTTCTCAACAGATAACAACTTAACTAACCCTGCGATAGATTTAAAAAAAAATGACGATTTAAAAGTGCTTGTAAACAAGTCTATTTGAATAAAGATGATTTGAATTTGATAAAATTTCTATGAGACCAGTCTGTCATTTAGTACCTAACTTATCTGAGAGACCTGCATGTATAATGAAGGCGCTCTAGTCTACTCTTGATACTAGAGGGCATTCATCTCTTGATACCTCAAACAAGTTGTAGTAGTTGTTTATGTCTAGCATCCATCGAAAAGCTTTGCTTAATTTGGCACTAGATGGCGCTGTAGATGTGTCTAGTGGTATTTCTTTAATACTAGCTACCCGTCCTGGTTTCACCCTAGTATAGTTATCCCGTACGATTTTTCAAACATTTTGCTTCACACAAACCTTGTTCTAACAATTAAAAATACAACAAAAAAGAATTAGTCGAAAAAGTGCAGTAGTTCTGAAGTGAAGCGTTTATACACTTTTAGCGATTGATTTTCTTTTTATTTACAGTATTTTTTTTAATGGATGAAAATGGAGTGGTAACCCCGCCTGCGCTATCGATATACACTGACGGGGCATCTGTGAGAGGTGATTCGTGAGGATAAAAGCAGCTCAGTTAGCCCATCGTGAAGAATTTCATGAGAAATAATCATGATGGTTTCCAGGGGGAACCGCGTCGACTTGATAGGCTACATTGCTAGCAATGGAGCTGTTAGATCCCATTACTAACGATTCCTTTCCCCAAATTTACTGTACTTACCCTAGTCGTTCAACGCCGATTTGTCTCCCGCTGTCGCCTGGGCTGCCCACGGTGTCCAAATTTTTGCAATAGCTGCTCATAATGGCAACGTGTACTCTTCGTCTAACGATGGTGGAATACGAGTGTGGTCGGCGGAAGGAGAGAAAATTACTGAATTACAAGCAGCTGATGCCGACATAGGCACGTTACGTGTATTTGATAATGGTCTTTACGCAGGAGATGAAAATGGAAATGTAAGTTATATATATTATTATATTATAATACATGTTCATAATTATTTCATTGTTTAATGAGTTAAAAAGATAGTTTAAGGTTATTTTAAGATATTAAAACATATACCGATTACCGGCCAATTTAAAAATAGAATTCCTAACTGTAAATATGACAGATTGGCTTTTTTCTCAGTCAATCATAGAATAAAATAGAGAATATTTTTTTACGCAATGTGTATCGGTATAAATAAGAATACTGTAAAAAAGAAAATGGAAAATTATAATATTCATGAATTGAGCTTCATTATCATGAGTTTTTTTGCAACTCAGAATGGCAAACAGGAATTCTACGGACGGTCCGCCTGATGGAAAGTGGTAGCTATCCTGTGGTAAGAGTATCCATCCATCTTATTCTTTTTCTGCTCCCTTTCTATCATAAATTATGATCCTAAGCCACCTGTATCCATTGATCTGTAACATTTTTTTAATCCTCCTGATATTATCCTGGGAGTTGCCTTACACTGCATTTGCTTGTACTAAGTCGCCACTCGAGAAACTTTTTTCGCAATAGATATTCATTGCACATTACAGAACTACATAATCAGCCCATTGTTATTTCAGCTTGTCGATCCTTTAAGTTACATTGATTATTTTATTCCTCATTTATATTTTCTGGGTTTATATCACGGAGGGGAACTTCCAACGAACCTAGTCCCATAGATTGCTGAATATCTTGGAGCGCTTGATAGGTAATTTTTCTATCATTACTTAACAGGCGATCCAGTAATACGAACGAATTATTTTTTGCTTACCTGATTTTTTGCTTGATAGTACCTACTCATACTTGCAATGAAGTCGCAATATGAACGTTGTTGTTTTGGTTCAGTTTTAATACCATGTGAAATCGGTTACATAATAAATAATAACACTAGAGTTAGTCACTAGAGACTGACAAATTAAGAATGAGAAATGTCAATAGAACTATGGACATACATATGACTACATATGTAGGTATATCCATGATTATATTGGTTAAGTATTGTGTATGAAGGATACAAGTTATAGTATGTTATAGTATGGCTGTAGATGACGATTATAAGTATTCCTGTTTATCAGGTGGGCCGTCAGTTTTTTGTTACTATACTTGCTACTTGCATTTGTAAAAAAACACATTTCTCAAATAAAACTTAATTGTATCCAAAAAAATTAAATCAAACCAATTATTTAAACTATACTAACAAAATCGACAAAAATATATTTGTCTGAGAAACTATACTGTTTACGACGTCTTTCTTGTAACTCTGTATTAAGATACCTAACGCTATATTTTACTCATTACTTCTAACAGGTGTTTTTTATTTATTTTAGGTTATTGTATTTGAAAATAACAAAGAAATAGCTCGATATAATGTATTAGAAGAGGTAAAAGACTTGTGGCTTTATTCTCCATTCCTGTTTACTGTACGAGACCTAGATGTTACCGTGACAGAAATCAAACCAGGTAAGTACCTATAGTTGACTATTTAAGCGACTTAAAAAAGATTTCCAATGTTATTTAACAGCGGAGTCGATACTGAAGCATCATTCTCTATTTCTAAAATCAAAATTTTATACTACAGCGAAATGATTTTTCCGAGGACCAGTATAAACTAAATTTTTAGTAGAAATCTGTGCGGTTTGAGAAGAGTTTCCTTCTACGAACGCTCAGGCTGTGGAATGAGTGAAATGAATACCGGGGATTTCCCTAGAGACTACAGTATAGGGTTCTTCAAAAACGGTGAAATAAGTTTTTCTTAGGTTAAGGACATCCTAAGTGTTACTGGCATCCAAAGCCTACAGTAACTGTTTACTATCATACGGGCTATATGCTTGTTTGCTATCTTCGAGGTATAAAAAAATTTGTACCTATTTCAAAATCGACATCGACCCCAGTATGTTTAAAATTTTCTTAAACTTTATATTCACTAACTCTGAACCGATTTTAATGATTACAGTATATAGAAATTTTAGACGAAACGATTTATATTAGTGTAGAAAGAATAGAACTTTTGTTAAGAATAAGGTTGTTTTTGTAAAAAAATCTTAATAGGTAATATATATTTTAATCATTTGTTTGTTGTTTTCAGATGAATCAAGAACTCGGTTTGTAACTCGTCATACTATGGAAGGATCTGCACCACTGCGAGTAACAGGATCGCATCTTTTAGTAATGGCTAGAGGTGGTAATGTCTTAAAATTGCATGATGCTACTTCACAGACAAAATTTAAACAACTGCATGAAGTAAAGGTATATAAAGACTGTGTTCTACCTGTTTACTTAAATGTAAAAAAAAAAAAAAAAGAATATGTAAGCTGAACACAAGACACTGCTGATATCCAAAAATAGTACAAATCAAATATTGATTAATTGGTTATATCCATTTAAACAAATTTTATGAAAAGTTTCTGTGTTAATTTCAACAAAATTATAGAATACTTTAGTAGAATATAATAAAAAGGAATTGATATTGAAATATACTATATAAAATAATAGACATTTTATTGACCTCTGATATTTCAACAGGTAAGTGACATGATAGTGACAAGCTTATCAGTATACGGCGAGTATACTTTTACTGGTGGATGGGATGGTTATGTTCGCCGGTGGAAGATAGCTGAAGACCAATTAGTGGCAGCTGGAGAACTCAACTTGGAATCTTGCATAAATGCTATTGTTGCTACAGACAATTGTGCGTATGTTATTTTAAGTGGAGGAAGAATTGTTAGTGTTAAAACTGTTTAGAATAAAATATTTTTCTTTTTAATGATAAATACCTACCATTTCCTTGTCACAACTATCTTGAGTAGGTATATTAATGTTCTTCGATTACGATAAGATCAGACCTTTAGTCCACAAGAACTAAGCGTCCAATGCTAATGTTTTTCATGTCTATAAGTTTGCAACGCGCTTTTGTAAAGCTGAAAATGTTTTTTATCAGCAAGTTTGACTGCCATTCCTTGTAGTATAAGTAAGTGTATGTAACGTTTTTATAACTGAATAAAATATTTTTAATTAAAGTTATTTATGTTTTTTAAAAATGTTTTTATTAACCACCAATTAGGGGCCAATAGTTATTAACAATGCCTTTCCCCAAATGTACCTACCTGTTAAGAACTATTGAGGTCATTCAAAATAGTATTTGTCCTCCAGAGATTGCACTATGATTTTATATAATTGGCATACCTATTTGATAACTATAGATATATCATATCCTTTCCATTCTAGAAGTATGAAAACGTCATGGACTGTAAGTTTTAAGAATATAATTTTACCCTATCTCAAACCATTCTACACTTAGTTTCATAATCTTGTTGTACATTTGAACAGATATCTATATCTTTATTGACCCATATTTCAATAAATAATAAAAATGTTCTAATTTTTTTATAAACTCATTAGCTTGTCCAGAAAGAAATGTTATGTTAAAAAAAAAAAAAAAAAATGGACCCAGAACCCATAGTAGATCCACTACATTTTTTCTTATCAGGTAAAAACTTTTATCTCTCAAGTTAGAGATGACAAAGATAACAAAATTTCCTTAATATCAGTTCAGCAGTTTTGATTTTGTAATGAGATTTTCATATATATATTATAATAATAATGAAGCTTAAGGTGTTGTCAGTGTTTTGAATTAATAAATTAAAAGGAAATTACAAGATACAGATGTACAATACCAGACTTCAGGAATGCATTTTTTTTTTTATACAACTTAGAATGGCAAACAAGCTGACGGTACACCTGATGGAAAGTGGTAACTGTTGCCTATAGACATTTCGCTTTTTGTTTCACCCATGATACCCCATACATTGCCATTCCTGAGGACTCAGGTGTTATTCCTCTGTACCCAGTAAATATAAAATTAGAGATCCCTACACTATGTATCTGTGTAATGCCAGGTGTAGTGACCTAACTAATAAGTATACAAAGTTTAGATGTAGGTAAACAAATAAAAATAATTGTGAATGTAATCACTTTTAATTTATATTGCTAATTTATATACATTTAAATACATATTGTATAAATTTGTATTGAAATTATTATACCAAAAACAAATAAGCATATTCTGAATATCAAAACTCTTTAGAACTGAAAAACAAATAATTGGTAAAAATATATCAAGTATGTTTTTTAAACTGATGTATTATTTGAAAGCCACTCATCAGAATGGCAGATAGGGCTGTTGAAATAAATATTACAAAGCTACAAATGTAAAAGTTCACCTACATTATCTATTTAATATGGAACACAGTAAAATTTAGATAATAATTTCAACATCGGCTAATTCCGATTCTGATGGTAGTTTCACTGACTTTGGATTGATATAATTGGGATCTATAGGTGGCAAACCAGCTTTTTCACGACGGCGTAATTCCAAAAATGCTTCACGTTGAGTCCAATCTCTCATGTGCATATCAGGAGAATAAGCCCAGAGGAAACCACCAAAAACCAAACATAGGGATACGGAGAAGAAGAACGAAGAGTGATGTGCATTTGTATCTTCTTCTTTGCTAGTGTAGTCGAAACCGTAGCTCACCCAGTTTTTATCTTTTTCACTAGTATCACAAGCAGTTGTAGCAGTATCACTATTCTTTTTAGATGTAGATATATTTCGGATTGTTCTGTTCATGTGATTCCATACACACCTTTGCATCACTGGTATGTGTCGAAGTTTAATTATGGCAGCCATAGCTGAAAATGAAATTTACGTATCTTCTCTCTCTTCTTTTGGAAGTTGAAAATTCGCTTAAAAATAATCTGTTAATCAATTTTATATTTCGGAAAGATTACGAAACCATCAGTAGTTTTGGTAGTATTGGTAGAAAAAAAAATGAAATGTCAAAAATGATATTTTTAATAGTTAATTTCGTAGATAGAGGCAACGATAATAAATACGAACAGCTATATTTTTAATTATCACTACATAAGGTGATTTGTCACGATAGGCGAATAGACTTGCCTCACTCTTACATTATTACTCTCACTTTTCCTTCATGGGCTAATGTATATATCAAAGTAAACGGAGAAAGCTGTAAAAGGTGAAAGACGATGAACACGAAGAAGCACAGCATGCCCGGCGCTCGCATTAACATTTATTAAAAGACTCAAAGACCTTTTTTGCTCTTTATTTTTATATTATTTCAACAATTCTAGATATTTAAATCAAAGAAAATTGAACAATTTGAAGGAATAATACGATTGACATAAGCTGTATGGGCAGAGCTCTTTGCCATACTCATTAACATAATGAGAACAAAAAAACATCGCATTCTATATTTCATATCACGGTCGGCTAATCTGATTTAATTTTTTTCATTAATTTTGCTGTTATTCATTTATATTCAATCTATACATATTCTCGTTGTGATTTTTTATTGCCATACAGTGTTATTTAAATAAGAAAATGGTGGTCAGACAATATAATGAGGAATTAAAGTATCTAGAGAAGATAAATCCGTATTGTTGGAGGATCAAGAAAGGCTTCCAACCTAACATGAATGTTGAAGGAGTATTTTATGTAAATAATACTCTTGAAAAACTCATGTTGGACGAATTAAGAAATTCTTGTAGACCTGGTATGACAGGTGGATTTCTACCTGGCGTAAAACAGATCGCAAACGTAGCAGCATTGCCAGGAATAGTAGGCCGGTCTGTCGGCCTTCCGGATGTTCATTCTGGATATGGCTTTGCTATAGGTATTCTTTAATTCTTTTATTTTCTTTATTATTTATGATTTATTCTGGTGTACTTTGATATAACTCTTCTGATATGTTTTGATATATTTTCTGCATGCTAAAAGTGTTACATACCTAGGTATAGTTTTCAAGAGTTAAATATAAAAACATACAATTATAGTTTTTATTAAAAGTATCTGTTGAACAAAAATTGAAATATATATAATTTTGTATTCAATCTATAATTTCCAATTCAATTAAAATTACCTAGTAACAGTAAGATCTTACATACTAAATTTTAACATTTTATGTATAAATTTGATTATAGGATCATTTTATTGCCCTTATTTTATTTTTTAAGCAACTTAAAAAAGCATTATGTTTTCAATTAATTTGTATTTTGCATCTATATTTACACTATATCTTCACTAATTCTGATTTTGACATTCCTTTTCCAATTATTTATCTAATCAAAATTAAATTTATTACATTTTGTGGATCACAATCTTACATTACTTTATATTGCATGTTTACATGATAAAGAAGCTACTGTTGTCATATGATTTTCAGGAAATATGGCAGCTTTTGATATGTCAGATCCAAAATCTATTGTGTCTCCTGGTGGTGTAGGGTTTGATATCAACTGTGGTGTGCGTCTTTTACGGACAAATTTACATGAAAAAGATGTCCAGCCAATTAAGGTATAGAACTAAGCCTTGTGAAATTTGTGACATGGATGCCAGTCTGTCATTCCAATTGTCACTTGTATTAGTAGGTATGGGTTGTAGACCTGAATATCTACTCCTATCCCTACCTTAAAATTCAAATAGCATATATTATTATACTTCTGCATACTTGTAGCTGGGTGGTATATATGCAAGAGACCTTGGGAATGCATTTGTTTTTAAAACTGACTTGTAGAATTGATTTTGGGATCAATTCTACAAAGTCATTTATATATTATTAAAGAGGATTATATTTTGATATTGATTTAATTACATTACTAATATAAAGGATATATATCTGTATATTTCAGGAACAGTTAGCTCAGAGTCTCTTTGATCATATTCCAGTAGGAGTGGGCTCAAAAGGTATCATTCCTATGAATGCTCGTGATATGGAGGAAGCTTTAGAAATGGGAATGGATTGGTCTTTGAGAGAAGGTTATGCATGGGCAGAAGATAAAGAGCATTGTGAAGAGTATGGACGTATGTTGAATGCTGACCCATCTAAAGTTAGCCTTAGAGCCAAGAAGAGGGGACTTCCTCAACTCGGCACACTAGGTGCTGGAAATCACTATGCTGAAATACAAGTAGTTGATGAAATTTATGATAAATATGCAGCTGGAAAAATGGGTCTAGAACGAGTAGGTCAAGTTTGTGTTATGATTCATTCAGGTAGTAGAGGATTCGGACACCAAGTGGCAACTGATGCATTGGTACAAATGGAAAAAGCTATGAAAAGGGATAATATCGAAACAAATGACAGGCAGTTGGCTTGTGCTAGAATTAATTCTGTTGAAGGACAAGATTATTTAAAGTCAATGGCTGCTGCTGCTAACTTTGCTTGGGTGAATCGAAGTTCAATGACATTCTTAACTCGACAGGCATTTGCCAAGCAATTTAAAATGGCTCCTGATGATTTAGACATGCATGTCATATATGATGTATCTCATAATGTTGCCAAAATAGAAGAACATGTGGTAGATGGAAAAGTTAAGACATTACTTGTTCATAGAAAGGTACTTTATCTGGCTAGTTTATATTATATTTTCTTTGTTTCATATGTTACTGGCTACTAGTTAGAGTAATATATAAGTAGTTGTGTATAATTATGAATTATATGCAGAAATATGGGATTCATTGTTTCTTTTATATCAAATTTAAATAATGCAATTCTGTTTTATAATGGAATTTAAAGAAATCAAGAAGAAACATGAAATGTCCATATGTCTCTTACATATTGCTGAAATGTTTAAAACATTAATTTACTTACATCCTTTTCACTGCATTTTGTGAATGTTATGTATTTGTATATTTTTTTCAGGGATCTACAAGAGCTTTCCCTCCACACCATCCTCTTATACCAGTTGATTATCAATTAACTGGACAGCCAGTTCTTATTGGTGGAACAATGGGAACTTGCAGCTATGTTTTGACTGGTACTCATCAAGGAATGACTGAAACATTTGGATCTACATGTCATGGAGCTGTTAGTATAATTTATGTTTTTACTGTTCAAAAAATTATCACAATATTATTGATAACATATAATTTGTAATATTATTTAATTTATATATAAAAGTGAATCGCAGTTTGTTAATTTCACTAAAACTCAAAAACGGCTTGATTAATTTGATTAATTTTTAATAGTTCAAAAGAAAAAATTTGAAAAATCCTATAGTTTGGCTTTAAAATTGGAAAATTAAGTAATTTTGTATGGGAACTGCTACTTCGAAATACTTCTACTAGATGGCGTCGTAGGTGACACAGATCACTGGGTCAGTTTATAATATAGGGCCTGAATATATTTATTTATTTATATGGGGTGACTGGGTAATCTTATCAAGAAGTTAAAACTTTTTTCTTTTTAATAGATACCAAATTAATACATAATTATGTTTACCATCATTATAATCTTACTTGCATTTGACAGTAGAACTGGTGTTTATATTTTCGATTAATATTTTACAGGGCCGGGCTTTATCGCGAGCTAAATCTAGGCGTAATATAGATTATAAAGATGTGTTAGTCAAATTAGAAAGTATGGGTATATCAATCCGCGTGGCGTCGCCGAAATTAGTAATGGAGGAATCACCAGAATCATACAAAAATGTCACAGATGTTGTAAATACATGCCATGCTGCTGGAATAAGTAAGAAGACTGTTAAACTACGACCTATTGCAGTGATAAAAGGCTAAACATTTCTATTTAAAATTTGAAACTAATAATAATTTCTGCATATATTGATAAACAAGACAGTGGCATTACTGTACAGTTTATATTGTGTGTAAGTTTTCATTTTATAAGAAGTATTAATATAAATATTTAATAATACGCAAAACTAGTATTATTTTACGATATTATATCACTTGGATCGTTTAAATAGGCATGCATTCTTTGACATATGATAAAGAGTAATGTAATATTAGAGGCTGCTAGGCACTTGATTCACAATGTAGTTATTGTATGAAATTGCAACCTGAATGCTAAGAAATATTGTTTCAAATAGAATAATCGATATATTAATTAATATACAATTTATTGTTGTATGTTGTATTTTACTTTCTCATGATTGTAAATATGGTAGATTTCGTTCTACACTGCGTTTGTCCATACGGGGTCGTCACTCAAGAATATTTCTTCCCCATCGGTTGTGTTGGTTCTGTAAGCTATGTGATCAACTTTTTACCTTCAGCTTGCTTATTCTTTTTGGCTATATTATTTGTTGGTGACTTTGGTTCTTTTGTGGATATCCTCATTTCGAATTTTGTCACGCAAAGAAACTCCGAGCATAGCCCTCTCCATAGCTTCCTGAGTAATTTGAAGTATTTGCATACAGGCAACCGTATATAACCATGTTTCCTTTCCACAAATCATCATTGGCAACACGCACTAGTTAAAGACCTTCGTCTTCAAAGTTTGAGCTACTTTGGATGAAAGGATGTAGAAAGTGGCGTAGTTTTCCGAACGATGCCCAGTCGAGTTGGATTCGTCGGTTGACCTCTCGGTCGAAATTGGACTTATCTATTCGGATAACTTGTCTCAGGTATATATACTCGTTGACAACTTCGAGCAGTGTTCTCAATCCTAATCGGTATAGATGTGACATGGACGTTAGATATGATTTTATTTTTGTCCATGTTCATTTTAAGGCCTACCGGTTGACAAGCACCATATGTCATTGAGCCATGATTGCTATTCATATCATTTCCAGAGATTCCGCCATATATATATATATATATATATATATATATATATATATATATATATATATATATATATATATATATATATATATATATATATATATATGTATGTATTATACGACCAACAATTAACGTTTGTTCCTCACCTAAATAACATTATTAATAAAGCTTGAAGGGTGCTTGGTTTTGTTATAAGAACCTGTAAAGTATTATATAATAGTAACACTAAAATTATACTTTATAATAGCCTGGTGCGGAGTGTCTGAGAGTATTGCAGCGTGGTGTGGCGCCCATTTTTTACTACACATATATTGCGTAAGGAACGTATTCAGAAGCGATTCCTATGGCACTTGGCATTTTCCACTGTCATTGTCAAAAAAATTTATTCTACAAGGTCAAGCTGCAGTACTTTAAAATAATCTCATTAGAAAAACGCAGGAAAGTCTCTGATGACATATTTATGTATAAACTTATAACATATAAATTACATTGTCCTCAGTTACTAAGCCTTATAAAATTGCAAGTCCCTTCTAGATTACCTTGTGGACCCATAACTCCGCTAATACTTCCATTTAGAAGAACTGTTCTGGGTAGTAATTCTCCAATAGTAAGGTTCTATAAAACTATAAATAGCTGCAGTGACCAGGTCGATATTAATTTTGATAGTCCAATTGCTTTTGTACGAAAAATCCATAAATATATAAAATGAGTCGTGCTGCTGGATCTGCTTATGGATATGGTGGCTTTAGTTGTTAGTTGTTAAGTATTTAATAATAGTTGTAAGCTATATATATTTCTCTGTACTTATTGTTATACATGTATCAATATATGCTATGTTTGCCTATAAAATACACTTAGTTCTAAACTCCGTAATAATACATATTTACATTATTTATGGAAACAATTGTTGGTGAACCTAAATAAATAATCTGGTACCGCTGGAGAGACTGTAGTCTGCCCATGTCTCGACCAAATCAAAGCCTTTTTTATAGTCCACAAACGCCAGACATAGTGGCAGATTATACTCTTCAGTCTTCTGTATAATCAGCCGTAGCGTATGTATGTGGTTTATGGTGCTAAAACCTTTTCGGAAGCCAGCTTGTTCGGGTGGATGGAAGCGACAGGGATTAAATAGAAACATTAATAGATATGGCATAATTTGTTATATATTTATGATAACAAACAACAACAATCTATACTACAGGATAAATTAATACTTTACATAGGTACAACTATTAAGAACTATATTTTTGGGATATCGTTATGATGGTTATTATTTTGAGCCCGCTTGTACTATTATATATTGACTAACTACACATTAAATCGGTTTTAATTTATCTGCTATGATCACTAGAAGTGCAGTACCAAGAAAGAATAGACCTGGTGGCAGGACAGCATTTGTTCGGTCAATTTCATCTGTAAACAAAAAAACACGATTAATCATATCATCAGCTGGTAACTGTTCACTGCTGAATATAGGTCTCTCCTATCGGCATTGCCAGTATTTGCCGTGTTTGGCAGGCAGATTTGCAGCCGCAGTTAGACTGGTGATGTTTTAAGAGAGGCGAAAGAGGCGTTTGCCTATCCTAAGAGTTTACTTAGTCGCATCTTACAACACCCACGGAAAAGTAAGGGTTAGTCCATTTTATGCCGGGACCACAAACCTTAGATTATACGCCAAAGATATTATTAAAATCCCGAATACAGAGTATATACATATAAAAATATATTCAATTTATTTTATGCCACGCTTATTTAGAAAGTGGCTACTTTGTTCCCTCAAAACAAGGTATTATAAACTCCATTTTAATTTGTGTTTCAAATATTATATTCTTTTAATAATTTTTTTATAAATTGTCAGTATAACTTTTCGACACGAACCGGCGTTGAGAAGTTGTGCTGACATTTATAAAAAAAATGAGTTATTAAAAGAATACAATATTTGAAATGTGTTTCAAATATTGTATTCTTTTAATAACTCATTTTTTATATATTTTAATTACAAAGGAGTTTGTAACACAAGGTTGAAAGAAATATTTATAATTTTATAAAATAATAATTGGAAAAATAGAACAACGATTAACGATTTCTTGGTGCGATTGATAACCAGTAGTTTCCATCGGTACAGAATGTACAATACTTATTCCATGGGGTGATTATGAATATAAAAAAATTATTACCAGGCTGAATTTTACATTTCTCATCTTTGTTATCTGTTGACCAGCCCATGCAGCGGTCTAGAGCTGATTCCCATCTGACACGTCGAATTTCACGCTCTGTAATTTTATGGATGTATTATATATATAAAGAAAAATTAGAAGAGGTACATGCAAAATGATAAATTACATCCTAAAATAATAACAAAAAGAAATTCAATAAATGTCATTAAATAGAATACAGGAAATTGTAACTCATTTTTAATATAGCGGAATAGCATAAACAAGTTTGAATATGTAGATAGATTTATTTAATTGGGTACCTTCATTTGATATAGATGGCAGGAAAATGTCAGCGGGAGGATTAGGTATAGAAGCAGGCCATACACGTAGCGCTCGGCCTGCCACTATAGCCGCCCCTAACGCGGTGCTTTCCATCATTAATGGACGGATCTGAAAATTAAATCAAACTATATATGAGAAAAAAACAGATAGTGCTATTAGTTGACGTCCAGAGGTTCAAGACAAACGTGTAATCTTTTAGAGACAATGTCCATGCCAATAAGATCTCTATGTAATATTTTAAGAATGTCTTCCATAATAAAATCTACTTCAATCGTAAAATTAATATAGAACAAACAACAAATTTATATAGAACAAACAACAAATTTATATAGAACAAACAACAAATTTATATTGAACAAAACACACCCATGTCTGTTTCAAAAGATAAAAATTCGTTTAATTGATTTATCATTAACTCTAAGAACAAAATTGACTCTAAACTGATAGACACATAAAAAACCATAAAATAAACTTTCTCCTTTTTGTAGTAAAAACAACAATGGTACATTTCAAGCATAAATATTTAATTGTAATTGGTTTAAAATTGTAATATGGTGTAAAACTAATTATGGGAGATTTCTATTGGTATCTGAATAGGGTAGTGGGTATGTGCTTTAGATCTTCAGACTATTCTACACTATGATGAAATAAATAATTTTGTTATTTTTAACAGACTTCAATAAATGTGAGGATTTACACATACGGTATATTTTTTTTTGTGGATGTGGATGCACATTGATTTCTCCAAGATTTTTTTTTTAATTTGCACAATTATTTTTTTATTGAACAGACGGATAATTATAAAAATATATGCATGGTGAAAAATTAAAAAGTTTGGTAAGCAAGTATACCACAGGTACAGCTAGCACATCAGCTTGCATTTGCATAAGTACGGAGTTCTGTGCCATTCCGCCGTCGGCAAGTAGGCGACGCAGCGGCGCGCAATCGGCTTGCATAGCGGTCGCCACGGCTCGCGTCTGTTGGCACACCGCCTCGAGTGTTGCCCGTATTATGTGCCGCCTACTTGTTCTACCGCTCAATCCGCACATTATTCTAAAAATAAAAAAAATGTTAGTACATCTCAGTAAATGAAATTAATTGGGTAATAAAATTCAATGTCATATAAAAACCGCCTTTTAGTAAAATTAGTATCTATAGCACTAATACAGAAGTAACTAAAAAAATATAGCGCATGGTAATGTCATTGTCATTTTTACGTATTTAATTTAACAATAACCAATCCATTATGTCAAATTTGTTTTAAAATAATGATAGTTTGTATAAAAAAGTTGGCTGGAAATTTAAATTGACATATAAAAATCACGTCCAAGTATAGATAGGAATTAAGCGTTCAGCATGATAAGCTTAATGAAAAATTTTGCATTACCATTATATATTATAAAATGCACTCACCCTCTCGCGTCTTTTCTCCAATATGGTGCATATAAACCATTAAAAGCTGGTACTAAACAAATACTTCCTTCTTCCTCATCAGTCACTTCGGATGCTTCAATTTCTGAGTCTTGTACATCATTTAATATTTCTAGGCCATTTTTTAGCCACTGTAATGTATCACCTATTAAGAAAATGTTAAGTTTGTTTTAAATGATATTGGTCTAATGAACTATCTACTCTTTTATTAGACTTTCCTATCTAACAGATAGAAGCTGTTTCTTAAATATCAGAGTACTACTATTTGAAAATATCTGAAAAAGACTGATGAGCACAATGTGGTCCGTACTTCATGGTCTAGAGGTGACAATTACCGCTTTCAATAAGGTGGATCATTAATTTGTTGGCCATTCTCAGTTTAAAAAAAAAATACGGATAGAATTTGTATCTCTATTCCGACAGATACGAATTTAAAATATGTTTTGATGTTTTTTAATCTATATTGCAATCGATTAACGGCGCTGAATCGATTAAGCGCCATCTACTGGTGTTACAAATTAGAGTAACATCGATAAATACCGCTTACGTCAAACTCCACGCCGACATACACAATAACATCTAGTGTATGTCGGCTTACAACCACGTAATCCGGAGGTGATAGCCTCCGGAGCTGAAGCCTGGGTGAAGGGGTACGCCCCGAGGCCCCTACCTCGCCCGCTCACACCATCTGGTGGGCTATGAGAAGACTTTGATTGATTGAGCGCTTATGTCAATTTTTATGACAGAAACTGAGAATGCCCTTGTTCGGATAGCTTAGAAATGAGGGTGTGTATCTTATCATGACGTTTTCATAAAACTTAGTGATAAACCAAATCAATTCTTATTTACGAATTGATTTGGTTAAATCACATACTTAGTACAAACTACATAATTGGGAATTAATACCAACTTAACATTTTAGAGACTTACTTAAATTTTATAAGTAATCTATTAAAAAATTAGGTCTTCAGAAGTACCTATATCTACCTGCTATTGCCACAGATCCTTCCAAAGCATACACTGGTGGTGCATCAGGACCAAGTTTAAATGCCACTGTTGTCAAAAGACCATTCTGTGAATGTATTATTGAGTCACCTGTAAACATCAGTTTAATAAATAAAATGTAATTTAAATTGAATACATATAAATATGTTCTTTTAATAATAATATTACCTTATTACCTGTATTGTATAACAGGAAACAGCCAGTTCCAAAAGTACATTTAACTTGGCCAAATCTCATACAACCTTGTCCAACCAATGCAGCTTGTTGATCTCCCAAGCACTAAAAAAAAAAATTAACCAGCTATCTATTTAGACAGTATTAGTATGACAAATTTGAACATGGATGTATTTAATTTGCCAGTTTACAATAGGTCTTGGTATCATGTAGAAATTATGTAATTTATAATTTGATTTTAAGCAACTTTCAAATAAGAAGAGTTTCATGATTCATATGATTTAGTATTTAAATGTATAGAGTTTACCACTGCCAATAGTTGTACTACAGTATAAATATTCATATCTTTTTATGATATACATTTTTAAATTATTACTAGAAGTGTTTGCTTAATAAGCATAATTCATATTATAATAAATATTTAATGATAATTGTATGAATAGACAAATATAGGAAAAATACACTGAATCTGTAAATGAATGAAGGACTTAATGTTAGAATAGCTATATGTTATCTATAATAATTGTAACTGACCCCAGCAATAGGAACACCAAGAAGAGATCCTGTGGATATGTAACCATATATTTCAGCAGAACTTTTAATCTTTGGTAGAATTTGCATTGGTATATCAAAGAAATGAAGCAACCCTTTATCCCATTGTAAGGTTTTCAATGACATGAGCTGCGTCCGAGATGCGTTAGTTACATCTGTAGCATGTATTCCACCACGGTTACCACCTGTGAGGTTCTAGAAAAAGACAAGACAACTAGACTTATTATTACATTCATATTTTTTTTGCTCTGGATATACATATATATATTAAAATAATCAATTGATTCAAATGTGCTTAACTATATTATACAACCACAGTTTATGACTTTTCATTTTGAACAATGTTGCCAATTTTCTACAAAAGCTTTATAGTTTGATAGTTATGATTTTGTGTACTTACATTATATGTATTAGTATTATACATAAATATAATAATATTGAATAATAATAATAGGGTATGAGGAAAGCCTATATTCAGCAATAGATAGATAATGACTAAGATGATGATGATGATGATCATAATAATATTATCATGACAAAAATAAAAACTTATCTTAGACTTAGAGTCTGTCAATGTCTGTTTGTCAAACTGGCAACATTATCATCTATTCAACATGGTTTTAAGATTATAAGACTATTATTACAAAATAACAGTACCCATATTAGCCAGGAATCAACTGTACCCGCCATGCACTCTCCAGCAGCCACAGCATCTTTGACAGCTGGTATGTTTTGAAGCAGCCACTTTAATTTCACTGATGAGAAATATGTTGATAATGGAAGTCCACTAGTTTGAGATACAGCATTTACACATTGGGCTCCCTTTCTTTTAACTAGATCATCAACTATTTTTGATGTTCTTACATCTAACCAAACTGAAATATTACATATATATTAAGATTTATCTTTTGTTTCATAAAAAAAAAGCAATTAAGCAAATCTTATGTAAAGATATTTTACATTAATTTAAGAAACAAACATTTAGTTCTAAAATTTGGTGTAAATACTGAAGAGTGGAGCTCTTCAGTATTTACACAAAATTTTTTACACTAGACATAAACATATAAACAAACTGTATACTTAAAAGGGGTCACACTCATTAAAACTTAAAAAAGTTTAAAGTATAAAATATGTTGAGCCTTTAATACAAATATATTACAGAAATTATAAATAAATAATAAGCTAGAAGCTTCTTGACATAAGGGTTCTGATATGATGATATATAGAGATAGAGACAATACATATACATATAAAGGATTTATTACAACTAATAAAATTATCTATATATATAAAGGATATATATTAAAGAAGGTCCCTTAGGGGATTGAACAGATGGTTTTTTTTAAATACACAATCGAGAATAACACAAAGAAATTTTTTTTTACAGGTAAATAGTACCTATATACATGCTTCTTTATTACTAATGTTTTTAAGTCCCAATTGTGTATTTAAAATATGTTTATAGGTATCACTATAACTATAATAAAACTGTCACATCACATAATAAAATAACCTTACCTATGGCACTATAAAGTGGTTGGCCTGTAATAGAACTCCACACAATAGTAGTCTCTCTCTGATTTGTTATTCCTATACCTACTACATCTTCAGGACTTATATCTAATTTTCTTAGGTTATCAGTTGTTATCTGAAGACAAATTTAATAAATATATTTATGAAATATTCACTACCTACCTAATAAATACTATGCTTTAAATTTATAATTTAGTTAAATATTCATATAACATATCAATTAAATAGATTAAAAAGTCAAATTTATTTTATGCATTATTTGTGGATTTTATTCTATCATTATTATCTACATCATCTACAATAATTCTTACTGTTATTATTATTAGATACTAGAGAAAACAGTTTACATACAAGAATTTGAGATTGTAATAGATCTTTCTGTGAATACTTATAATTAATTACCCTAGCTGTGTATTGTACATGTGTAAAGCTGAATAAACATAATTGTTTGTGAATCAAATTCACAACTGTGAGGTTATAGGTAAAACTTTTAAGTTAATTAAGTGTCAATGCATGAAAATTTTAAAATTGCAGTAGGATAAAGCTAGTATTTTATAACAAGGGAGATAAGTTTATATGTTACCTCGATACATTCCAATACGGCATTAAGAATTTCTAATGCATCTTGTTCAACCCATCCTTCTTGTGGACTGAAACGTTTTAAAGGTATTTGGTGATATGTTAATACTTCAGATGTATTCGCAGCAAATATCTGTAAATTAAATATAAAGATTTTGTGATTAAATGTATCTTTTTTCAATTTAATTTATGAGACGTTAGAAAACCACCAATTACCAAAAATTTTACATTCGATGTTCCTTCATCAATAGCGCCTATTAACGGACCAAATTTTCCAAATTGCCGCATAATAAATTATTCTACATATTGAAATAATTGATAGACTAGATTCAGATTATTAATAATAATAAAAAAATTAAATTCACGGGAAATATAAATAAAAAAGATAATAAGATGACAAGACGACTAGAAGATGATCATTGATCATCATATCATATATACAATAAAGAGCAGAATAATGACAGATTGACAGTTAAGTCAGAGGGTAACCTATCAAAACGCAAATATCAGATACTATATAAATTTAACCCTCAGAACAAGGAATAACATAGAAGGAATGATAAAATAAAAACTGTAAATCATATGGTTGCCTCCTATCTTCTTATGCAAATATAAATAGTAAAAAGGGGACGAAAGATACATCATCAGGTACTATTTTTGTCAATTCATAGCAGGTTAGTGCGTAGAAAATGTTATATGGCTGTATAACCCTACCAAATTCAGATACAACCTGCTTGCATACTTTCTATATTAACTGTGTCGATAATATAATTTAGTAATATAAATGAATAAAAATTTTATATACACATTTTTATATTTCTATACATTAGCCTGCGCATCCGCAGATATAGAAATATCTTTCTCAATTTATAGCAGGCTAGTGTACAGAAAATGTTTGATATGTCAATTATTTGTCAATGACAAATTTTATTTTATTATTCCTTCTATGTAATTCCTGTTCTTAGGTCTAATCCATAGATTGAAGCTTGAGTCTAGTTGACATCTGACAGATCATCAGCAACAGCTCCATTTCCTCTATTTATAGTATCTATCATCTATTCCTAAAATTCCAGACATATGATATGGAAAACTAATCACCACCGTCTCTGACTTTAGCCTTTTCCACAACGGAACAAACGTACTAAAAAGAATCATCTATTCCTTGTTTATATACTGTTTGATTTGTAAGAATCTTTACTTGAGGGAGGTTTTATTAGGTAATCTAATTTTCCAATTTACCACAAACCATTTTAAGTTCATAATAAATTTGTTTTTGTATTTTGTGTACTATTCTTTTGCGCTTCTAATTAAGTCTTGTAGAAAGTCATGATACATTTAATGAATATGACTGTAACTGTAAATAAAAAAGAAATAGATAAATTAGCTATGGAAGTAAACGTACATCCAACACATATGGTTAAATTTATAGAGGAATTTCAAAAACGAGCAAATACAACACTGACCAATTTAATTGAAGATCGTGGGGAATCGAGTAAGTGCCTTCATATACTACTATTCATCATACTTACGCTCTCGAGAGGTTTGTTTATATATCTGTGCGATATAATTTTTATGTACTTATTTTATTTTCAATTATGTAAGTAATTTTAAATTAACTTCTAATTGTTTCTATTAGTTCCATCCATGTGAAATCATGTGTTTCTCCTGTAAGAATTTAAAAAAATCTTTCATTCATCAGTTATCGGGGTTGACCATTCAAATTCAAAACATCTTTATTCAAATAGACTTGTTTATAAGCACTTTTAAATTGTATTTATTTTTAATTAACAAAATCCACTAATTGATGAATCAAATTGCAGCTCATGTTTGTAACAGCAAATAAACACAAGTGTGCTCCAAAAACATAAGTAAGGAAATCTGTAGACAAAATAAAATAAAAATAAAACAACAAAAACCACTGCCTTTTTCCTAACTTCATACAATGGAAGGCTCTAACTTTATCTATTCTTGACGTACACCAGTTTTTAAGTTGGGTTAACACTTACTCAATTGTACAATTTTGTTAAGTTACAGCAGTTTTTGCTTGCAAAGCAAAAACTGCAAATAAATATATAATATTATATAGCAAATAAACAAACAGACATTCACAAAAAATGTAATATAGATTTCTTTACTTATTAACAAAAAAAAAAATTTCTACAAAGTACTCAAGAATCTATATTGATTTTAGTATGAGTAGGCACTTAGATAGAAATTCTCAGAAAACCCATGTTAGTGAATATTTCTTAATGGGCTGAAAATGAGATGGTAATCCTACCTGTGCTTATAGGTGTATGGTAGTGGGATGCGATATATATATATATATATATATATATATATATATATATATATATATATATATATATATATATATATATATATATATATATATATATATATATATATATATATATATATATATCAGGTTGACCTCCATGTGGTTCCTCCTGGAAACCATTGTGACTAATTTGTCTTGTCTTTGTCTTTACTATCTTGGTGGTGTGTCTTTTTAATATTACATCTTACAAAGGTTGGTAGTTTAATTCTTCTACAATATAAACATTTGAAGAATATAATAGTTTGTTTATATATATATCTAGGTAGTTTCTATGTATATGTGTATATTTATGGTTAAAAAGTCTCATTCTACAAGTTCTGCTTAGTTTGGGACTAGATGATACTAATTTACTGTGAAATCTTAAAAATGGTATTAGTGTTAGTAAATGTTAAAATTAAATATATAATGATGTTACTGCATTTGATGAATGAAAATATATTTATTGTTTCCCTCAAGGAATGATGTAATCCTTATCATCATAAAATAACATTATGTACACAAAAAAAAACTACAAAAAGCAAGGTAAAGAGACAACATCTGCTTTATTTTATATTTGCTTTTTTGAAATTAATTATAATAGATTCACTTACTGATATAACTACAAAAAAAATTGTACTGTTCTGTAATCATTATAATAAATATCTCATCATTTAAGATTTAGTTATATTTCAAGTTCCTAACTGTAATAGAGAAAAAACAAAGTATGAATCACTTAATATGTTAGGTATTCTAACATTTTCTGTGCAAATTCTAAAATTTTTTTTTATACAACTTAGAATGGCAAACAAACTGACGGCCCACCTGATGGAAAGTGGTAACCGTCGTCTATAGACATGAGCAGTACCATGGACATAACAGAGTATACTGTTTCGCCCATGATACCCCCCATGCATTGCCATTCCTGAGGACTCAGGTGTTATTCCTCTGTACCCAGTAAATTCACACCATATCCCACCATTCAAACCAAAACACAGTCATGCAAACACAACTGCTTCACGGTAGAAACACGAATGGGACAGAGGTACCCAAGCAATTGACTTTTGTACAAAATCTCCCTATGGTAAAAGATAATAACAAGTATTTTTGTTACAGATGAAGATATAGAAGACGAAGATAATGATGGTGATGAAGACGAGGAGGAAAATATACATGTAAGTCCCAAAAAAAGGAAAAAGTAAATACATGTATATTATTATTTGTAAAGAATTAATACAATAAAACAATCGAATTTTTTTATTTAGTTTTATTTTATCTTAGATAAATACGCATTGTGTATTTTTACTACGTTATTTTTTTTGCGCGCATTTAAATTCGCATATTGACATTTTTAATAAACAAAATTGTCTCTTTTTTATTAAAATAAATATATAGCTAGAATGAATGTTTTTAATTCATTATTTATTTTTTGTCCCAATTTTTAATATACAATTTAATTAATTTAATTTTAATTTGATTACTAAATATGTTTATTAAAAATAAAAATAAATTATAGTTTCCTTTAAGTTAGGTATTGAATTACGCGGTGGATTAATTGAAAATATGCAATGCGTATTTAACCTCAGTACAAGTATTATCTATTTAGTAAAATACACAATGTACAGTTTAAATATTTACATAAGCTTATGTTGTATTTAAAAAAATCTCACAAATTGTACTACTCTGTCTGAATTCAATGTTAACAATCCTAAATTATATGTTGCAGTAAAAATCCGTATTTAGTATAAACGCATTTATATTTAAAATAAAAAACCTGAACGTTTTGCTGAATACAATTAATATTTACTAGCAATAATCTTACACTTCAATATTTCTCCTAAATTTGTTTTTAGGAAGTTAATTTTATATCTGTTAGATACAAAATATGATAAATAGAAGAATTCCAGGGAAGATTTAGAGTTAAATCCATTTTTAACTAATATAATTTTGTACTTGTAACAAAATCATCCAGTAAACAGTAGTTTGTGCCAGTAAAATCGGTTTTTACTGTAACATGCACATTTAACAACCACTATTACTAAGTAGGTATATGAATTTATCTTATTTACATATATATAATAGTGAAAACATTTGCCTTATCAAATCACTTTTAAAGTTATGTTATTGGAATGTTTCTAATCACAAGTTTATTTTGTTAATTTGTATCTAAAATAGATATTAGTTAAATTGTAAAAGCTAAAATTTTTAGATTATGTTCGATTTATTGATATAGTCATAGGCGTCGTATCCATTTTATTTGCTTGAAAGATCTAATTTTTTTTATGTACACTTATTTTACGTGAACGTGAAAACATCTAGATTTTGAAAATATTAATATTGGAATGTATTTTATTTAATTTGTATTGTATCATCATCGTTTTAAGCGCTTGTATACATCGACTCTGCAATACATTTGAGATCGTTTGAAAATTACAATGTAAGTAATAATAGGTATATTGTGTATTTACTTCGTAAAAGAAATGCTGTCTTTTACGATTGATTGTAATCGATTTTGGTATCACAAGTAACGATTTATTTCTTAAATTATGAGCATGTCATACAAAATTGTGTCTAATATTTTCTCGTTATTTATTCGATAATACATTAAATTTTAATACACCTAAATTTTGTAAATGGCTGACTTAACACCATATGGCGTTATTTACCAGCGGACCGTAGATAGGAATAACAGATAATGTAATTTACGGTGCAATATGATCAGTCATCTTTTGTTTTTATTGGCCGTACATACTCTGAGGCAAGTAAAAAGTACTAAATACTAAGACTAAATATTCCAAATTTCATATTATAATTTTAGTAGTTTGGGACTAAATGACATATATAGTCGTGTATATTTTTATCATTAATTTTTTTCTTTTTAATTTTAGTTTAATATGCTTAAACAAATATCGGTCAATAAGAAATTATCGTGGTATAGTATTTGGCTGACATCTTGGTTATTTCTAGGATTGCCACTTGGTTTATTTGTGTGATAGTATGTTTGTAGTTCAATGTCCAGTTTGGCGTTAAAAATAGGATTCAGTAGTTATTACGTATTGCTTAAATACAAGACAAAATCAGAAAAATCAAAAAAAGCATGTTTGGTGATCAGTGTACCTACCTAGTACCAGTCAATATAAATTATTCTTTTATCTAAATATTTAATGTATTCCTAGATACTATGTTTCTCTTAGAATTTGTTAATCTAAGATGTTTACACTTAATTGATACTTATAGAAAAACAATTTTGAGACTCCAAATTATTATTTACTTATTTTTGTTTATTATTTATTTATTTCATTGTTGTTATCTAGTTCAATCGGAGTGATTCCAAGTGACATACGTCTTCCAGTAAGTACTTACCTACAAAAAACTATGTCACTGACGCTTGATATCTAATTGTTTTAGGTCGAGTGCGGTCTCTCAATGTCATTAATAGTATGATAAAAGGAGGGAGGATCGTATTATCATGGTTTTATTTATTTATGATATCGTTGATGAGAATAATCTTCGTGACTGCAAAATTTCTTTTTATTTTTAATTACCTAAACTAGACTAGTTGATGTTCGTCTTGTCATCCGGAGGCTCAGACTCAGAGTAGCATATATCACATCCGTTGATGCCACATTCACACAGAGGAGTTGGTCGTATGGAGTTACGTAATTTCTGAAAGTAAGACTTGACGTTATATTTCTTTCGCTATCTTATCATATTTTGTTTTATCAAAATATGAGTAACGAAAAATAGAATTGATAGAATACCTAGTTAAAGTGGATTAGGGCGATTAGTCACTACTTTTTTGTACGAAATCGAGTTTTTGCTGTGAAGATTAGTTGGAAAGATCGCTTGTTGTTCATATATATATATATATATATTACTTTTTTCATAGTTTGTTGGAAATAAGGGAAAATAGTTAATGTTAATGTCAGACAATGTGAGACAAGCAGACAGGTCTAAACGCCAGGGACAGGTATAACTTAACGTTTTAGTTTATTATAAAGCCACTTTATAAGGCTCTGCACAATTGCAGTTACTTCAGTGTCATGTTGAGTTGAGTCTGATACTACTAGATACTAGATCAATTATGTAATATGAAAAAGAACCTTACTACAATGTATATAAGTTTCTGTATTAACTATGTAGTTGTCATCGCACATTAATATTATTATAAATAAAATAAAAATATATATTATTATAAATGCCATAGTTTACAATTATTATATATTGTGGTGGTATGGATACTGATTTATTTTTGTTATGACTTGAGATAGTAAAGAAACTGACAACTTCATGGAAAGTTACCAGTATAAGAAAGAACTAGAATAACAAGACAGTGAGTGATCTATTTATTACGGCATGTTATTCTACTACCTCTTGCTTGCAACTTCGATTTTGGAAATAGGTAATCACTTTATAGTTAGGTAACAATTTAAATGGCGTAAGATAAAGTACGCACCAGAATTTAAGTTAAACCTTTAAGACTGCAACTGTAAAAACCACATTCAATTTGAAGCAGCAATTTTTGCGCGATGCCGGAACAAACATACATACAATTTTAAGTGATAGTTTAATTAACCTTAAATCTTAATTTGAAAGAGATTAAGAGACAGGTTTAGCTAACAGCGCTATAATGTCTTTTCATTGCAACAGCGAAATTACTCATAAGAAATGAGATTTCTTTAAGTTTGTTTAGCCGAACTTTCAGTTAAACGGACTATTTAAGTCTGGTTAAAATAATAATGATAAATCGGATCTTTTTGATTTTCTAAGTATGTAAAATGATACCTAAGGATATGAGAAATCACAAACGTAAGATCACTCTATACATATAAGAATTGATAAAATTTGTTTACATATAGCATTACACATTTTTTGTAGTAATAATGATAAAAAATATGACAAATTAAATTGTACCTCTCCTAAATTCTTTCCAGGAGATCTCATTACGATCACGACTGCATACACTGGTATACAGAGCAAGGAGAATGAAGCGATAGTCCATCCTAGAACCTGTGCCCACGCGGGATACACATGCTGCCGGTAGCTAGGTGGTGTGTAGTCCACTAGACTGGCCACCCACAGTGCTAGTAGTAGGGCCGGTGTTGCCACTAGCCAGCAAAATCGGAAGTAGAATGACGGACGTCGACCTGTAATATTATATATTTAAATACATAAATACGAGTATATATAACCATTTTATCATATGTAATGGGGCTCGCGCTCATAAATATATATTAAAACCTACTTATATTTACATATAATTGCGTAATTAATAACTTATACAATGGGGAATTTAATTCTTTGCAGTCAATAATGACTTCGTTTTTGGCAGGCCTTAGGTTTATTTTATATTCTACTATTCATAATATAGTACGATAGGGGGGACAGGAATTGTTAGCAATGGAGTTTGACAGCCCCATCGCTAGCAATATGCCCTATTAGGTCGACCTCCACGTGGTTCCCCCTGGAAACCATCGTGAACAATTCTTGTTGAATGCGTCACGATGGGTTAACTGACCTGCTTCATCCTCACCTATCATCCTTCACTGGTGCCCCGCCGGTTACCATTCCAATATCACCCATTAAAAAAATATAGTACGATATGTATCTGTCTAACACGAATAGTCATGACGTAGCTATGTAGCTTAAATTTTATATGAAGTTGACACTGTTAACAATCACATTTCATTATGGCTCCTAATTTGGTTTGCCAATCTATTTATATACTTATATACAATACCCTTTTTTTAATATTTTGCCATTATCATTATCGTTATGGTCATCATCATTTCAACTATTCATCGTCCATTCCTGCTTTATGTCACTTTGAACAAACAAGTACTTAATTGAGTAGTCGAGTATTACCTATTACAAATTACAATTTAAGTTCAACGTTGACAAAAGATTATTATCACAACACTGCCAACGGATGTACATACAGAGTTAAATAGGCCCATTTTACATTGGTAGTTAAATAAAAAATAACACGTATAGATTCTAGATGACGATATAATTATGTTGCCATTTTATACATAGTACATTTAAATAAATATACATAATGCTAATAGAGATTTAAAACACTTGTCGAGTTTCTTGCGGGTTCTTAGCAGATAACAACATTTCGAACTCTGCAGTAGATTCATAAAAGATGATTTAAAAGAAATTATAGACAAGTCTACATATGCCGCCTTCGTTTAGGGCATGCTCGTAGCCCTACATTCTTACACAAGATTAGAGTACGTGACCATTCTTTATATGAATGTGGTTTGGACGAAGGAATGCTAGAATATGTGTTTTTTGACTGCTCAAAATTGTTAGTCCCATTGTATGTCCTGTTACCCCATGAGATACCCCGTCCTAGCAATATTCCATATCTTTCCACGTTAGTCCACTCTCCGTCAAAATACTGGCAAAATTTGTTGCCCTATATAATTTGAAATTATAGTAGACTCCCTAAAGTCGCATTGCCCTTTTATGTTGGCCCTCTTACAGGTGTCGTACCTTGGTTGTTAATGTTACCCGTACTAACACTTGTCTATTTCCCCTTATTGGTACTAACATTCTGTATTGTATTCGTTTTTAGCATTCAATTTCAACATCAAGCCATATTGTTCACTATCGGCCAGATTCAAGAACCACGGAAACAAGAAAATCTCACTGTGCCTTTGTGTGTGTGTGTGTCCTAACCATGACGTTGGCGGAATCACCAATCAAAATTGGTGGCGGCCATTTAAATTGAAAGAAGAAGAAGACAAGTCTACATTTTCTTTTTAATCTACCTGCTATTTTTTAATAAAACCTATTAAATCAGATATCATAAATAGAAAAAAGACAATAAAATGTTGTTATTACAGATACCGTTGATGTTGCTATAATAAAATATACTTAATCGTTAAGTATGTTTACGCTATTTTTGCATAATTATATGCAACTTAGATACTTGTTCAAATATAATGGAAAGTGGTAGCCATTGTCTATAGACATGAACATTATTGAATAAATGGAGAAGGCTGTTTGAAACTCATGAGTTCCATACTTAAGGTCTAAAATGTTATGCTTTGTATCCAGTAATTTTACTGCGGTATTTTACCTTTTAAACCAAATCATAGTAACGAAAGTGCACTTTCGAAGAAATACGAATCATTGTCTCGCTTATGAGTATTTAATGTTAGTTAAAATAGTTATAAATATTCCTCGATCATATCTAGAATTGACAGTCGAATAATAAAGTATTTACTTCTTTACTTTAATTAACAACAACGACAGTGTTAAAAAATAAAAAGTATAATTTAGATTTTTTGTTATAATTTTGGAGGATATTAGCTACTTAGCTAACAATGAGACCACGTCATGCACAGTGCACATTTAATGCGTAGGTTGAAAAATGGGGTTACGAAAGTAACAGACGTATTTTTAGTTTATTGATGTCACACTTTTTGTCACAAGTAATTATTTCTGTACAAACATGAAATAATTTCGTAGAGTTAGAATGTACTATCATTATGTCTGTTTAAATTTATGAAAGAATTATTAAAAGCTCTAACCTGTCATCCGTTTAATGTTTCGAGATAATCTCCCCACGCCATACAGCCATGCTATGGCAACGACTTCAAAAAAGGCGAGATACGTAATACTGAGAGATGCCGCATAGTAATCCATTAGCTGGAATATATATATGCCGCTTTGTAAGATGTGAGGCAATCCGAAGAATAGAGATACCACACACACACATAACACTAATAGTTCATGATACACGAGCCTCTTGCGTATCATATCAGGAAATCCGTCTTGTATGGATGTAACCACCACTTCAACTATTGCAAACTGAAATGGAATAAAACATTTTAGTAATATTATAATACATACCAGTTAATCCTTTTTTTGTGGTTTTGTTTACCTGACTATTAAGTCCAAGACAAAGGAACATAAAGAAGAATAACACAGCCCACAGTTGTGATGCCGGCATTTTCGCAATTGCTTGAGGGTATACAACAAAAAGCAAACCCGGACCTGAAAACAACAGACGGCGATAGTTACTATTTTTATAATGTAAATGCATAACGTAAAGATATATAAATAATAGCGATGAAAATTCTGTATATACTTACTATCAGCAATGACGTCCTTCACATTGGTGTTCTGTTCGAAAGCAATATTTCCGATAGTAGCAAAGGTAAAAATTCCTACTATGAGACTGGTAACCGCATTGATCAGTGACACCGCCACCGTGTCGTGGAGAAAATTGTTGTCAAATCGGTTATATGAAGCGAACATTATCATAGACCCAAATGCTATGCCGATTGAGTTAAAGATTTGTGATGCTGCATTAACCCAAGGTCTGGACTGTTTTAAAAGTTCCCATTCTGGTTTGAAGAAGAATCTTAAGCCCATATCTGCTCCTTCTAGTGTTAAAGATCTACCAAGGAAAACAATAATCAGGAGAAAAGGCAGTGTTGTGGTGATGTAACGAACTTTGGCTGATGATTTGATACTTTTCCATAGGGCGAAGTACACTAACACCCAAGCACAGACCAAGCAAGCTGCCAATTCCCACCGCATGCTACCAGGGTATTCTATTCCATCACTCATGCTCAAGACTTTTTTCCTGTAAATAATATGTAAGAAAATAAAATTGAATGTCATAACTAACTTAGTAACTTAATATGAGCAAGTATTATAAGAGAGTGACTGTCTCGACCCAAGACTATTTTCGCTTAAATACGCCTCCCCATCCGAAAGTTTGGCAGATTTAATATTTGTTCATAGTTAAATATAGATTTTTTTTTTATTTAATATTAATTCTTTATCGAATATTCCAATTAATCTCAAAGTAGACCTAGATACTTTAGACTGAATTTACATAATATAAATTAATATAAAGACAGACAAATAGGAATTACAACTATATTATTATGTTGAACGTTCTAAATTGTTATTTTTATCTATTGGCGTTAAGGTTGTTACATGGGACGTGTATGTCTATGAATAATTATTATCTGTAATGAATCACTCGAGATAACTATTCTTGTAGGTACTTAATAAATTATGAATATATAGTCAATGATTTCACATAACAATGCACTCGTTTAAAAAATATAATTTCTAAATAATAAACGCATATATATCTATAAGTTGGTGATATATTCATATATGTATATATCAAATATAAGTGTTAGGATAAAATTGCCATTATTTTACAGTTTAGTAGATAATTTGTCATTTTTGTATGTTTTGTTATTATATGAAGATATTAATATAATCAAACCTTACTCGAAGAATTGTTCCGTTGGCGTTTGCGAGCCGTTGGGCTTAGTGAGGTTGTGATGTGGTACCCAACACTGAGGCGTATTCCACCTGTTGGAGCAGCTTGCCCATGGCATTTCGGATTTGAATGAGGTAAAGAAATAGTAGATAGCCCATGCAATTATCACAGCATAATATGTTGACATTAGAAAAGAGATCACAACGCTCGCTAGGCCAGCACCTGTAATAATTTTTTTTATTAAAACACTATATAGTACGTAAAAGTGACCTTTTGTTCAGTTTGACCTGGGGTCCTCGTTCCTTAAACAACTTCAAAAATGGAGGAGGTTTTCAATTTTTTATATTTGTTACCTCAGAAATTTGTCATTTATATTCCTATTTGGATTAAAAAAAATCAGTTCAATAATTTAGTTTTTTAAATTAAAATAACTAGTTTTGCCACGGTTGAAGTAAATGTTTTGTCTATCTGTGTCTTATGTCTGTGCATTATAAATTTATTTTATAATCTAAGTATGGTATTCATGAAACTACAATCGAGACAAAAATCAACTGTATCGTGTAACGTGGTTAATTTATGTTATTACCTTTAAAAAGCGGGCATATTTGTGATAAGGCGCCGATTGGTCCATGGGCAGTATATTGTCCTACAGCTAACTCCATAAACAACATAGGTATCCCGCATACTAATAGTATTATGAAGTATGGAATAAGGAAAGCACCTGAAACAAAATATACCACAAATATGATAGCTTAGAGACTTAGTGGATGCAGATGGTTCATGACCGTTCCTTATGACAGTGTGTGGGGGAGGCCTATGTTCAATAGTGGACAGTTAACGTCTGATATCATATTCAATATGATGATAATCATAGTTACATATATGTTTAAAAGAGGTTTAAAATAAAAATATGTAACAAAAAATATTAAAAAAGTATTACAATTTATTTTATTTGATAATCTTGGTGATGTCGAGATTTAATAGATTTCTTAAATATGCAATGGATGTGGGTGAGTCCTATATGTAACAATTATATTTATAGCATATGGCTTATGTATGTAATAAATGTTTATCGACGATGTTGTTCGTACGACTGAAATAAGAATAGTCTATGTTTTTCTCTATTTAAAATAATACATGCAGGTAAACTGAATGTTATGACAATTGACTGAGCCGTTCAAATGTCAAGAGATTTATATGTAAGAACAAAAATTCAGTTTCATTTCGACTTTATAATATTAGTAAGGATTGTTAACATTACAAAATCAAAATCCTTTTAATCTTAGAAAAATGCATTAACATAAAAAGAATAGAATTTACGTACACATCTATTTAATTTTAGAAGTCTTGCATGACATTGCTAGTCTAATTTGTATCCTTGATATCAATGAGTTGACCTACAGGAACCGACGTAATTAACCTAGTAATTTGCTCAAAGGATAATTTAGCTGTATTGTCGTAGACGCATATGATGATCGAAAACTATTGCAGACAATTAAGTTTTAATTTGTTACCTACTAAGTATGTTTATTATATACCTGCTTTTTTATATTTATACCTAAATATTTTATAAGTACTTTATCTAAGTACTTAATATAAGATAGATATTGCGACTGATTACCCCAATAGGCATAAACAAGTACATGACATATAAAATTTTATAATGAATCCTACGTAACAACTCTTTTAATGTATTAAATATCAAATAAGTAATTCCGAAATCTACTATTCCCTTTTACTGAAATTAGCGAATAATTGTTGCGAAATATAATAGTCTTGCAATAAGTATAATGACAACTTGATCGTATCTACTCCTAAGACATTGTTAGTATTATTATGAATATTTCAATTAAATACTTAAATACTCTACTCCACTGAATTTAATTTTGGCTCTGAATTTAATTACTTAACTACTACTTTCAGGAATAGCGACCCCTGAGGGTTGGCCACATATAAGGCCTATAAAATTAAAGGCAGCTAAACGCTATAAAATTGATTTCTTTTTCACTCTGTACTCTAATATAGAGGGAGTTCTATTAATTAAAATTCAAATTATTACTAATATTATTAATAATTTTTTTTATCTGGTTTATATTTCCAATTTTGTTTAAATATAAAAAGTGATTAGAAGACTGTCATCATTGTGTTCTCTTTTATTAGATATTTATATGTTTTATTTAACATATGTATATGTATATATATTCTTATTTATGTGTTTAGTTATATATATGTATTAATATGTATCTTATATATATATATATATATATATATATATATATATATATATATATATATATATATATATATATATATATATATATATATATGTGTGTGTGTGTGTGTGTGTATATATATGTATATATATATATAAATATAATGATTTATAATTTATTTTAACTTCTGTTTAGCACTACTACTGCCCACTCACTTCTTCCTATGCCTTTTAGAGATAAGTTCTCTGTTAACATTATTAATTAATAAAAGTTGACTGTATGTTTTAGTGCAATAAAGAATATATGTATATATAAAATATAGAATATTGTTCCATATCCTTGATAAAATATTAGTTTTTGTAGGTTCCCGAACATTCGAAAAAATTGGATTTAACTGTCTTTGATTTTATAGGCCTCATATATAGGCAATAGTTATCATGTAAGCCATTAGCTTACTTGTATTACTGAATCGCATAAAAATATATGCTTTTATCTTTTTCATTATCTTGTGATCCTTAGGGATACATTTAAAATTATTTAGTATTTCCACTTACGTGCTAATGAATATAAACCATAAATTAGGCTTAATACTAGATGTAAAGTGAACAAGTGGTGTTTTCCGTTCACGGTAGCGGTAATTGCTGAAAGTGCTTTATATTCTTTGGGATTACAAACAGTCTTATTACTCGCATATTTTTTATTGTAAGTTTTAAATATTTCCCAATTATTTATTTACGGAGTACCTACTTAGAAAGGTTGTGTTTCTAAGTAGGTACTCCACCCCTGATTTGAGTGTCAAGTGCAATGATCATTTATAGATCTTATTAGAAAGAGACTTTGCGTAAAAGTCGTCTGCTTGGGTACCTCTATTCCATTAGTGTTTGTACCTTGAAACAGCTCTGCTTGCACGATTGTTTCAATTTGACGAGTGGTATAAGACAATGAAATTACAGTGTACAGAGGCGTTACACTATGGTCCTCAAGAATTAGATTTGTTATTGTAATTTGTGATGTCCACGATATAGTAGATCGATATCATTTTTCATCGGGTGGCCAGTCAGCTTGTTTCTTTTTTATGCATCGTATGTTGCATAAAAAAGAAAATCTAATAAAAGCAGTGCTTAGCTTAGGTAATTTGACGCCTTGAGAATACTACTCTAACTCATGCATAGCTCTGTTATCGAGTGTCAGTTTACGAAGGTAATCAGCTGTAATTCACGCTGCATTGTTGTGTTGTTGTATCACATTGGAGCCTAGGTGACAACCGTCACTAGTTAACGCCGGGCGACACAAACAACAGTCAATCACGATCTCACAGTTTTGTGTACATTTAAAATTTTACGTTATTATCGATTCTTAGTATGTCAATTGTAAAAGTTTATTTAGGTAGAGGCTTTTGCACACAGTTCGCCGCATATGCAGATTACGATTTTGAGTCAGTTTCCCGAACATAACTTATAATTATAATAAAAAACAATAATTTCAAATAAGTCTATAAGGTCTGCTTTTTGATATTCACAACCAATTAGTTAAAGTCTAAAAGATACATAATATGTTATCCAAATTATCAATGTCTTATTATCCTAAAAAAAGTCAAATTTCTTTTTCGGTTACATCATATGTTGGGAGAAACATCAAAAAAGCTCCACAACATACTGGCTTACTGTGTAGAAATGGATCACCCTGTAGAAATGGATCACCCAATCAATAAGTGTAATTAAATATTAATTGAAAAATAAATACTAAGGTAGTTAAATGGTGTTTATCAATCATAAACGTGGTTAAATACATAATAGGGTATAAAATGTAACTTACATCCTCTTTAGATGTTAATTCTAAATTTAATGAATTCGTGAGCGTATAATTATTGCAAGTATATAAATTGATCCGAGAACATTTTGTCGCCAAGTATCGGTCGTAACATGTACATATTTGCAATGTCACGATGTTCACGATCTTTTTGTCACCCTAACGAGTCAATTTACATTACCGGAGGTGAGACGTCGCATTAGCTCGTGTAAAAAGAATTTTGGACTAAAATCGATCTATTGCTATAAGTACCTATTGAAAAAAAAAATTATTTATTAGTCACGATTTCATTGAATGTACATATCTATGGGCGTGTTTGGTAGTGTCGTCATATAATTTGAAGATATGCGACTACATATATGTATAAGTATGAGCAATATTAACACAATATTTATCTATACTGATATTTGTCAAAAACGATTAGCAATTTTTAGTACATAATATGGTTAGTACTTACACTATGAACTTTTGATGGTTAAGCAGATAAAAAGTATTTCGTTCGGTAGAAAAAGACGCTATTGTGAGACATTTTGTTATAGATTTTTTTTAGCGGGTGATAATGGAATGGTAAATCCGCCTGCGGCTTCGGTTTAATAATCATCGTTATGTAGCATCAATTACATCCCATTAACGTTCCACTACTTAGTACGGATTTGTTTTTACAAGAAGGATATTATGTTACCCTACAATGAAGGCGCTTCATTCCGTCGAAGGTAATTTTTGAAATGTTAGTCTCGATTAACTTAATAGTAAAAATCAGAAAAAAATATGTAATGAAATTCGTTCCTTAAACTAGACTTTGAAATTAATTAAATTAAATTGTAAGTTACATAAATAAAAAGAGTTTTATTTTCTAAAAATAGATATTTTACCAAAACACAGATTTTTGAGATTCACGTTTAGCTGTTATTCAATTATAGCTGATACATTTTTCTCTAATGTATGTGTTTATTTTAAATTTGACCAAAATTTTGGTGCAAAAATCTAAATTTGTATTAATTACGTATCGAAGAGTTGAACAGTGTGTCCATGTGAGACGTGCACGGCAGTCTGTCGCTGGCATTCTGACGGCGAACCGGTGTCGCAGGACGTCAAAATTTCTACGTGACCATACTGTTGATTTTCTTTGAGCGTTCTCAGATTTGTATAGACCAGAGCGCCAAATTTTTAGAGTAAAGCCTATTGCTTATAATAATAGGTTTGTCGCGTGTATTATGTAACGGCAGTTTAGCCTATTCCGAAGTTTAATAGATATTACTTGTATTGTGTATGTAAGTTATTCGTAAACTTGTAATTGTAGCTGACTTTTGTGACTATTAGGTTATCATCATCATCACTATATTAGCTGTTATCTGTCAACTGCTGAACATAGGCCTCACCTATAGATAGCCACAAGGAACGGTCCTGAACTACTTCTAAATCACTGACTCCCTGAAATATATTTGAGGTCGTCACTTTATCTAGTGGGAGGTCGTTCTTATTAGTGATTACCTGCAGAGGGTCGTTACTCAATAGCCTTTCTTCCCCTTTTGTTGTTGGTTCTTAAAGCTATGTAATCAACTCTTTGCCTTTAGCTTGCTTATCCTTCGGGCTATATCAATGACTTTGGTTCTTTTGCGAATGTCCTCATTTCGGTTTCTGTCACGCAAAGAAATTCCGAGCATAGCCTTTTCCATAGCTCGCTGAGTAATTTGAAGCTTTTGCTAATGGGCAACCGTGTAGGATCATGTTTCCTTTCCATAGGTCATCTAGTTAAAATCTTCCATGTATTTGAGGAAACTTTAAGGTATTTTGGATGAAAAGATGTGGCGTAGTTTTTCAAATTCTGCCTAGCCTAGGTCGATTCGGCAATAGACCTCTCGGTCGAAATTGGACTTACTTAGTCGGACAAGTTGTCCCAGGTATACATACTTGTCGATAAGTTTGAACGTAGTGTTTCTTAATCATGACTGGTATAGGCGTGACTCCATGTCATTAGATATAATTTTCGTCTTGTTCATGTTCATCTTAAGACCTATCTTTTGAGAAACAGTATTGAGGTCATTGAGCATAGTATTCAAGGTCTTTAGGGGTTCCGCCATGATTATTATATTATCACCAAATTGAAGGCATGTGATGTATTCGCCATTGATGTTAATATCATATCTTTGCCAGTCCAGGAGTTTAAAAACATCTTCTAGTGCAGTTGTAAAGTGTTTCGGGGATATTATGTCACCCTGTCTTACGCCTTTCTGTACTGAGATAGGTTTCGTACTCAGATATGTACTTAGATAGACATCGTAGCCTTACTGTATATACACTTCAACACTTCGATATTCCCATAGTTAATCTCGCCCAATCATAATAGCGCCCAGATCTCGACCAAATCAAAGAGTTTTATCATAGTCCACAAACACCAGTCATAGTGGTAGATTTTTGATCTTCTGTATTATAATCTGTCATAGCGTATATATGTGGTCTATTGTGCAAAAGCCCATTCGGAAGCCAAGTTGTTAGTGATTAATTTGTTGGTGATTGGAAGTCGTCGAGTATTATGTTATATTGTATATTTATTAAGATTGTGCAGTCTCATAGTACACGATAATTATATTTAAATTTTATATAATAATATACAATATGTTTCAGATAACCTTATTTAGGATTACAATATGATATTAGTATTTTTCTGCGACTTCGTTCGCGTGACCGAAATACATCGATTGACAGAGGTAAAAAATAGCCAGTGTCGTGTTTTATAAAAAAAAATACGTGTTAACCAAATTTTATAACGATGCATTGATATTTCAATTGTTACAAACCAACTCGTTATCACAACTGTAATATTAATAAGAATATCCTGTTATTGTTGTAAAAATATATTATTCATTTACATTCAATAATTAACTTATAAAGAAATAACTTGCACAATTAAGTACTCTTCGTTATCGCGATAATTCTAAGCTAGTAGCTGGAGAAAAAAGTTAAACCTATGGCCATACGGCACAAGGTCAAGTAGGAATGAAGCGCCTTAATATGGCAGTTAGGCGCTCTGATATAGAATTTCATTCGTGTTTTTCTTCTATTGCACTGATATATTGTATCCTTAATCGCCTCTTACGATCTTGGTTACACAGGACAAAATTTGGACCTATAATACTTTAAATAATTTCATCCAATAAAAGTATTAAGCTATATCTCATTAACATATAAAATATACAATATACCATAGTTGCTACATGTCTTATATAAATCTCTATTATAAAATGTTGTTGAAATACGTTCAGCTATTTTGTCGTAACAACGCTACAAACAGATATCGTTTTTAAAATTAAATTCCCTTCTTCCTTCTTTAGTTTATTTTCGTGTAAAGGAATTCAGATTACAAAATTTTGCCTCCTTATTTTGATAAATATGGATTCGATTTTATGTACTCACCTCCACCACTTTTGTAACACAGATATGGAAAACGCCATACATTGCCGAGGCCCACGGAATATCCTACGCAGGCTAAAACAAACTGTATTTTGTTGGCCCAGAATGGTCTGCGGGGCTTTAGGTGATGGTCTTCTGCATCTTCTTCCTCTTCTTCGCAGCTCTCATGGGATGCTGTGTCTTCATCAGGTGGTCTGCGATTATGAAATAATAAGAATAATATTTATCTGGTAGTATTTTGATATAGATTGTTTACGATAACATGGCATCGTATCAGCCGTTATCTATTCATTGCTGAATATAGGCCTTTCCCATAAGGAGGAGTTTGACAGTAGTTACCATGCTTGGCAGGCGGGTTAACAACGTTTAGTTTTTGATGATGTTTTAATAGGGACGCTACTGCTCATCCCTTGACCATTAAATTCCCTTAGTCGCCTTTTGTGACCCATATGGGAAAGTAAGGGGAGGCATATTCTATGTTGGGACCAAATGCCATGCCATGCCATGGACGTGCCATATTAACATAGATAAGCTATAGTTATGAAGATAAGGAATTGAATTACTTCTATTTGTTTTATACAACTTAGAATGCTAAACAAGCTAACAGTTCACCTGATAGAAAGTTGTAGATAACCGTTAGCTATAAAAATGAACATCATTATGAACCTTACATATTTTGATAACTATGACACCTCCCATGGATTACTATTCCTGAGGGATAAGGTATTATGTATCTGTATCCTTAAATTTTATTGCTATATTTCACTATTCTGTCTTAAAAGTCCAGTAGGCACGTCTCGTGTTTATGCATAGAAGTTTTTCTTAATATATTCATTAATTATATAAAAAGTAAGTTGTCAATAATAAGCCATTGCGCTTAAGGGGCTATTATTAATATAAAAGTAATTTGAATGTTCTTTTCTGTATATTATATATCATATGCTGTTTTTTTTTAAATAAATACTGTAAACGACGATGTATAATGTACCTGGTTTGTTTTAATGTTTAATATGTATGTATTTGTTTGTATTAAATAATATATATTTGCATAAAACTATACACTTTAAATAGATTTAAAAAATAATGTAAAATAAGTAATATAATAAATGAAATAAAGTGGATAAAGGAATTAAAATCGATAAGAATTTGCTATAAATTTTGTCTTTTACAATAAGAATTATTTTAGTTAAATACCTACTTATGTATTGAGTGGGGCTTCGTAGTTGTCTACACGCAGCTTCCACACATCTAGTCATAGATAAAATAAAATGTTTGTGAATACTGAACAAAATATTTCAATGTTTGAGATAATAACATGCCTATGTACGTTACACAGATGATGTGTTTTGTGTGGCTTTAAAAATAAATGACACTGTTTCAACAACTACCTAATGAAATATTACACTTAAGATAACGATGACAAGTTAATAATAAGTATGAGTTTTACTAACATTTTATGCATTCACTTTTTAAATAGATCCTATATATCTAGATCAATAATATTCCTGACAGTGTCATGTTGAAATGCTTCGTCAAAATCGGCCTATGTAATAAATATAAGTTTCATTTGTCTGAATATTGTACCATAAAAAATGGGAAGTGTCGATACTTCTAAGGTGAGTTGCATAGATTAATGATACAATGATGTTTATGCAAGTGCCGTCTCTTAAGTAGTGATTACTTATACTATGCATCTATTTGTTGATTACACCTTAAATATATCTAGTAATACAGGGTGGCCCATAAGTCCTTAGTAATGAAAAAAATTAATTAAAATAAAACTAATTACACTATGAATAATATTTTTATTTGTAAATATAGCTAGAAAAACGGGAATTATTTTTTGTAAATAACGTCGTCCAAATGTAATCCGTTACAGTCACGGCACTCTTGCAAACGCCTTCTGAAATTGTCGATGACTGCGCGGCATGTCACTGCTGAAATGCTTGCCATTTCTCTGCGGATGTTTTCTTTTAGGTCATTAATTGACCGCGGGTTAGAGTCGTACACTTTAGCCTTAAGGTAGCCCCACAAAAAAAAAATCCATTGGAGTCAGATCCGGGCTACGTGGTGGCCAGGAAATGTCTCCTCTCTTAGAGATAACTTTGTTTGGAAAAAGTTGACGGATAACGGGCATAGCAGTATTGGAGGTGTGGGAAGTTGCTCCATCCTGTTGAAACCATGTTCGGGCAGGCTTTAGCCTGGAAAGTTTTGCAATTTTTGTGTGAAAAACTCCTCGATCATGACCACATATCGCTCCGAAGTAACAGTAACAGCACGCCCTCTGCCGTCCTCAAAAAAGTAAGGCCCTATGATGCCATGGGCTGACATAGCGGCCCAAAATGTAACTTAAGGGCTATGTAAGGGCTTCTGTTAAGTTTTGGATTAATCGGGCTCCAATAGCGGCAATTTTGTTTACTAACATGTCCGTTAATGTGGAAGTGTGCCTTATCAGAGAACATTATGTTATTGAACGAAGTAAACCGATTAAACATTTCATTAGCATAATTCACTCTCTGAATAGCATCAGTTTCTTTTAATTCTTGCACCAACTGAATTTTGTAAGGGTGCATAAGTAAATCTTTCTTCAAAATCCGTTGTAACGATGTCCTGGATACGTTTAATGCACTGGAACGCTTACGAGTTGACTGTGTAGGATTTTCACGAATAGATTGTGCCACTGTGTCGATGTTTTGTTCCGTACGTGATGTTCTTGGGCGACCCAACCGCGGTTTATCTAACGTCGAACCGGTCTCCTCGAACTTAGCAACCCAATTCTTAATCGTTTGGAGAGCTGGGCTGTCATCAAAGTTGTGTAAACCTTTGTGTTCTCGAAATTTACGCCTCGCAACGGTTGCCGAATTGTTGTTTTGATAAAACTCGCGCACACAAAACGCACGGTCCGCTCCGGTGAAACGCTCCATCGCGACTAAATTCCCAGAAACCGAAGTTACTGCCCCCGCTTCCCCTGCACCGCTCACGCGCGCCGTTTTCGTTTAATTCAAATTTAACTTTTGTAAGGACTTTTGGGCCACCCTGTATAATACGTTACACAATTACGTTCTCAATTCTGCACCGATTTTCTCAATCGGAATTGATGGCGTTCACTCTTGTGCTCGTCTCATATGTTGTGACAATTGAAATTGCCGTTTTACTGTGAGTAAAAACTGCTTGTTGTGAAATAAAATAGATAAATAAAAATAATATTTGTACAACTAAATAAGTAAGAATTAATAAAAGAACAGAAACAGATGAGAAAACAGCAAAAAAGAATAACTTTAACACATCTAGTTATATACCACAGAGATTTAAATACGTAAAAATTTGGGGGATAATCTGCAGTGACGATCGCGTTATATCACTAATGTAACCAGAAAATACTCGTAAATCTTAAATTGAATTAAGAAAATAAAGATAAAAGTTAAATTCAGATTAAAAGTAGAATAAAAAAGTAAACAAGAATATATATATAATTGATAATTGAAATTGACCGGGACAAAGGTACCTTATATTTTTCTTTCACAATTACAAATCAGAACTTATGTTTTTATAATAGTTTAGATGAGCCTATCATTATTCATTAATGGCTATCTACTAATTAATACGCAGAATGGTCTAAATGAGAGAATGTAGACAATGGAGTTCCATTACATTTATTAATTAAAGTTTTGTTTGACTGTCTTGATTGCCGTGTTTCGGTCTGAAGATCAGTGCAGTACACTAGACTCGCAATTCCATTATACCTTTGTCTCCATGTATAATAAATAAGGCATGACGAGCGCCTTGGGCAGCTAAGTATATTATGTGATTTTGATGTATTTAGAAAAATTAATGTGCTTTGTTATTTTTTTATCAATTCTGCTAGTAAGACAGGTCGACATGTGTTGGCATAAGAAGCTCCGGCGATTGTTATTTTTAATTCAAAATGTGTTAGACCAAGTACATCATACCTAATTTTGACTTTATCATGACCCTTTTCTTATAGTTTAAAACTAAGATTTAAATTATTATAGATTAAAACTAAGAAACCAGTGTACTTGACATAGGCTCTCGGGTTTCTGATTCCTGTCCAATTGATAACAATTGTAAGTGATTTAACTGCTTCTTGAACACCATAATATTTGTTACGTTTATGGTTACACTACCATTTTCCATCAGATTGCCCATCTCTTTGCTTTGCATTCTCAATAAAAATACATTAAACTGTAAGAAACAATGCGGGAGCAAAACACAGATAATTTTTAATAATTTTGTATTGTGGATGCTTATTTCCATGCAACATAAAAGGTAACTCTTTTGCCACATACCAGTTAGATTCGTATGTATCTACTTATAACTTTTTTATTATCATAAAAAATTTGATTCAAACATATTAACTACAAAAAATTCCACCTTCGGATAGGCATATTAACTGGTAACCTTGGTTTACTCGTACATAGCTTGTTTGGATTAAAGATGGATGACCTACAACGATGGCAGATTAATGTGACGTCACAGAGCTTAAAAGATTTACCTACGTATGTGTATCTACATACACATATGTACATATGCAATATATGGCACCTATATGTTCATTAAGAAGATGACATTAATTACAAAAATCCGTTAAGGCGTGAATGATTAACAGACATTTAAACCTTTTTATAAACTTTCATATTCATAATCAATGACTTATTCGTCATTGTAGAATTTTAGGATTAAAAATTGCATATTGATTTTACTGTTTGATTTATTAATTTTTTCTAATAAAATTATAAGTAAACGTGTAAATTTGTAAAGATGTTTGGATGTTTGTTACTTAATTTCATTTATATGGCTGAATGAAATTGGAAGAAATTTTGGACACAGATGAATGCTTTTTTCTAATTCATCTTTAATTTTATTTGAATATTTAATAATTATACAATGTATTATATCTAATTATATTAACTGACGAAACAGGCCTTGTGCTGTCCACGTTCTATTTTTTGTTTTATAATATATGGTTATTGTTTTATTAACAATAAGTTTTAATAATATTTGATTTTGTTTAGGTACGTAACTTAAACAAAAAATAATTGCCAAATCGGTCCAGCTATTCTAGGTATACGCTTAATAAAATGACAGAATTTAATGTTTATTTCTAAGTATAGATAGGTAGATAGGTAATTGCGCGGAATCGCTGCTTAAAAAAATTATTATAGGGGCCATAAAA